TGTTAAGTACACCTTGCACACGAATAAATCCAAAAAATATATTGTTCCCTTAGCAATTCAACTCTTTTTCTCTCTCTCTCTCTTATATTGCCTTTCATTTCTATAAAATGATGTACACCGTTATGAACTCCTTAAATTCTTTCAAAAAATTTCAAATTCCCAGCACATTTTTGATATATAATGAAAATTATTTTTATTTTCCACACACACACACATTATATAAAAACTTTTTCCATGGAAAATTGAAACATTCTTCAAATTTTCCTTTTTCAGAATTTCGTATTATTTCTCATGTTTCTTTTTTTGGAATGCTAAAAAAATTTTTTTAACCAGAAATGCTACAAAGGTAAATAAGAGAAAGAAATTGTCAGATAAAAAGAAAAATTTAGAAAAAGATAAGTGAGAGAAAAAGAAAGGAAACAGTAAAGAAGAAATAGAGCCAGGGAGAAGAAACGAACAAAAAAAAAAAAAAAAGGTGAAAGAAAAATATGGAAAAGCCCGATTTGGAGAGGTATAAAGAAAGAGGAAATAATAAAAAAGAATAAATATTCTGGAAAAACTAATTAATATCAAGAATATATATATATTGTAAATGAATTTATATTGAATGATAAATTGAGACATTTAAGATGGTGATAAATTGAGACAATCTTGTTTTCGCGCAGTACATTTTGTCAAGTCTGTTGATGAGAGAGAACGGAAAATGGATACCTGAGTATTATATTTCTTGAAAGTAGCGACGCAAAGACGACAGTTATGTATCCAGCAAAACGTGTATGTTATGAAAAAGTGGTCCCAGTGCTCTACAAGTTATCTAAGGTTCTATATACATATATATATAGAGTACGGATCACTTTACGTAATTTGGAAGCATCTTCTTCTATATGTTCAGGTGGAGGCACTTATGTTAAAATATATAAATTCTACGCGCAAAAATTGCTGCTTCATATTAAAAACTATTATATTTTTACTTTATAGAATCAATAGCTCATAATTCTAATAGTTTCATTTTTTGACAAAATAAAAAAAAGTTGATTAAAAAAGGCTGAAAAAAATTGTTTTCGATTTTTACAAAAAAAAGTACGTTAATCTCACACATGGGTCTATTAGACCTCAAGATTAATAAAGTCTGCTTTGTATGACAGTAGACAAAAAAATTAATTAATATGGAATTCATTGGTAGTTTTGTATGTTAATTTATTATAATTTATCTACAACCACGTATTTTCCACATTTATATTTACAACTTGTAAATTTCTCCCATTGAATATTAATTATATTAATTAAAAGAATTATTGTCTAGAATATTAAGAAAAAAAATTACAATTTTCCAAATTTATTACTCGCCTGCTTCTAGATTTAACCATAAAAATATTTATAGTCTTAATTTACTGCCATACGAAAGTTTTACTTTGTTTTCAGATAAAAAAAAAAAAGTCAAGCGGAGGCTTACGGGCTAAGTAACAGTATCTTTTGATTTTATAGCTTAATCACTTTATTTGTTCAAGTATAATATATGATATTTTTTTTACAGCCTATACTTTTCTTCTGAGTAAAATGTATATTTGACATAAAACCAATCTCAGAATCCAATCGACATTTATATTAAGAAAAATAAAATTGTTTTGATTACTCCTTAAAAAATATATAGGAGACAAATAATAATCCTTGTAATTAGTTTGAAAATTTATCTCTTTTATTGACTTTTTAAAATTCTTGTTTTTATTAATATATTTAATTATTATTAATTATTAAAAGACTGGAAAATAATTATATTTATTAATATTTACATTACGATGACGTGGGAGCATTTTTTTTTTAAATAACTTTTTACAAAGAAATAGAATTTATCGCATTTTGAAAGATTTTCTATCAGATGGCACCATCTATTGCAAACAGGATCAAACTGTGGACTACTCACAGCATCTGCTTTATCTGGTTAGCGGTGAACATCATCAAAAGATGGAAATCGTAATTTTTGCAATTTTTTCCATTTTTTTAAATTAATTGTCAATTTTTAATAATTATTTTTCTGCATTAAATATTTAGTAACCTAATCCTATCTAAAAGAGGAAATTCGTATTGTTATGTTATAATTATTTAATTTAAATTTTTAATTATTATTAATTTTTCCTAATCTATGAACTTATAATAATTTCCCAATCTAATTACTCAATTTAACTTAGTTAAACCCTAATAAAACAAAATATCTTGGGATATATTGATAATATCCCGTTGATATCCTAGGGATGTCCTATGGATATTAAAAGGATCTCTTGAGGATATCCAAAAAATCGGCGGTTTGGATATTCTTTGGATATCCCATGGATATCTGAGGATATCCACAGGATATCTTCTGGATATCTCTATAGACTTTCAAAAATGTCCTCCATATATCCCATAGATATCGTCAGGATATCCCACAGATATCCCGTAAATATCCTAAGAATATCCCACGGACATCCTGAGAATATCCCATGGATATCCTGCGATATAATATCCAATAGATATTTTGTGGATGTCTTAGGGATATCCTGTGGATATCCTATGGATGTCCTGTTGATGTCCCACAGACCGGCGATTTGGATACCCTATGGATATCCCAAGATATCCTGGGGACCATTCTAGGATATCGACCATTGATATGGATATCCTATGGATATCCTTTTGTTATGAGGGAAGAAACTAATGTTGACTAAATGTTGCCACTTGCGTATATTAATATTTTGAACTGCTCTCAATGGGAAATGTTTCCCTTCATATAGAAACATTTTTGTATTTAAAAATTTATTTTTTTAACATATTAATTTTTGAAAAAAGTATTTATTTATAAAAAAATATTACTGTGACGTGACAGTATATTAAATCTTTAATTAGAATTTATTGCAAAAATTACCTAATAAAAAAATATTCATGTTTAAAATAAAATAATTTTATAATAAAAAAAAAATCTGCAAAGCACTCAAAGGATCCACTTTGGGAGCCCTTGAAATATAATTAATTCAATTAATGTTGAGAGAATGGAAAGGGTAACTTGATCTTTAATTTGTAGTCGTGCTCTCAAAGTAAGTGCGCTTCTAATGACAGATTGAATAAGAGGAAATGATGAAAGGTAATGCCCATGGTCATCATCAAGTACTTGCACTCAATCAAGAAAATTGTTTTCCTTTCTTTGAAGAATTTCAAATGACTTAGATAGGTTAATGCAAAAATTACCCTCAGCTTAAATTGGTAAAAAAAAAATTTACTCCTAACTTGAAATATAAATGAACAATTAAGTATAAATTATAATACAATTTATTAAATAATATAATTTTTACAAGAAAATTTAAAAACAATTTTTATAAATTATAAATCGTTTTCTGATGATTCACTGACCTGACAAATATATTTCCGTTATTAATTTAATTGAAACCAATTGCATGGGTATTGTGAGAAAAGAAAAAAGAAATTGAATGCAATGCAGTACTCTTTTGTTCATGGTAAGCCATGCGAAATTATTGCGACGTCTTTTCACGACACACTGACGGCAAAATTCAACGCCTGCGTCTTTCCAAAAGACAGGAAAATTTATCAGTGGGTACTTTACAACTTGACCGAAAGTAAGAGTAATGCTATCAACTCATGCTTTAATGAAGAACCATTTAAGTCAAAGCTTCTTTGCTCAATGTTCTTTACAACAAGCCCTTTCATTAATCAAGAATTAAATAAATTTTTGTTCCTTTTCAGTTCTACTACAGCATATACTCTTTTATCCATTTTGCGAAATTTAATTCAATTTTATAGAGTAATATTTTTCTAAAAGAAAATTTTCTTGTAAATTATTATTATTATTACAGTAGTTTGTAGCCTATTCTCTTATAAAATCAAATAGAATTAATTATATAAACAGTAGAAATCGAATTAGATGCGAGATGTCAGTTTTGTTCAGTTTGCAATTCCGTACAGTGGCAGAAGCAAACTCTCTGTCGACTGCTGATGGAACAATCCGGATTTGATCAGCTGGCAGATTTATTGTTCCATGTCACGTGGTCATTTTGAATTCTCGCAAACTGGCGTGCAGATTGTCGTGTCGTTTGCTTCTGGCACATGTACCAATTTTTTGCTTTTACTATCAGTTTTTTTTAAAATGACAAAAAGCTGTTAAATAATGAATCCGGTTAAAGTGAGAAATCTATTGCAAGTATAGTGAATGGATGAAGAGACAATTTTATCGTTTATCAATAAGTTATACTCGGTTACTATTGAACATAACATCATCATAAAAAATACAAAATGTATATTAAATATTATTCAACAACAAATTTCAACTGAAAATAATTTTTTGGTTTCAGGTCAAAGAATTTGATTCAGAAGCTGCATGTTCCACAGATTTTAATGCAAATGAAACTAGTGATATGGCCTACGGAAATCTGCTATCGATTATTTTAGAAGCCGAAGAAACTGAACAAAATTGTATTAGACGGATCAAAGCTTTGTTAATACAGCAAATTGTATAGCCGATTTAACAATTAAGGTTTGTTATTTCAACTGTTCCATAACAATTTTCATTGTTTATCAAAGAATTCTGTTTGTTCACCGAACAATTTGAATAGTTTTAATAACAATCCCATTTTAACAATTTTTTTTTGTTCTAAAAACAAATAGAACTGCTGGTTCTATATTGACAATCCGGCATTGTCGTGTGGATTAATTTTTAGTAACCACAACAATTCTTTTTTTCCCTGTAGTTTCACCCTTATTTCTACGTTGCATTTGTTATTACGAGACCGATCGTATTGTAATATAATGAATTTGAAAATAAAATAAATAAATTAGGCAAATTAAAAATTGAGAGTAGAATTATTTACCATAACGAACGAGATGATATAAGATAATAAAATAGAGATTATTTGAATCAAAAATATCAATTACAAACCAAAAAAATCACAATAAGAAATATAATTTCAACAAATCAATTATAGATATTTTATTAAAATATTGATGAGAGTTTAAAATGATGCATCATTTATATAACAGTAGTGATTATTCAGATTACTTTATACATATATATAAATTCATTCACGTCAACCACATTCACACACATACAGAAATCATCAAAGAATTCATACATACATAGATTAGTAAACTGGTATTTAAAAGGAAATATAACAATGTTCAATAAATAATAAAAAAAAATAAGAATACTCATTCCTCGTTCTATTAAAGGTGAATTCGTAAGACGTGGCGCTGATCGGGTATGGAGAGATGAACTTAAATTCCGGAATATCTAGAATTTCCTTATTAGTTCCAAAATCCTTAAGACCATTCGATATTGTAGTCGTAGTTTTATGTGTTTTATAAGTAGCAACAGCTCCAAATCATCCCCTTGTACTCTGCCAACGCTTAGAATCCACAATCCCCCCATTATCAATTAAACGCCACACTTTAATTTCAATACAAAAAAAAATACTTTTAATAAAATTTAATTAATATATATATATATAATTTAACAACCATTGATAAAACAAAAATAGATAAAATTACACAAAAGAACGACATTTGAGTCATTGACGTCGGACATCAAAATATGGCGCGGGATTTTCTTTATACACAAGATAACGAGCAAATGAGGCAGAGGACAAGGGAACTACTTATTTTATATTTTCCTCAAATCTCTCCCCCCAAACGCCAGTCCACGATTCACCGAAATTCATATAGTTTTCGTCAAAATTTTACGAAGATAATATGTATAAGAAAATATCTACCGTCAGGCGCTAAATCGTTCTCATATCGAGGATTTCCTCACAGTATCATTTGTTTTTCATATTACTACAAATAACAACGATAATAATTTATTACTAATTAATAATAAATAAACAATAATTATTTATGTAATAAATCACTCATAATGAATTACAAACTGACACAAAAATACACAAACTTTTGCAGTAGTGCTAAGATGTACCTACAGTTACCAAGTGACAAGTTACCAGTTTATTCAATTTATACACATTCATTTCTACAAATGTTTCAATTAAAAATAATGTTATTTAAATACAAATGACCGTAAAAAATATAATTTATGCATATGTTGTATTCCAGGCTTCTTGCCGGAAAAGTTTTTTTTATGTTATTTCATGATTTATGCAAAAACTTTAATTAAAAAAAATACAGAAAAACTGAAATCTAAATTAAATGTAATTACTCAAAATAATTTCGGTGAATGAAAATCTGAATTAAATATGTAATTACTTAAAATAATTTGGATAAATTAAGTTTTGATTGATAAAATAAAAATATTTTTATAAACTAGTTTTGCCCTTAACGTCATGCACCAAATCACAATCTATGAAACAATTAAAATCAAACTTTAGAATAATTTAATTAAAATAATAAAGAACATTTCTTACAACTTTTTAATGAAACTACTTAATCTTATTGAAAAAGGATAAAATATTCAGTGATGATTTGATTGAGAATCATTAGAACAACAAAGTTTATCTAAATCATGTTGTGAAATATTGTGATGTCTTATTTTATTCTCCAGATTTATAGCGTCTTTGCCTGTAAATATTTTCTTATGTTCAGTGTCAATTGAAATATCACCGGAATCACCAGCCTCTTGGAAAGCAAGATCAGACATGTTAGAATGAAGAGAGTTTTCCCTGAAAACGAAAAATTTAATATCAAAGAATTACTAGTGTTAAAAATTACAACAAACATAACAAAAATTATAAAATAATTTCTTATTAGAATTCTATTTGCTGATAAATTCGAGGAGCAAATTAACTATGAATTAACTTGAAGTATATAATTATCCAGAATTATTTAAAGTATCGTGAATTATTTTGAAGTATAAAATAAGTGTACACCAAATTTTTTAATTATTTACCCCTCGGATAAATTAAATAATATTCCTTTAATTTGGAATAAGTTAATACCTGAAAGGTGCTATAATAAGAATCTCCTTATCTCGAGGTGCAGGATCTTTAATTATTGAACCAGGTTTTGGAGTGGTTAATTCTTTTTTAATATGTTTTTTCTCTTTGCAATGTCTTTTTCCATTGTCTTTGTCACTGGTAACCCAATTGTGAAGCAATTCCCTAAAGTCATTGTTGTCGGCGGTATTTCGTTTCTCAGGTTTGATGGCTTTGAAGGAATTCCTATGGGAGTCAAGATATTGCACAAGACTCACATCCACAAATCGATCGATTAGTCTGTGTTGATCCTCTGGTGTCAACAAGTGATTTTTCTCTAATATTTCAATTTCTCTTCTATCTTTACAATTCTTTTTGCAAGGCCTAGTTCCAATACAATTTTTTTTCTGAATTGGAGTGCGACCCTTACATTCTGATAATTCAGCAACAACGTCATCTTCACCAGGATGTGCTCCTGGTTTTACACATTGTACCTTTCGACGAAGAGTACCTTTTTTCTTATTACAAGCATTACACGCACTCCATTGACTGACTCTCCATCTAATTATTGTTTAAATATAAATAATAAGAAATTGATAAAAAAAAATTAATTTGAAGGAAAATTATATTACTTTGCAAGGCATGATTGTTCATTGCATGTTTGAGTTTTGGGTTCTGGACGTGGTATACTGGAGCAAAAACTGGGAGACACTTTTCCAGCTTGCTGTTCAAGACACGTAGGTTCTGAAATCTATTTACAACCGAAATATATAATATAGTTACAGCACCTCCTAACTTAGATGTTAATTGGATTGTCACCTGTGGAAGTATCATCCACACAGTCGGTAACATTTAATTCAAGTTCAAGAGCGCCTTTTTCTAATTTATTGGTAATCTAATTCAATTGCTTTTGCAACTGTCACCAGTAACCATTATTATACTTTAATTAGAAAAATTAATCAGTAAAATTATAAATTGATTCAAGCTAATAACTTCGGTTCCCACTTGGAAAGATTCCGCGGAAGAGTTACTCCTGAAATAATTTTCGTCTAGTAGGATCTAAAAAATCTAATCTACCTAAAAATCAATGGAAGTTCAATGGTAACCAAAATGTGAATTTTGCAGGAAACGAAAATCCTCCCGCAGATTGTGAAGAAATTCCGATATTTTCCACTGGAATTTCCTTTCCTTTATAGCCGCGAAAACATAAAAACTCTCTGAACATTTTAATAATTATTTCCAGCCGAATTCCGTACAATTTCCTCCAGAAACGGAGTTTCAACATCTTTAATGAGCCATTTTATAGGAATCTTTCCAAGTCAAATTGAGTTATTTAATTCAAACTTACCTTTGTACCTCCTCCACATTTAGCACTACATGTTGACCACTCTAAAAATTCCCATGCATATTTAGGAGTCGCCGTAGAATTTCCCGACTTAAAGTAGTATTCATAATGAACCCCAGGATTAGTTTTTTCAAAAAAGCAATACTGCAACAATATTTCACATCAACAAAATTTTATCATCTTATTAGAATAATTATGAATAAATTTCAAAAAAAAAAATACCTGCAACTGAATATCCTCAGTAATTGGTCCTTTTATTGCCAAATTTTCTTTGTCCGTTTCCGGATGAGTGTATATAATGGTAGAACCAGCGCAAGGGTAATCTCCATTGGATTTTTCTTCACTAAATTTTAATTATTTTTCAATTAGTTGCAAATAAAAGTTGTTAATTTGTAGTAGTATATATTAAAATTTATTTTAAAGTATTGGTAAAAAATGGGCAAGCGCTTTTCCCAGAGAAGACTGACGTTTGGTATATGGAGGGTTCAAAGGGAAAGAGCGAATCAAGAATCAGTAGAGGTAACTACATCACAGTTGGTTGAAGGATGCCGTACGGCACCCAACAGACCAGCGGAAAATAACCGCGTTACCCTCCTCTAGGGTTCCTGGACACAACAGAATTAATGGTAATAACATAGCCGATAAACTAGTCAAAATAGGAGCTAGAAAACAATTTATCGGACCTATTGGTGTGCTTTATTCACTGCCAGAGAAGCGCAGAAACGAAGAAAAGCTTTGGCAGTCCGGAGAGGACTAACGCCACGGAGAAGAAGAAAAAGCAAGAGGAGGCACCTCTTGTCAAAAAGATTACGATGGTGACGGTAGCACTGAATCCTAAGCAAACCAGTAAGAAGGAAGCGACGATTGAATATACAATGGTGATCCGAGTTGCAACAGGAACAACGTATGCCGACGTGCTAAGCAAACATTGGAAGGATGTGAATCCAGATGTGATCTCCATGCAGGAGATCTGCAGATCAAAATCGGAGATGATTCCAATATGGAGGCATTCACCGTTAAGGTCACCAAATCGGTTGGAAGCATGTGAAAAATCCAAACCTTGTATCGACAAGTCACACTGAAGATCCGCAGCCTGAATTGCGTAAGATGTCCAATAGGCGTTGGCGGAACAGCTCCAGCAAGCAGGAAAGCGATGGTCCTAGGACTTAACCGACGAGGAATGAAGCTCGCAGTTGTAGTCACCAACCCAAAGGAAGCGGACAGACTGGAGAAATTGGGACGCATAAGGATTGGCTTTATGTGTTGCCCAATAAGAAGAAGGTCATTCGGTGCAACTAAAGCCCGGCGTGCGGCCACGTAGGAAGAGTATCTAAGGCAGTGGACAGATCGACTACATGCTTCAACTGCGATGAAATCGATCATAAGTTTGCAAACTGCAGTATAAACCCCAGCTGCTTCTTATGTAGAGAAAAGTATGACGATTAGGCGAACATTAATCATATCCCAGATAGCGGAGTCTTCAGGGTCACGAAAGCAAGATCCCAGGGATCTTCACCTACGAAGTTTAAAGCTTGACGTCAGTTCCGTAGTGTAAGGATTAGTCCAGCCAAAGGGTGTGGTTTTTAGTGGGTCTTTCTTGGATACCAAGGGTTATGCAGATTTCCCTCGTAAATAATAATAATAATAATAATAACAATAATAATAATAATAAATTCATCACATACAAATCAGCATTCAGACAATATTTATCTCCTTTCTCGAGTTTAACTGCCAACATACTTCCACTTGGTTTTTTCTCATACATCCGAATACTTGTACTTCCCTTTGGAACCGTTACCACTTTTTGATAATCTATATAGCGTTATGTATTCAAATATTAATTTACATTAATCATTAAATTAAGCCTTCAAAAAAGAATATATTGCAACCGAAAGCAAAAAAGATTTTTGTCAAAGAGATATTTTATATTCACCAATATTTTTCGTATTGATTTCTTTTCAATTTTTTTACATTATTAAATATCGATTTGTTATTTATCGAAATATATTCATATTACTTTTGAGTTTATCCTTAGTGAAATCTCCTTGTTCATGAGTGCAACCAACACCAGTGCCTTTGCAAACCCCACAAGGATCTTCAATGGTATCTGAATCTATTTGCCAGTCACATCCAACCTTCTGCATTTATGGATATACAAAAAGTTAAGTTCCTTTACTTTTTCCAATAGATTATAGTAGTATCATAATGTGACTAAATAAAATAATATACTAAAAGGAATTCTTTCATTCGAATTTTAATTGTCAATTTAATTAAATTAAAACAGGGATCATAGGGAATTAGTTTGGGCACAGTTATCAGTAATACATTTTATTTTTTTAATAATTTTTTTTTGAACTCATTAAATAATATATTTTGCTTCCTCGTGGAGGAAGCTTTGTAGTCCTTTCATTTATAAAACTTTTCAAAGTGGCGGAAACAAATTTTTTTCTTTATAGAAACATGTTATATGAGATCCTGATCAATTGTCCGGATGTATGTATGTGTGTGTGTATGTGTGTGTGTGGATCCCTTTTTTGTTTAGAAGATAACTTTAACAGGTTTTAATGGATTTAGATAAAATTTGGTAGGCTCATTTATCATATTAATATCTCAAATCTGACCAAAGGATTTTGAAAAATATCCCAAAAAAAAAATTTTATCGTCTTTTTTCCAAAAATTTTTTTTTAATCGAAAAAATTTTTAAATAGAAAAATTTAAGGTTATATATAATAGAATCGTTTTCCTTACGTCAAGACGAATCGATCGATATATATAAAGTATACATTTGAAGTAAATTTAAAGAATTAATGAAAGTTAAAAAATCAAAAATTGACATTTTGGCAATAAAATTTTGCTTTCTCCACGAGGAAGCAAATTTTTTTGCTGATCGTAAAGAGGAAGCAAAATGTTCATGTAATGAACATCTGAATTTACAACTTGTTTAAATAATTAATACTTGAAGAATTTTCATCTACTTTTATGTATTTAAATAATTAAGCGAAATTTAAAAAGAAATTAATGAAATAAAAATTGTATATTACTCTGCAAATTCCTGATATACACATGTAATTAGTTCCAATTTTACAAGAAGTTCCATCTTTCACGACTGGAGCAAGCTGCATTACTACATTTTTTTCATTTATACATTTCAATGAACACATATTAGTCTCATCTACTGTGTAAGGAGTCCATGTATGCAATCCGTCCTTAACTTTCTTCTTGTTAAACTCTTGACATTGACTAACACGAAACGAAATAGCAGAGGAATCACAAGGCTGAAAAATTACAATATTTAATCTTTTTTTCATAAATAACTTTATAACGTCTAGAAAAATTTAATTTTAGTGTCACTATCAGACATATTGGATCCGACATGTTGAATTTTGAAAAACTGACATCAAATTTGTAATTGGATGTTTTAGATAGACAATTTTTGTTTCAATTTTGTTTCGACAATAACATTTTTTTTTCTGAATGTTCTTTTTAGGATAACATCAAATTAAAAAAAATTTTCCCAATTTTTGAAAATATATATAAAGTTTCATTACCTTTGTGTTGCAAATTTCAAATTTCTTTCTCTCACCAATGCAAAATCTACCGCCATTCGATGGTGCCGGTTTATCACATTCTCTTTCCATACTTTTGACACCCCCGCCGCATGTTCTGGAACATTCGCTCATTGGTCCCCACTCACCCCAACCGCCATTCACTGCTGACGGACGTGAACCAATGTCCACACATTCCTTATGAATGCACCACTGCATAAAGTCGAAATTAAAAACGTTCAACAATATGACATTATCCACGTACATATATATACACTTTTTATACATATGTAGTCATTCAATTAAATACATATTGTTTATGTTGCGAGGCAGAAAAAAAATCGGAACAAAATTTTTTAATCTTTTATTAAAGGGGATACACCAGTTGTAACTTTCGGAAAATTTATTTTTTTGCATTTTTTTAAAATATATGTTTTTAGAAGGGTGTCTACATTTTTATGCTGATCCGACGAAAAATAAATATCACTATGCGGAGGCGCGCCACATAGTTACAAATTACTTTCGGACAAAAAAGTATGTTGTTTTAATGTTCCCTTTGATTGGGAACTAAAAAATCTTATAAGAAATGTAAATTAATTTTATTTTTCTATCTTAGATGAACTATACTTGTGGAATTCTGGTCACCGGATATCATGCTTTTTCCAAAGGCGTCACTTTGTGATGACCATAGTCGCTGAGCATTGAAGATAGTTTTCCTGCGAGGGACAAGGCGCAGATTCATAGATATGTAAGTAGGTGGGGTAACCAATTAGACATGGGACCTAATCATGAGGTGACAAGGAAGAGAGGGAATCCTCGAGTAAATGACGAGAGACAACAGTTCTAAATTTTGTCTTGAACCATCAACACTTATATCGTATATACGAAATTTTAATTTGCAATTTCTACCCGCAATGGGTCTTCATTGGGCCGCGGCCATTTTTCTCATACGCTTTAATAGTGGATCCACGTGTTCCAATTGTGTTCTATTGTGCAGTTTGTGATTAATAATTTTACGGAATAAACTAGTCATCAAAGATTATTCCTTGTGTCACCTGGGACCAAAGATTTTATAATTTAGTGCTCATTCTACGACCAGTCACGTAGGTTTTTCGAGGGACGCCTCATATTACATAACCGCATTTTATTGAAGGAAGTTATCAAATCAACTTGTCAAAGGATTTCAAAGGAATCGACTTGCATCATCTCCACATATGATCATCAGTATTACAAGTATTTTACAATATTGTATAATGAATATGAGTAGATGTATGTAAGCCTGTGTACCGAATGAATTATTTTGTTCAGGGTAATAGATATTAGCGTGATGACGGAAGATATTCTTCGTCTCGATTACCATTGATATTGCCAAAAATCAATCCCTAATTTCTGTCAATACTTGAAGAGAGGAAGAACATGAACCTGTATCGAGGACTATAGGTAGGCGATAGCATAGGATACCGGGATTATTTTTGTAATTTAATTTTTATGTGTATAAGAAAGCAGGTGAACTGATTATAATTAAACATCTAAATTTAACTTTAAATTATTCGTCTTCTTATTTTGTCGAATTTTATCATATAACTTATAGATTATTGTATACCAAATTTTATTTGATATTTAAATTTTATTATAATATTATAAAGATTAATTATAACTTCGATGGCTCATAAAGTTTTTGATAAAAAAAAATTTGTTGTTAACGTTCTAGACATGTACTTTTAGGTAATAAATAATATTTTTTTAAATTTACGGTTTACTAAGAAAACATTATTGAAGAAGACCTTATTTTCGCCTTACAACTGGTGTACCCAAACTAGATACATTCTTTATTAACAAACCTTATTTGTACCACATTTAGAACCTTCTGCCGGTGGAGCATTATTTGTTATGCATTTGCCACCATTTTTGCACCAAAGTGCCTCACAATCACCTTTTTTATCACAAGACTCCGAATTGTTGTATATCAATTTACATTGATAGTCTTGTCCGTACATTGCTCCAGGCAACATATTTGGATATTTAAATTGATCAGAAGGATTTTTTGGATCATCTGTTAGACAATCGCCTAAACCAGTTCTGTGGAATTTTTATTTTCTATAGAAATTTTTATTTGAAAAATAAATACGAAAATAAAGAAAGTGTTCTCCAAAAACAAAAATTAAAAAAAATAATTTCGAAATTAAATTGTTAATTGGTAATTACTCCATTAGAGTTGTTATAAATTTTTTGCTACATGTTGACCATTTTAGAGTGTAAATAAAAACATAAGGCGACATGAGAAAATAACTTTTGTCTTTATCTTGAGGAGGACAACCACTAATTTCTTCGGTGTCATGGGCACATCCTAAACTGTAAATTAAATTTTACTGAACTAATAAATACTTTTTCCAGTTATTTATTAGTAGGCATAAACATTATTCTATTTACGTGTGTCCAACTTCATGAGCTACTACAATACCCAAAAGAAGTCCACTATCTTCATTAATGCAAGCCGCCTTTGCTCTATCACAGACTGTTGATACATAAGCTAAACCCATCAAAGAACATTCCTCGTTTTCGTCACAAATGTCGTATCTAAAAAAGGGATGTTAAAAATAAATCGCAATTAATTCCAAAGCAATAAACTATTTTAAAATAGATAACAGTGTGTCACTGTTGACTACTAAATTATAATCAAAACCTAGTAATCAAAATGCCAAGATCGTGATGATTAGGATGAGTATGAGATTCGGGATTCATTTTCATAGCCCATTTAGCAAAACTTGATAATGTCACCTCTGCATTGGAACTAATTGTTAAGTCAATCTGCAAAATAACTAAAATTGTAGTAACTATTTTTCCTTCCAGAAAAAAATAGCAAATTTCAGCCTCCTACAGTGGTTGTAACCCCTAAAAAGAAAACCTCTTACTTCTTCTTTTTCCTGTTCCAAATATACCATTCGCACTACAACAAAGTCAATTTGATTTCCAACAGAACTGTCGTGATAAAAATCTGACACCATATTTGATATTGTCAATAAATACTGTTGATAATCTGTTCCCTTGTGATGATCTAAAAATTTTTTATCAGCAATAATTGCTGCTTCAATATATCGATGAACGCTGTGAGTTGCATCTGATTTTTTGTCACTTCGTTTAGTTGTATTGTGATTTTGTAATGATAATTCACGCTCTCTTCTTTCTAATTGTTCAGCCCAAGCTGTTTCCCAATTGTCTAAAAACAATCAAAATCTGTTTTAGAGATTTTTTACTCAAAATTCCTAATTTTATGATTAAACTAAAAGTGAAATAAAATTTCAGAATTGTTATATTAATAAAATGCAGAAAACTGACCATCAGTACCACAGAATTTATCATTTTTTTCATGCGGAGCACTTCTTTTATAAGCTATGTGAACATGTTGACCATCCGGTTCAGCTTTTACTTGATGCAATGGTTCAATAAAATATCGTCCATTATTGGTATGTACGTAACCAGCCTATAAGTTAATAGTCATAATTAGTGGATTTTTGACGTCAATCAGTAATATTAACAATTATTTTATAAAAGAACATTAATATTAATCAACAAAAACAATTAGAGTAAATTCAAAATTCGAATAGATTTTGTTTTGATAGACCAAGAATATTTTGATTCTAAAGCTTATTAAGACTCTTGTTATGTTTCTCTTTGAGTACATGCAAATTCATAAATTCATTTGCACATAGATCGACGCGATGTTACACTGTCGCCGATTCAGCGACGTTTCGCTCTCTCTCTCTCTCTATATATATCATAAATTCAGGATTAAAACGCGTCAGCAATTGGAAACTAGCAACAAAACGCAGATCTGGAAACCAAGCTGTCTAGTCGCTTGAGTTGTAAAATTATTCCCGACATTAAAAGCTTCATAGTGCCAATAACAAGAATTGTTGCTTTTAGTCGTGTACAACTATATTTGAATTTCAAATTATGACACAGTAAGATTTTAATTTAAAGTTTCTGAATTGAAAATTGTCCTTTTCTTTTTACAGTTCGCTGAATATTTAATTATATTATTTCCTTACGAAATTGATTTATTTGTATTACCTAATAAATATTCCAGTATATTCTCTAAATTTGATATTTTTGCCTTAAAAAAAATTGTGCTTTAAATAAATAAAAATGATGATAATAAAGTGTACTAACAACACCGTCGCAAAGGGATAAAGCTGCTCTTGAATTCTTGTCTCCCCTGACAGTGCCCCTATAATGACACTGTTGATCCGACACCCTCTTAAATTGAAGACCTTTGTTCAAATCGCTACTGATTCCCTTTCCACGGATTTCAATCACCATTTCTGGTGAGATAAAATCGTGAAATGGAGTTAACTCAACATGATGTTCAATTCCATTAAACGGAAGAACCAAGTGCAATTTGTCCTCATTGTCATCATCATTGATTGATCTTTTTCTTCTTGCATCAACTTCACGACGATTGTAATATCCAGACAAAAAATATGTTTCCAAATTTCCATCATGAGACACACGTCGTGGCACCAATAAATGTGGATCCTTTATGTCTCTCGTATATCTAAATATTTTTCGAAAAAGGTTAACAAAATTTAAATAGGAGAATTATTATTTGTTTGCGGAAATTATTATTTTTACAGGATTAGGTTAAAATAATTTTATTCGATATATATTTATACCGCATTTATATAAAAGGGAGAAAAATGAAAAAAAAGCAAGTGATGCGTGAAAGAAAGAGAAAACGAATGAAACAGACATTGGACGAAGCATTCAATGTGAATATCGATTCCCAAACATGAGCCTCAGGGTTAGGAGTGACAAACCGAATTCAGGGAAGGCGAAATTGATGGCACCAGCAAAATGAGATCGAACTTACCTACCATGGTAAATACTCCCGGGGCTCTTGGTATATTTGTCCAGGATTTTCCCATCGGCGTTAAGCTTATTCGTTGAAAAATCACAGAGTATTAAAAAAAATGTCACTAGAAACATTTTCGTTATATTCAAAAAACTTTGAAAAACTTTCAAATAACATAACATTAATGACATGTCAATAACAAGTCAAAAGCACTACTGGGTTATTTTTATCAAACGGTTTACTTCAGATATGACAAATATAATTTATACTTCAAAAAAAAGAAAACGAAAACATACAATTAACAACAAAAAAAATTGACTTTTAATAAAAAAAATAGAAATTTTTTTTTTGTTCGTATTTTACGAACCGTAATCGAACGATACGGTTTTGGGAACAATTTAAAAACAAAGTCGTTATCACGAGGGACAATCATGCAGAACACAGAATTGCATACGAGAGAATTTAGCAGCCTATTTATCCGGCGTTCGGCATTCGCTTCAATGCAAATAGTAAATAATCCGTGTATGGCATATTCAACGAGGGAGGCAACGAATTTCGGTACGCGTGTCACGCATTTGATTCTAGTGTACCTCCATTGTCATGTCACTTTATATATATATAGAGAGAGAGAGAACAAATCAATTTTTTTTTAAATCGAATAATAGCAAATAAAATTAAAAATCCATATATATAGATATGAAACAAAATAATTTTATAAACTAATATTTTTTTTTTGCTTTCAATTTTTTACACCGGACCACCGGAGACAATCATTTTCCACAATTTTTAAATTATATAAATTCTCTCGAAAAAAATGGATTTGCTTACTTTACACTAATTATGAATTTGATGTCAGTTTAGAGAAATTAAAAATGGCGGATCCAATATGATTAAGAACACAATGAGAATTATTAATTTAACTTTTTAAAGATATTTTTTTTTAACAGAATAAAGAATTTTTATAAATTATTATTAAACAAATAAATTATATTTTACATTTTTTTAAATATCCATAAAATAATAAAAATTATTTTATTTTTATTACTTAAATTAATAATAATATGATGAAAATATATTTCATATTAAAGTAAAAATTATTTAAAAATTAATGATAAAAGTTAAATAGTTGTACTTTTTTTTTAATATTAATAGTATAAAAACATTACATTACCGTCTGGAATATAAAATTTTATTCCATTTGTTTTTAATAATTAGTTTTAAATTAATATTTTTACTTAAGAATTTAGAATAATATAAAAATTCTAATTTAAAATTTTTTTATTTGTACTAAAGCTGGTTTAAAATTAAATAACATTAACTACCTTGTTTCTAGAATATTCCCTAATATTTCTTTTTCATTTATCAATATTTCGAAGCCTTTTTCGACCTTTTTCGAACTCCATAATTCTAATAAAATTTCGTTAAAATTTTATCACAATTATAAAACGTCTAAATTTTTCACGTTTACACTTTTAAAACCAAACAGTCTGATAGAATAATCAATTCTGATCAATAATTACAAATTATATTCAAAATCGTTGTTTATAATTTGTAATGATGGAAAAAGGAACCGGAGAATTGTTTATTTATTATTGCTTTGAATAAAATTTTGTTTTGGTAGTAATTTTCGAACGATTAATAGTTTTAGTGGTATGCATCAATTTTTAAAATTGTTATTCGTAAATATTTACTAAAAAATTTGAAATACATTTCTTAAAAGACAAAATTTTTTTTTCAGAAATCCATTATATTTTTGTATCAATATTTATAGTATTAAATAATTTAGTGGGCGTTTCAGGAAAAATCACATTGAGATATATTCTAATCATTAACCGTTTTTTTTCTAATCAATAGAATTAAAAAGGAGATAAAAACTGATTTTTTTGTTGTGCAAGATCGCTTGGAGGTATAAATTTGTAAAGGGACGGAGGCTAATAAAATATATGCAACATTTTGTCACCGTGACATATTTAACAATAAATAAATATATTTTTAAATAAATAATTATTTACAAATCAATGAATATGTTTGTAAATTAATTATTATTTTTAAAATACTAAGTATTTCTAAAAAAACAAATATTTGTAAATAAACAATTATTTCTAAATAAACAAATATATATTTATACATCATTATCAGAGGATAATAAAACCGAATAAATTGATGCAACATAGGAGTGACAGAAAATCTTCAAGATAAAATAATGATCATATTCAATAACAAAGGATTATTTGATTAAATTCATCTTTCACATATTAACAATTATTGAAAATACAATATTAAAATTTATACAAGAGTGTGTGTGTGCAAGAAAGAAAGAGATAAATTAAGAGAGGGAGCAATGAGATCTCTGGTACAGCAAGAGAAGAGAACAAGATAGTAGCGTCATCAGTGTTATGACGGCGATATCACAGCCCACCGCATCATTGAACTTTTCATCGCGACGCGCATTATTGAATCGATTGATAATTCTCACATAACTGTGCATTATAATTTTTTCAAATGGTACACATTACATTATTGTGACAGTAAAAAAAAATTTATTACCACTTTCTTTAAATTTGTTTCTCATACAATTTTGTGCAATGTGCGTCAAATTTTAAATATTTTGTGTTGTTTTCATCACATTTTTCTTGGTAAATATTAATCGGTAAGTTTTATATTTTATTACAATATTTTTATAATTTTTTTCTGATCTTAGTTGCTCAGTAAAATATAATATAATATAATATGATATTTGAGAAACTATATATATAAATTGTGGAGAACGAATTGTAATAATTAAACACTTGTTAACATTTTCATTTAATTATATCTTTTGTATAAATTTATACATTTTTTGAGGAAGATTACAGTCGAAAGTACAAAATGAGATAAAAAAAAACAAATTCCAATTCGATTTAACCCTGACAATTCGGAAACAATGAATGTGCAACGATTTCGTTGCACATTCAAAGTCCGTGGAAATAATGTGAATAATAAATTGAAATTGAAAATTACCGTTGAATTTAATAATTGTACTATTCAATGACTGATTTTTTATGTTAATTTAAGTTGCAATTATTATAATTAAAGTAAATGAATTTTAGCACAAGTACTAACTGTAATTTTCATTCAATTTCAATTCATTTTCAACATTATTTCCACTTACTATCAATGTGCGACGAATTTTTGTCGCATAGTTTTTTTTCAATCCGCGACAAATTTCAAGTAGACGTTTCATCAATGTATGATTCAATCATTACAATGTTCGGAGTTTAATTAAATATAGAAAGCGTCGTCATAAATGAAAACTAACATATGAGCCAAAAATAGCAACAGTAATATTTCATGACAGATTGGATGGATCGTGAGAAAAATGCAAAGCGCTTTTTGTCAGTTCCGATCATCAAGTTGCATGGTCGAATGGATTCTTCTATTACCGTAACTGCGTGTGCGTTACTTGACGAACCATAACAAGCACTGGTACATATCTAAAAAAAAAAAAAAAAAAACAACAAATATGCAAAATCATTTTACAATTTTCTCGTTGGCTCGTTTTAAAATCGTCGATGCATGGATATACCATGTATAAACAATGAGCGCAAGTTCGTTATTTGTAGGTTGGTTTAATTTTAAAATTTTTGGAACATTGTATAAAATAACGAACCATTTGGGGAAATCTAATAAAAATATATAAAAATAATTTTCTCTTTTATGTCATCTTTTTTTAACAGAAAACTTTCATATATTTTAAAGAAAACGATAATTATTTTTGTAAAAAAAAAATTATATTCTTTGTTACAGTTACTGATAAAAAAAGTATCGTTTCAAGATTTTTGATGAAAAATTTAAAATTTTGAAAATGAATAACCTGGTTCTATTGCTTACAATTGTTCTTACAACAGTGGCTGATGGAACAATGCAACCACGAGGTAAATATAATTTTATTTTACAATCTTTTTGTGTGTATTTTATTTTCATGATAAAAATCAAATATGTTTTTAGATATACTCATTTAATTAATTTTTATAATGATCCACATCTTTCGAATTTTGTAATGATGCATATATATATTATTTCCTTTGATAAAATTTTAAAGGATATCTTTTCTTTGGAACATCAATAGGAAGCAATTATTATTTTATGACGATAAGAGGCTTTTTTAAAAAAGATATTAAAATTGACTTTTCAATTTTAATATCACATTGTATATCGATTGAAACTCGAAAGCAGTGTTTACCTATCATAAGCTCAAATCCTGCCTCATTAGCGTTGACAAACCAATCTCTTTGTTCTACTAACAATCTACCTCGTAAATATTTATTATCAACACTTCAACTATATTGGATACATGTAAACGGGTCTCTAAAACTGCTTTGTAATTGGACAATTCTTTTTTTGCTATAAAAGGTAAAAGCTTCCGAATTAAGAAACGACAATGATTAAAAGTTATACAGTTACGGTATTGTAAAAGATGTGGCAAATTTGGAATTTATGAAATCAAAATATAAATAAATTTAATGGAGGAATTCAGAAAAAAATTACTGTCAAACTAGGACGTGATAAGAATTAAATTATTCTGTAGTAAAAATATCAATGTCATATTGAGTGCGTTAAGGTCAAGAGATTAAGCGTCATTAGAATGATTAATACCATATGCGGTTTAACAAACGATTCTCTTTTTCACGTTAGAACGTACTTCCGCAGGGTCAACAACTCAAATGATTAAAATACATCAGTTTACTGATTTTCAATCATTATAGAAATTTCAAAAATTAGTTTAGATGAATTTAAATAATTCTCCGGATACAAAATGTTTTCTTTTTTTGGAAACCAATCTGGATCCACCACCTGAAGGACGGGGGTCAATTACGTAACTTTTTCCGGATTCCATTTTTTACATTCCGTATTCCAGTTTCCACATTCCGGATTCCACTTATCACATTCCGGATTCCACATTTCGGATGTCCGGTTCCACATTCCGGATAACACTTTTCACATTCCATATTCCGGATACCATTTTTAAAATTCCGTATTCCACTTTCCACATTTCAGAAATGTTGAATCCGAAATGTGAAAAGTGAATGGAATCCGGAATGTAGGATCCGGAGAACGGAATATGAAATCCGGAATATGGAATCCGAAATGTGGAATGTGAAAAGTAGGATGGAGAATTTAGAATCTGAAATGTGGGATCCGGAAAAAGACAAAAAACAAGTCCGGGAGGAATAAAAAATTTTATTTAATTAATTATAAAGTTACAATTTTTGAGTTTAATGAGATCGACTCGGAAGAAAACGGCCCCAACAAGAAGACTGGAATGAAAAAGAATTAAAAAAATATAATTCCATTTAATACCGTATTTCCGTATTTCGAATTCCATTTTTTACATTCCGTATTCAGGATTTCACATTTCGGATTCTACTTTCAAAATACCGAATTCCATATCCCACATTCTGAAAATGGAATCCGGAATGTGGACAGTGGAATTCGCAATGTGAAATCCTGAATACGGAATACAGAATTTTAAAAGTGGAATCCGGAAAATTCAACCAAAATGTCAATGAACATCGCCGTTTTCTTTTGGAATTACTTTAATGATGTCTTCTCATTATTTTAATGCCAAACTAAAAATAATCGGTGAAGGGAAACTGAAATTATCTTAATTTTTCATTTCTATTGGTTATTTTATGTAATTTTTGTAATATTTATTAAAATTTAATTACAAAACATGAATTTTCGTATCAATAAAGAATTTCTACAATAATTAATTCATTGAAATATTTTAAAACATTAATTTTTGTTAAAAATTGATGAAAACAGCGGTTTTTAAATGGTAATTAATTAATTCTATAAACGTTAAATAATGTTTAAAATTTTTTTTAATTTAATATATACACTTAGTCATCAAAAAAAAAATGACATATCGTAAAACTCTATTCCTCTAGTTAAGTAACAAAGTCACGATCATTGCATAAGATAGGACTTTCTTAAGAGCTTAGTTGGTGCTGACTCATACGAAAAATTGGTGTTCGGCAATTTTACGACTTGTAGTCGCAAAAAACGACATAAAACTAAATTTTCTCTTTTGATGGTTTATAAAGGAACTAGAAATACATTCTATCATCCAAAGATATATATATAGATTCACTTCTGAATTATATAATAATTCATCCCCTATTAATACTGTCTGGATTTTTTTCCGTTCGACAAATTTTTAAATAAAAATTCTATATTCCCTTTAAAAGAATTAACTTTTTTAAAAATTGAAAATAAAAATAACAGATATTACACAATGTATGAATTTTTAAAAACGATGGAATGAATTTTTATAAATTTTTTTTTTATACAAAATGTATAAGTATCGACGATGCATTAATTTCATATATAGTGAGAGAGAAAACAGAAATTCTATTGCAGATGGAGAAATTAGATTGCGTTTATAATTCTTTTGTGTGGGTCGCTTTTGTTATTGGCGTTTCAAGTTCATCCCACACGCAATGTACATTTATTTGTTCATTTCGAATTTTTTTTTCACTAAAATAAATCAGTCACACACGATTCAAGGATTTTCAACCCCTGTTAGCCATCTTCTTGGAAATACATAATGTCGGATACACAGTAAGGTATCTTTCACACCAAATACTGCGTTGCGTCGTTTCACTTGAGACAACGTCTAAGTCACGTACACACAAGAAAGGATAAGAGTAAGTGTCGTAAATTACAACCGACTGTATAGACGTAGGTGCCAACGTGACTGGACCAACAAACCATCTAACATCTTACTTTTCCGTTTCATATATATATATAGACAAAATCAAATACTTGAAAAATATATCTAAACCATATAATTCCTTTTTTTGATTTTCATTTTTAAATTATCAATCACATAGAATTATTTGGATATTATTTTTTCGATTATATTCATTTCACAATTTCAGAAACCCTAAAAGTTTTCGTAAGGAAAAAGAAAAATGCATAAAAAAGAGAGGGAGAGAAAATTGAATTGAATAGTAACATAAATTTCCAACACGAAAATTGATTGTTTTGCGTGGGTTTCAAGTGCGTATTTCTTTTGGTTTCCGATGCCCGTGACGATTCTTTATTTATCGATCTGAAAGCAAAGGGTGTGTAGGATGAATACTTTGAAGATTCAATATGTGAATTATTTGATGAAGGAACGAAAACAATCACTACCCACGATTTTCTAAGATTACAAACTTATTTGTATTTCCCTCCTATTCTGTTAATTATTTACTGAAAAATAAAATCATGCATCGATTCCCGTTAATTTATCGCAAATATTTTTTCTACATGAGAAGTAGCTTGGGGGCTTCTACTGCAGTTTGCAAACTTATGATTAATAATAATATAAATTTTGCTTACAAAAAATGTATCAGATATTTATTATACTATAAATGTTCCCCTGGCTTTCAAGATAATTAATTTCTCCTTCCGGATAATTTCTTCAAGTTTAGGAGAGACGAGATTGTAGAATTATAATTGAATTCGAAGACGATGTCATGATTGTATCATAAAATAATACAACCATGAAGAGAATTAAATTTAATGCAAAGGATTCTTAAACTTATACGAAATAAAAATCTATTCGCTCATCTTATTTATCAAAAATTCATCAGCAAAAAAGAAATTCCCGGGATGAAAAATGTAGGTATTCTAAAAGTAAACTTAAGTCACATAGTATTCGAATAAGTATTGCTCCGTGCCAAAAGGTAGTCTGTGGAATACTTTGAGAAAAGTTACTAAAGTAAACTGATGGTATACTAAGATCTACCACATAGAGAGGAGAGTATACCGTTCGTATACATTGGGAGATTATATAAATTTTTCCAAATTATCTTGTAATGAACTCCAACTATAGAGTTCCAATCATGTCTAATAGATGTCGCATTGTCATATAGACAAAAATTCTTCTTAATAATAAATGTAAATAAAAATAAATAATATTAAATGATAAGTAATGTATTCATTGAATATTTTTTTATACATATAAACACCAAATATACACAAAAATTTTTTCTTAAATAACATAATTATACATAATATGTAATACTTAATTAATTAATATACAAGTTAAATAAATAATTAGATAAACATAAAGAAAAATAACTATCTGAATTAAATATTTGAAGCGATAAGTAATCTGGTATATCCTTTATAAAACTCATAATTCCGCACCTGAAAAAAATGTCAACTTTAAGTTGCATTCTAATCAATGATATATTTAAATATTTTAAAGTTATTAAATTATTTTTTATAAAAAATTTTTGTGTTATAATATTTTATACAATAATTTATTAAATAAACTATTACAATTGGCAATGAATACAAGGTTAACATTTATAATATTAATATTATATTATAATAGTTAAAGAATCATCTTACACTTCAAATTATTTCGTTTAATAAAAAACTTTAAATATTACATTAAAATAATAATTAATAAATAAATTCTCAATAAATTCTTCACTTTAACTCACTAACTACCGACTGTAGGTTCCCCTTCGTTCCTGGCAAATGCTAGAAAGCAACTGAAAACTTGAAGGTCTGCCTTAGGAAAATTTTTGAAAAAATACTAAACATTTAAAGACATATACATTGGAGATTATGTATACAAGTTAGAATACTATTTGGTATACTCTATATACTTTCAATAACGTTTGGAATACTATTTCGAATATTCCGACTACTGCGTATACTTATTCGAATACTATTCATTTTATCCCGGGAAGACGATAAAATAGTACAAAATATATGCAAACATTAATGATAAAATCGTTGCTTGATAAAGCCACGAAACGCAATGAATTACTCATAGTACGCCTTAACGGTGAGTGCAATCGATTCCGACTCTCTCTCTCTCTCTCTCTCTTGATGAACACCATCTGTAAATTGGTCAAAGCAATGTAAATTTACTCAGATTGGCGGTGTATTTTCAATTAAAAAAATTATACCACTTTTCTAAATAAATTCAAATTCTTCTAGATTGACCTCTTCGTATATCGATTAATTATTTTTGATTAAAGTCTCTTTATTTTTAGAATTTAATTTAATGGAAAATTATATATTCCAAAAAAAATAGGATTTAGAATCAGCATATATAGAGCATTAAATGATTATAGAATATACCCGCGGCATTGCAAGTTCAACGCTTAACTTCGCTTGTCGAAATTTCATTTGTTTAAATTATCCTGCATGCTGTCAGATAAATCATGAGGGAAAGGACGAGAACCAAAGTTGCGGATAACATTTTGTGTTGAATCCAATGGATGGACAAGTTACATTTTGACCTATATGCGTCAATGTACATGCCATACCAATTTAACGACAACGTTGCATTCCATCGATTTAGTCATTGTAAATTTACTATATGTAATAATACATAACATTTTATAATACAGTTAATAGTCAATCGATGTATTTTTAAATATGGATTTAATTTGTCCAAAACGAGAAGAATAAACAACTGCTGCATTAAAATATAAACATGAAACTTCTTTCAGAATTTTTAAATTGTAATTCATAAATGTTTCTATTTAACTTAAAAATTATTTTATATTAATATATCTATTTAAACTTTTGAAAATTTCATTCTACAATATTTACGCATATATATGGCGTTTAGTTCTTGGTAAAATGATGAGGTTTATTAATTAACATCCTGTCAAAGATTGATCTCTCACTTACGTGCTAATGTAGATTGGCTGTATTACGCATTGTTAATGTGCTGACACATATTCACTATATATACGACAACGATCGAATTATACCTTGTTGATCTTGATAGAAGCTATAGACATGGCTTCACAATTAGTAAATTGACAATATCAAGAGTAAGTAATTAACATTGACACTTTCTCCCTAATGACATATCTCAAAACAAGAATCCTTTATCACTTTATAAGAAATTAAATTATTCTGACGAAAATCTGAATTTTAATTATGGTAATATGTAAACTTCAGAAATGAAAATTTATGATAAAAACCCACTTTCGCGGAATTCCTGATCTACTTTTGCGACCTAATTTCACGAATTCCGTGATCTAATTTCGCGTAATCAGCAACGTACTTTCGCCGAATCTGTCCTCTAATTTCACGAAATACGTAATATAATTTTGCGGAATTCGTGACGTAATTACGCGTAATTGATGACCTATTTTCACTGTATCCGTGATCTAATTTCGCGTAATCAGCGACCAAGTTTTGCAGAATTCGTGATCTAATTTTGCGTAATTGATGACTTATTTTCGCGGTATCCGTGATCTAATTCCACAGAATTCGTGATCTAATTTCGAGAAATCCGTGATTTAATTACACGTAATCTGCAACCTAGTATTACGGAATTCGTGATCTAATTTCAAAAAATTCGCAATATAAATTTGCTGAATTCGTGACATAATTACCCGTAATTGATTACCCATTTTCGCGATATCCGTGATCTAATTCCGCAGAATTCGTGATCTAATATCGTTAAATACGTGATCTTATTACGCGTAATTCGCAACATATTTACGCGGAATCCATGATCTAATTTCGTGTAATCAGCGTCCAAGTTTTGCGGAATTAGTAATCTAATTTTGCGTAATTGATAACTTATTTTCGCAGAATTCGTGATCTAATTTCAAAAAATCCGCAATATAATTTTGCAGAATTCGTGACATAATTACGCGTAATTAATGACCTACTTTTGCGGTATCTGTAATCAAATTACTCATAATTCGCGTATTAATTACCTATTTACGCGGAATATGTGATTTGATTTCACATAATTGGCGACTTAGTTTTGTGAAATCCATGGTCTAATTTCACGAAATCCGTAATATAATTTTGTGGAATTCGTGACCTAATTACGCGTAATTGAAGACCTATTTTCACTGTATCTGTGATTTAATTTCGCGTAATCAGCGACCAAATTTTGCGGAATTCGTGATCTAATTTTGCGTAATTGATGACTTATTTTCGCAGTATCCGTGATCTAATTCTGCAGAATTCGTGATCTAATTTCGAGAAATCCGTGATTTAATTGCACGTAATCTGCAACCTAGTATTACGGAATTCGTAATCTAATGTCAAAAAATCCGCAATATAATTTTGCGGAATTCGTGACATAATTACGCGTAATTGATAACCTATTTTCGCGATATCCTTGATCTAATTTCGTCAAATTCGTTATCTACTTTTAAGAAATACGTGACCTAATTACGCGTCCTTGACGACCTATTTTTGCGGTATCCATAACCTATATTTTCGTGGTATCCGTGATCTCATTTCGAGAAATCCGCGATCTAATTACTTGTAATTCGCGACCTATTTTCGCGGTATCCATGATATAATTTCGAGAATACCGTAATCTAATTACGCGTTATCTGCAACCTAGTTTCGCGGAATCCGTGGTCTAATTTCGAAAAATCCGTGATCTAATTACGCGTTATCTGCAACTTAGTTTCGCGGAATTCGTGATCTAGCTATTCGTAATCCGTGACCTTATTTAGCAGAATTCGTAATCCAATTTTGTGAATTTTGTAATCTAATTTCGTAAAATTTGTTATCTAGTTTCGTTGAATTATTACCAATTAAGAGTCAGAAAGTCCCAATCAACTTATGGGTGGTAAATGCTGATGCAATATATCGCCTACTATTAATAGCGGCGATTGATAAAATTTTTTCTTGAAAATTAATATTAATTATAATTTTAAAAATTTATTGCAATTATGCTGATGATCCATGGGATAATTAGTTTTCGGAGATAATATTAGCTCTTGGAATTTATAATTAATTAATTTAAATATTAGCTTATGTGTATTAGGAACAACAATAATAAGTAAATAACTTAAATATATCTATTTGTAGAGTTTATATAAATAGTTTAACCCTTAAATACAATCCGTTTGTAACAACGTAATTATCCATCCTTTTAGATGGAATCCGCTTGTAGTACTTATTTGCATTAGTTTACCCTGCAATGTTAACTATGGCTGAATGAGACTTTTGAGATAAGCTATAGCTACATACCTTAAGGTTTAAAGGGGCTTGAGTAGGCTCACAATACATAATTAAGTGGTACGCTGAATCTTCCTTTCTATACAATTTCCATTTATACCGGTAAATTCATGTTATTAAATTTTCCTACGTAACGCTAATTATTCACTAATTATTAAATATTTACTGATGTGTGTATATAATCTATTTTTTTCGATTGTTATAGGAATTTATACATCAGGACATCTTGTTGATGTAGAAATAATTTTTCCACGAAGAGTAACACACGATGGTGAACTGATTTCATACAATGTAACCCATCATCAAGGAAATAATACCGATCAAGATTTACATTTGCGCTTGACTCGAGCAAACAATGAATATCATCTGCATCTAACACCAGTTGTCGATTTTATTAGTCCCAAGATAATCATCGAGAAGCAAAAGAGGAATATTCATGTTCGTCATTCAGTCAAAACTTTCAGTAAATGCCACTATCGTGGATACGTTCGGGGTCAAATAAATTCAAGAGTAGCTCTTTCTGCCTGTAATGGTCTGGTGAGTTTTATATTTATTTTCCCATTTTCAACTTCTTTGGATAAATATTTTATTATTAAATAATGTCTTATTATATTTGATTTAAATTAAGACCATATGGAAAACGAAATAAAAAGTTTCGAAAGAGGACTATTAAAATCTTGGACCAAAAGGAAGAAGAGATATTTGACCTTATACTTTGTATAAACTTTCAGTTTATATAAATTTCTTAACTTATTGTCTTAACTTTTTTTGAACATTACTGCAAGCCACACTTAATACTGTGCCCATTTTTGATCGCCTTATTCGCGTTTATAATAAATCAAGACGTACTTAAGCAGATACTTACAGCTAACCTCTAGATAGTTAGATACTGGCGCAACGTGTAATCCGGATATACCCGAGTTCAATCTAATTTTACCAGGGGATCTACTTTCTTGAAAGTACTACTCTCTTGAAAGTCAAATAAAGAGACCTCGTCGCTCAAAAGGGTTTCGAAGATCGTAAACGAGCTTTGAGTTTGGCAGAGTTATATACGCATATCTTTCTCTTTTAGCTTTTGTGACTTTACCCCATACTATCTCTATATGTATAGCGAAGCGGTAAAATTTATTCCGCGAACGCTAAATCGACTGACTAAATTAGCAACGATGCAAGAGAACCTTTAGCGGAATACTGCGAAATATTTCCCTAAACCACGAATGTAATGTAATTAGCTTCCACAATTTCTATAATCAATTAACCCTTTAATATCAGTGAATTTAGAATTTAGCTTTGTATAACGTGGTAAATTTAATCTCACCTGTTTATGAAACCCACATCCGGAGAAATTAAATAATCTTTCGAGAAGTAAACATAGAAAGAAAATTTAACTTTTAGAAAAATAAAATAATAAATATTTCTTAGATTTCCCTAAATTAATTTCAATAACTAACAAATTTTAAGAACCACTTTTTTTAATTCATCAACTAGCTAAATTCCACTAGAACAATTAACTGGAAAGATAAAAGATAGAATTGCGAAATTAATTTCGAGAACCAAGAACTCTCTTCTGATGTACATTAGGAACTAAAGTCTATTAAATTCTAACATCGATCGAAAAGAGAGATAGACTTTCTAGAAGCTGGCAAAATGCATCGTACTCGTTTGTCTTATCGCGTGACTCGTCTCGACAAACGCCTCTGTGGGCTACGGTTTTGCCTTCTAGCACGCATTGCAGTCACATTTTGAAAAATTTCAAGCTATCTCAAGTTTTTAAGTGCAAATTACTTATAGTCTCCTTCATTCCCAGTGGAAAGGATTTGCCATTAATCATTCACGATAATTCGTATCATTCGGATGAAAAAATAATTCTGGATATAAAATTCTCGCACTAATTTTTCTTTTTATATTTCTAAAGTTCAATTTTTAATTATCTATAGTAAAGAGTATAAAAAAAAATGATAAAATTATACAGACATAACTTAGTAGTTTAACTGATTTTTTTACCAACGGAAAAAACGTACTACTATTGTTTACTTTACCTTATCTTCTGCAACTTTATCTCACGAATAAATTTAAAAAAGTATCTTAATCCGCAAGTGAATAAATGAGAAAAAAAAGTATCTACACCTGAGCGAGATATTTTGATCTAATTAAAATAATTTATATATTCATTGTTGCCGATGACTTTATGTAATTTAATTTCGAATTTGTATTGTATATCGTGTGTACATAAACTATCAGTTTATCTTTCTCAAGGAACAACAACGCGAGTATATACTCATCCCGAAATGAATTATTCTTCCGCAAGTTGTACTTTATTATTCAACAAACAGTTTAACCACATGACCATGTCTGTTGAAGGGCTGGGCACATACTTGTGTTTGTAAACACAACAATCGCTATACATATATTGGTAAACAAGAAATTTAATTATATGCTATATATCTTCATGGGAATTGATTTGTTAATTTTGATAAATGAATATGCGACGAATTTATCGCACATTCATTTATCTATTAATTGTACAATGAATGTGCAACAAATTCGTTGCACATAGTTTGCCATCCGTCTGGATAAATAAAATATTAAGAAATAAGTAAATTTATCAAACGAAATACTCAATATATTTATAAAAAAAAATAAATATAAATCAACCGTCCATTTATTAATATTTAAACAATTTATAGTTAATCAATCAAAAATTATTCAAGAATCGATTCTCCCTGATCAGGTCATTAAATTTAATAATTTTATTAATTGTGCTATTATTTATTTTTTTTATTTAATTTTATACCTTCCAAGGATCGAATTTTTTCAACTTATTAAAAACATTACGAAAGGGAATATCTTTACTTTATATAAACTGTAAATCCTATTAATAAAATTTAATTAATTGTCGATATGAAGTAGACTGGTACCGGGCGACTGTAAAGTATTGTTAAATTATTAAACTTTTTAATATTAATTTAACTTTTTTCAAATCTGTCGCGTGCAGTATGGAAGATTGTAATTATCATCAATTTTAATTCAATTTTCCACATTAGTTTTGTTGCGTTACAAAAATTAAACTTTAAAAGATTTCCACAAATAGCCGGATTAATATAATTAGTAATTCCGTTTTTTATTCAGGTCGTTAATCCCTCTATTACGTAATGTAAAAAAAATTTTTATAACAAAAATGTTACGTCCCGAACTAAGGCAAGGGTGGTTTTTATTAATTAACAAAAAAGGGGAGGTAAAGTGCTGATTTATCAAGTTGGTAAATCTTGATATTTATTTTTATGTGGATTTGTGTCACTTTATAAGAACATGGGTCCTTTGTAAATAATATTATGCATATTCCCTTTTAAAATGAACAATTTATTTGACAATAATGTTTTAAAATATAATTTTACTTACAATGTTGAAGTTGATTCTGGATTGTTACAATGAATGCAACCGGCTTTACACAATTGTATCGCAGGATGACAATAATTAAGTTCGTTATTTAGCACTAATGCACCAACGACTATTTAATACTATTTAAGAGTTATTTCTCGACACTGTATCTTAATACAAAAAGAAACTTGTTTAATAATCGGAAGTAACTTTTATAAAATAATATTGATAGACAATCGAAATAAATGAACTTATAAAATACAATGAAAATTACCTTCGATCTTATATAAATTATAAGAAACAAGATTCTTTTTATTAACGCTTATTTAAAAGTACAATTTCACGACTGAAGGGCCGATTTAACGATACTGTTCGGGCAGAAACTCACCGGAGTAATATGACCATTATAAGCCCATTAACAGCGGTTTATATACTTTTTTAAACAATGAAATGATCTAATTTAATTATGATAAAAATTATAAGATCAAAAGGTTATTTAAATTTGTATTTTAGTTAATGCAATTACCTATTTTAATTATTATTGCAATTTTTATCTTCGATCAAAGTTTATCATCTCATGACATACTTTCTTATATATTTACTATATTATAATTATGTGCCTTCTCAGAAAGGTACGAAAAATATGTTTATCTATTATTATTTAAATCTTTCCATTAGTTATTGCGCAAATGTTAAGCTACTATTTAATTATTTGTATATAAATAACTTTACTGAGAATGTGATATTCTTTAATATCGACGCCTCATAATTAATTCTAATTGTAAGTTGATCAATTATCATACGGGTTGATAACGCATCGACTGCAGTGAAGAAGAGCAATGCTAATTATGGTCGATAATATTGAACAACGCATGTAGATCATTTCTTTAAAAGATGTAAACATATCTATATACTTTTCTTTTATGAGATAATTAATTTTAAATACTATATATTAATTACATTATAATAATAGTTACCCACATAGCACCGAAAGTTTCCTAAACCTGTATTAAAGCTGTGCGTGCCAAGTTGGAAAAATTTACCGTAAAGCTTAGCACAGGTTGTGTAAATATGTAAATGTCCGCAATTGAGTAAATGTTTAGCGTAAAACTGTACTAAATCTTTAAATTACGTATTTAGTACAGGTTTAGCGTAAAACTGTACTGAATCTTTAAATTACATATTTAGTACAGGTTTAGCGCAAAACTGTACTGAATCTTTAAATTACATATTTGGTACCCCTATCGAAAATTCCGATATCGAAACCTATATAGGAAACTATATGGGAAACTATATTGTTTCCCATATAGTTTCCTATATAGGAAGCTATATATAGCTATATATAGCGTCAATAATATAAAAAAAAAAAATTCTTCCGACGTGTTGACTCTGAGACGCGAACCCTCGACCATCATAGCTCTCAACCGCACTGGGAGCGCCTTAACGGGCTCGACCAGGGGAGGCTATGAAATATCTTGAGAAAATGTCTCTTATAACGAAAATACTTTAAACAGATACTTATATTATTTTGTAAAGTCATCAAACAGTTTTTCAGATGTTTATTATTACAAAGAGTATATTATTGTATACATATATTTTTTTCCAATGGTATATGCGTTTTAATACCCAATTTTATATTCGGAGTTTATTAACTTCAACATTTTAATTTAGAATGACATGAATTTAAATTTTAATCATGTGAACTCTGCATAAATTTCAATTTTTTTGGAAATAAATTAAGTAACAACCCTGGCGGACTGTGAAAACCGAGTTGTAACCGAATTGGGTTACGATTCGGTTACGATTCGGTTACGTTTCGGTTCATTGTGAAATATTATCGTTAATCGACGAAATATGTAGTAAATAACTATTAGGAATGGTTATTATACATTTAGAGAGCTTATTTATGCAATAATAATAATAAATTAAAATATAATTAATTAATAATAAGTATTTTAAGTGTACAGTGCATACAGTTGTTGAATTACCATATATATGTATATTACCATTAACGGCAGCTGTGATACGCGCGTTAAACCCTAGATGGCGTTAAGGATCACTTTTTCGAATGAATTTCTAAAATTAAGCCCTTGAGTGTCAAATGTGTAAGTGAATATATAAGTTTTAAAAAAATAGATCAATTTATTATAACAACTTTTTTGACTTGTACAAATATAAAAAATAAATTTTTATAACGAACAAAAATTTTTTTAATAAGAAAAAGTTTTTTTTGTGTCAAAATTATTCTTTCTCATTTTATTGAGAAAAAAAATTTTTTTATTCAGAAAAAAAAAATTTTTTAGGGAAAAAAAGTTTTTTTATGTCAAAATTAATGTTTCTCATTTCATTGAGGAAAAAAATTATTTTAAGAATAAAAAATTTTTTTGGAAAAAATTTTTTTTCAAAATTAATCTTTCTCATTTTATTGATGAAAATAAAAATAATAATTAAACAAATAACAAAAATAATTTTAAATAATAATTACAATAATAATAATTAAACAAATAACAAAAATAAACATTTTTTTCTTAATAAAATTTCTTTTTCTTCAATAAAATAAAAAAGATTAATTTTGAAAAAAACTTTTTCTCATTAAAAAAATTTTTGTTCGTTATAAAAATTTATTTTTTATATTTGTACAAATCAAAAAAGTTGTTTTAATAAATTGATCTATTTTTTTAAAACTTATATATTCACTTACACATTTGACACTCAAGGGCTTAATTTTAGAAATTCATTCGAAAAAGTGATCCTTAACGCCATCTAGGGTTTAACGCGCGTATCACAGCTGCCGCTAATGGTAATATACATATATGTATATGGTAATTCAACAACTGTATGCACTGTACACTTAAAACACTTATTATTAATTAATTATATCTTAATTTATTATTATTATTGCATAAATAAGCTCTCTAAATGTATATTAACCATTACTAATAGTTATTTACTACATATTTCGTCAATTAACGATATTATTTCACAATGAACCGAAACGTAACCGAATCGTAACCCAATTCGGTTACAACTCGGTTTTCCCAATCCGCCAGGGATACGAACATTGTTACTTAATTTATTTCCAAAAAAATTGAAATTTATGCAGAGTTCACATGATTAAAATTTAAATTCATGTCATTCTAAATTAAAATGTTGAAGTTAATAAACTCCGAATATAAAATTGGGTATTAAAACGCATATACCATTGGAAAAAAATATATGTATACAATAATATACTCTTTGTAATAATAAACATCTGAAAAACTGTTTGATGACTTTACAAAATAATATAAGTATCTGTTTAAAGTATTTTCGTTATAAGAGACATTTTCTCAAGATATTTCATAGCCTCCCCTGGTCGAGCCCGTTAAGGCGCTCCCAGTGCGGTTGAGAGCTATGATGGTCGAGGGTTCGCGTCTCAGAGTCAACACGTCGGAAGAATTTTTTTTTTTTATATTATTGACGCTATATATAGCTATATATAGCTTCCTATATAGGAAACTATATGGGAAACAATATAGTTTCCCATATAGTTTCCTATATAGGTTTCGATATCGGAATTTTCGATAGGGGTACCAAATATGTAATTTAAAGATTCAGTACAGTTTTGCGCTAAACCTGTACTAAATATGTAATTTAAAGATTTAGTACAGTTTTACGCTAAACCTGTACTAAATACGTAATTTAAAGATTTAGTACAGTTTTACGCTAAACATTTACTCAATTGCGGACATTTACATATTTACACAACCTGTGCTAAGCTTTACGGTAAATTTTTCCAACTTGGCACGCACAGCTTTAATACAGGTTTAGGAAACTTTCGATGCTGTGTGGGTATCTATAAGTCTAATTATTATGTATATTATGTGTACATATATGCACATATATATATATCCATAATTATGTAAAAAATTATTTTGAAGTGGTCGGGATGTAACAAAAAATAATTTTCAAATTATTAAAAATGTCAATTATAGTTATAAAAATTTATTTTGCATTTTTGCCCCTGGATTCACATTCAATAGCTCGGGAACGATTTTGATTATTATTTTCTATTGAATATTTGGAAAATAAGATAAGGAATTACACAATGGAAGGAGTAAAATTTTTCAACTACAACTAAATAAAGTGACTTTAACAAATTTTGGAATCAATGGTAAAAATAAATTGAATACACAAAAGGTTAAAATATACGCGATTAAAGCGAATAACCGACAGCTTTAGACGGCAGTATTCTTAGGAATTAGGAAATATGAAAGATTTTAAAGATTAAAAGAAGATTTCTAAAGAAATAAAAGATAATTTTCAAAATATAATTTTTTGACATTTATTTTTTTATTCAGTTGATTAATTTTCCCTGAAGATGTAAAAATATAAATATATCGTCCTTCTTAGATTTTTGAAATTATTCGATAAATTCTTGAAGATTGTAGAAAATAATTAAATTGTAGATTTTGGAATAATAGAAATATTTGTAAAATAATTTGAACTTGTATATTGAAAATTGATTTGTAGAAAAACTCAAGAACTTGTAAATTTTAAACTTGAAAATTGACTTGGAAATTTAGAAGTTTGAACTTGAGAAACTCCAAGAATGTGTGGTTTCTGGTTATGAAACTTATTGATATCCCACTTGGAAAGATTCCCCGGCAAGTGCCCACTGGAGATTCTATCAGAATTCCGCCGGAACTTCCAACGTAATTCCGTCGGAATTCCAAAGAATTTCCGATATTATTCCGACGGAATTCCGATTATTTTTTTTCAAAATATTTAGAGTCCTAATTTCATCGGAATTCCGTCAGAATTCCCTCGGAACTCCGTCGGAATCCCATCGAAGATTCCCCGGAAAGTGCCACCTGGAGATTCTATCAGAATTCCGCCGGAACTTCCAACGTAATTCCATCGGAATTCCAAAGAATTTTCGATGGGATTCCGACGGAGTTCCGACAGAATTCTGACGGAATTTCGATGGAATTAGGACTCTAAATATTTTGAAAAAAATTAATCGGAATTCCGTCGGAATCATATCGGAAATTCTTTGGAACTCCAATGGAATTACGTTGGAAGTTCCCGCGGAATTCTGATATAATCTCCAGGTGGCACTTTCCGGGGAATCTTTCCAAGTGGGATGGCTATACTTTTTTTTAATAAACCAAATTGGGCAATATTAATTGATAAAATTCAATAATATTTTTTATTTAATAAGGGAAATTATTGTTAAGTACGAACAAGTAGCATATTCTAGTTAAAAGCGACAATTTCTTAAAGTAAAAACCACATAGCAAATTGATGCAACATTGGATTAATTAAAAAATTAAAATCATAAAATAATTATGATTCATTGTAATTACAGTGGTTTTCGTAACAATTTTCACTCACTATACGAATGTGCGATGAATGTGCAACGAATTCGTTGCATTCCAACCCGGCAGGGACGCTATATAAATAATTTAACGTTATAGATTAAAGATGAATATACATATTTTAGAGAAGGACGTTGATTATCCCTTGAATGTTTCCAGTTAGAATTTATATGTGTCAATTGGAAATTCTCTAAGTTGTGTCAAGAAAACACTATCGAGGTATATGTGGACTACCAAAGATATAACGATGCTTAACGGAGCAAAGCAAATATCCTACCGCAGTACGATACTATTTAGTCAAAGGGTCATAGAGCGTCGATCGAGTGGAGAGAGTAGGGTATTCACGGGCAATTGCCAGATCGGCGATTGCCCGTAAAATTCGTGGCCTCTACGTTCATGAGGTAGTAAACTCAATTAATCGGCAACTACCAACACTTCTATGCTGTGGAACAACCAATAAGTAATTTTGACCTTTAATTCTCAATATTAAGATCAAATTTTATTTGTCTACTTTCTCAAATTCGATATAATTCATTGATTTAACTTGTTTCTAATTGTAAATTAAAATTAAAAATAGCTATATTATTTTTATAATGGAAAGTAAAGGCAAAATTTATAGGTGCATTTTTTTTGTTGATTTATTGTAATACATTTTTTAATATTAAAGGAAAAAAAAATCTGTACATAGTTTATTGTCGTAAAGTTTATACACGTATATATTATATATTAAAAGATCGTTTAAATCACTTGGAATCTTTTATGTGGGTAATATGTTAAAATTAAAATTTCATTATGAGAATTGCTCATTCAACTTCCGCTGTGTGTACTATTAAGGAGTCTTCGGTGAGATTTCAGTGTAGAAACCACAGCTTAATATCTATTATGGCCACTTATTCGCATTAGCTGGCGCTCTGTTATTAAAGTTTGTACTTTACGTCTTCATCTAAAACCGACATAATGAAATTGATAATGTTTCCAATTAACTTGTCTTTTAAACTACAAATAAACAAAAAAATTGTATTTCTTTGATTTAATAATATATAATTTTTTCCCCCTAATTTATAGATTAAATAACGTTTTTAAAAATTATCTAAAAATTTCTACTTTCTTGATATAGAAATAAATTTTTCCCCACTTGTAGAAGATTTACTAGTATAAAATAAAGTCTCCAATAAAGAAGGTGAACAATAATTTACCCATTGTAAGATTCTAGAAAAATGGCATAAGAAGTAATTTAATTATTAGATCCAAATTATTTAATCAATGAAATTTTTTTTATTAATCATTAATATCGGTAAAAAATTTCTGTCTGTCAATATAATTGTTTAACATATGTCGATAGGAGCCCTTTAAAAGCAATATTATATTTGAATGTTATAGAGGCAATATTATTTTAATACACTGTGACTGACGCTTTCAAAGTTACTTCAATCAGCTATATACATTGTATATACAGAAATAAATGCGTGTATCTTCAGCATATCAATGGTTATGTTTCAGGCAGGTGTCATTCATGAAGAAAATGGTGAATTCTGGCTCGAACCAATTGATAATAAATTCCATCACGAAATTCAAAATGACATAAAATCTGCAAATCTACTTTCGAAGCTTGCTAAACCTCACGTTCTGTTTCGTAGATCAAGTGTTGCATTCAATGAACATAGGAGAAATAAAAGAAGAAAAAAAAAGAAAGCTGAACAAAATTGCGGTACCCGCGGTGAGAATCTCTTGTAAGTTATTTGTACAGTCCCATCACAAAGAGAAATAACAAAACTTTAACCAATTCATAATTATAGGGTTACCAAAAATTCTAAAAAGTTGTTTTAAAAATTAATCCGCTTTTTTTGTATAGTAAACAGAAAGCTATACGAAATGAAATTGCCTAAAAGTATAGAGAATTCATTAAAAATTTCCCTCGATTCTGTATTCCAAAAATTCATCACTTCCGGTCAAACTTTCGCAATGGGAAATCAATTTTCAGAAGTATAATATTTATATGTATTTTGAACTGTACAGAACCACGTCGATTGTTTGAAACACACGACAAAGAACAGAATCAATCGAGAGTTGATGAAGTTCAAGGACAAGGACGAAGAAAGCTACCACTGAGACAATGGCAACGAGCCAAGAGATCTATAAGCAAAGCAAGACATGTGGAAGCTCTTGTCGTCGCAGACACCAGTATGACAGCTTTCCATCAGGATGGTGACGTCGAAACATATCTTTTAACAATTATGAATATGGTCTCGGCACTCTATCTTCATCCATCGATTGGCAATTTTATCAATATTGTCGTTGTTAGAATTATTCTAATAGAAGAAGAGGATATAGAGGTATATGTAAAAATCAATTATTGAATAGTTCATTTATTCAATTTAACTGGAATTTTCATTTATTTTCCACATTGTTTCCAGTTATTATGAATGTGCAACGAATTTGTTGCACATTCATGGTTCCCGATTCGCCGCAGGGTTAAAGCGCATGTAAACAGTTCCGAGTTTTTCAAAACTAATTTAAGTAAACTAATGTTGATTCCTAAACTGTATTTCAATGCAATTCTCACTAAATCATAATTATTATTGCAAATTCAATCAAGTTCCCTGGTTTAAATTTCGGAATAATTTCAGATTAAATACAGATTCAGGGGGTCAATTACATAACTTTTTCCGGATCCCACATTTTGTATTGCACATTCCGGATTCCATATTCCGGATTCCACATTCCAGATCCCACATTTCGGATTCCACATTCCGGATCCTACATTTCGGATCCCACTTTCAAAATTCCGTATATCAGATTCCGGAGTCCACTAACAAAATTCGGTATTCCGGATTCCACATTCCGGATCCCACTTTCCAAATTCCGTATTTCAGATTCCACATTCAGGATTCCACTTTTAAAATTCCGTATTATACATTCCGGATTCCATATCCCGAATCCCACATTCCGGATTTCACTTTTCACAGTCTGTATTCCGAATTCCATATCCCATATCCCACATTCCGGATTTCACTTTTTACAGTCTGTATTCCGAATTCCACATTCCGGATCCCACTTTTAAAATTTCGTATTTCAGATTCCACACTCCGGATTCCACTTTTTACATTCCGGATTCCACATCCCACATTCTGAAAGTGGAATCCGGAATGTGAAACGTAGAATACGGAATGTGGAATGTAGGATCCGGAATACAGAATTTTTAAAGTGGATTGCGGAATACGGAATCAGCAAAGTTGAAACCGGAATATGGAATCCGAAATGTGAAATGCGGGATCCGGAATGTGGAATCCGGAAAAAGTTATATAATTGACCCCCAGTTTGAATTAGTTCAGAAATTGTACGACAAACAATCCAAACATGATCGGTATTAGCAATCAGTTTGGATGAACAGATAAATCGGAGATCAGATGGGAATAGTACGCAATTGACATGAAATAAATCCGCAATTAGTCCGCAACAATTTTGATTTTAGTTAGATCAAAAAAGTAATCCAAAATGAATTCATAATTTGTATTTAAACTATCCGCAAACAGTGCACAATAATCCGGATTAAGTATACTATCAAAATACTGAATCCGACATGAGTCCGTAATAATCTGAAAAATCTTTATGTGGAAAATTTGGTATTTATTTGTAATTAAAATATTCTTAGGCGAAATTCTGAGCTATATAATTTGGTTTTATTTAACTTACAAGTTACAATTAATACAATCCAAATAGGAGTCTAGAATTTGTATGTAAACTATATCCACAAACAGAACGCAACAATTCGGATTAAGTACTGTCAAAAAACTAAATCCGGCATTTATGTGAAAAATCTGGTATTAGTCCACAATAATCCTGAGTTAATTTATTAAAAAATCCTAATCCGAACTGAGGATTCATTTCGGATTAATAATATTATACCACATTAAGACCGGATTGTTGTTGATTAATACTGAATTTCTTACATAGAGTCTCCGGATTCTTCCGGACTCATTTTCATCAAACTGATTTCGGATTAGACCTGATTTAATTCCGAATTAATTACACAAATCGGATGAATTTCGGAATTAGACAAACTAATTACGGATGACAAAAACCTGACAATAAACCGGATTGTTTGTAACTAATTCAAGATTAGTAGAAAACAGTTCAATAAATTTCCCAAAGATCAGGGAACTATTTTCCTATGACCTAATGATTTCAGCATGGACTGAACGTTTCAATTAATGCAGAGAAGACTTTGATCAACTTTTGTAAATGGCAAGAGAAATTGCAGCTTGGCGATGACACACATCCAAATCACCATGATGTTGCAATATTGATTACCCGAGAAGATATATGCACACGAAATGATACACCATGCAGTACTCTTGGCGTAGCTCATGTGGCAGGTATGTGTCAACCCAATCGCAGCTGCAGCATCAACGAGGACAACGGGATCACTCTTGCACATACCATTGCCCACGAGTTAGGCCACAAGTAAGTTTCACCTTTACAAAACCAAAACACTGACAATCAAAATCCACCGTGTATATATAATAGATATATTTGAGAATTAATTTCCATAAAGAAAATTCGTTACCTTTCGTTTTCAATAAATTCTTGTAATAATTCTGCAGATGCAATTTTCTATCGGAAATTAAAAGAATTCGGAATAAAATAATTTTTTTGATTACATTTACAAAACTTATCAAAATTTGAACATTTTTGTAACTTTTGTACGAATTGTGATTAATTAAATATTTATATGCATTTCAGTTTTGGGATGTATCATGATACAGAAAAAATGGGTTGTAATAAACGAAATGGCAATAAATTACATGTGATGACATCGACATTCGAACCAGACGCTATGATTGTAGCTTGGTCCAGATGTTCAAGAAGAGATATCACTAACTTTCTAGAGTGAGTGATTAAATTCCTTATATGTCTTTCCGCCTCTAAATTGACCTTTTAGCTTTTTCTATTGTTCAACACACACCCTTCGATTTTGGACCTTCTTTTTTCGATATAAAAACCTTTTCTTTACACACTTAGTTTGATTTCCCTTTCGTTTCCTTTTTTGTCATTTCCTTCATTCTGTTATTTAATTTCTTAAGTGAACTCCGTAATCTTACATCATCAATTTTTTTTTCTATCCAGTGCGAGGTGTTTTTTTTTTTTTACTTATTTTCACTAATTTCATTAGACGTAACGAATTCTTGTTTAATAAATTTATCCCTTCGTAAAAATGTATTAAACGTATATGAATTAATATTGATAGTTTCCAGTATTAATTAATTAGAAAATCAGATTTAGAAAGCCAAAGTGAAACCAATGGATTGAATTAGATTAATTATCTAATTCAATCCATCGGTTTGACTTTGACTTTTCAAATCTAATCTCCTAATTCTTTTAGGACATAATTTTTAATGGATTTTTACTTTTTCGGATAGAAAGCGTTATAATATTTCAAAATGAGTATATAGACTTTGTGATAGGTTGCTTTTATAGTTCCTTGAATGTTATTGTGTAAACATTTTCAGTAAAGGTAAAGGAAAGTGTCTCGAGGATGAACCTGCAGATAACGATTATGCTTACCCAGATCTTCCTCCAGGAGCAATGTACAACGCAGAACACCAGTGTCGACTTCAATTCGGAGTCAGAGAAGCGTCAGTGTGTTCGCCATTGCAGGAGGTAAAGTTAGATTTGTACAAAGGAAAACGTATCTCAACTGTGACGTCCCAGAGGGGTGGCGAATGCAAGCTACATATATATATATATCAAGAAAGGGATTGTAAACTCGATGTTTCGAGACAATTTTTTACAGTATACTATTTTCAATATTGAAATTGAAAATTCCTAAAGAAATATCTTTATATATATATATATTTTATTTTAATTTCAATTTTAAATAAAAGATTATTAATTAAAAATAATTTATCTAAATTTGTTTATAGGAGAGAAATTAATATATTTTCTTTTCTTGTTATTAGATTTGCTCTAAACTTTGGTGTGTTGTGAATGGAACTTGCACAACAATGTTGCATCCTGCTGCACCTGGTACACATTGTGGCAAACATATGGTGAGTTTAACTTTATTGATAAATGCATATGGTCAGTAATAATTTCACGATTATTGCAAACAATTAAATTGTCAGTAAATATTTATTCCATGTAATTTAATCCTATAAGATATTAATTGCTGACATAAATAATTACTGATTAGTAAAATAATGTAGAACAAGAGGAAAAAGATGACAATTTTTTAAATCCCAACAAAAATATCTTCGATGTAAAAAGTTACGCCAAGCAAAAATTATATCGAAACAATCTATGAAATGAAAGTTAGTTAAGTAAATTTTAGGATTATATGTTAAGTTTTAATTAATTTTTTTAATATAAATAATTAAATTCAAAAATGGTATATTATACAAATTATAATTTTAATATATGCGTGCAATGTATAGAAAAAAATAATAGTTTTGATCTAAATATGATAATAGAGTTAATAATTATTATCAAAATAATTAATTGAAATCAATTTTTTGATTAAAAAAAAAATTCTATCAATTCCAGAACTAATTATTTCTTATTTAATATAGAAATAGAATATGAATATTATAGAATAGAATATTGTATAGAATATGTAATTTAGTAGAGAAAGTACAATAAATTCTTAATGTTTATTTATTTTAATTTCTTTTTACACTTTTGTTTCGAGCGCATTGGATTGGGAAAAAGTAGGTAGCACATCTGTGGGGAGAAACTTGCAATGTGACGCTTTTCCAGAATTTTATCGATAAAGTAACTTTCAAGCTTATCATGTTCCGAGATAACTATATAGCTTCTGCGGGAGCTTGCGTAGACGCAGCAAACGTAGAAAACCTTTGGTAAACTATATTAAAGAAAAAATTTCCACGACATCATTCCAAGAAATCCGAAACAAAAAGCGGAACAGAGTTCACTCTTTTCTTCAAAGAGGGGAGTTTTGCTTCCTCAAGAGGAAACTTTGTAGAGTTACAAATTTAATTATTCTTTCCTTAATTTTCAGACACAATTTTTGTCACTTCCCTTACTTAAATCTAATTTTTAATGTATGTTTAACAGAATTTTCATTTCATCGAATCTTTCTTCAATATAATTTGCAAATTAATCTAGTTCTCATTAGACCAAATTGTTATTTTATTTTAGAATCAATATAATAACAAGTTAATATTATAATTAACCCCTTAACTGCGATGACGAAAATTTAACGGACAAAATTTTCGTTATATCAGCAGTTAAAGGATTAATATTATTTAATTAATAAATATTTAAAAATAATTGAAATTAAAACTTGGATTTGAAACTTTTTTAACGACATACAGTGGTGTGAGAATCAAGAATGTGTCCCAATGATGGACAAACCAATTGAAATTGATGGTGGATGGGGTGAATGGAGTTCATGGAGCGAATGTTCAAGAAGTTGTGGTGCCGGTGTATCAATAATGGAGAGAAAATGTGATCATCCAGAGCCTGCTAATGGAGGAAAATTTTGCATCGATGAGAGACGTCGTTATAAAATTTGCAATGTGGAATCATGTTCAGAAGACGTTCCTACTTTCAGGAGCTTTCAGTGCAGCAGCTACAATGGAATAGAATACAAGGGAAGAAACTACACATGGTTACCATATTTTCACAAATGTAAGCGATATATTTTTAACAAACATCAATTACAAATGACAAACATGGATACTCTAAAGAGATAAGTGAAAAAAATTTATCTAAAAGCTTGAATCGTTCAGCGGAACCATGCGAGTTGTACTGCACTGATACCGATGAAGGAATTATTGTACCTTGGGGTGAATCTGCATTCGATGGAACGCCTTGTAAACTGGGATCAAGGGACATGTGTATCGCAGGAATTTGCAGGGTAATTTGAAAGATCATGGATTTATTTCTCTTTTATAATTAAGTATAGAAAAATTGAGTTAATGGAGCTGGAGGTCAATTACGTAACTTTTTCCGGATCCCACTTGTAAAATCACGTATTTCAGATTACGGATTACTCAAAACAAAATTCCTTATTCCGGATTCAATTTTTCACATTCTGTATTCCAGATTCCACATTCCGAATCCCACTTTCAAAATTCGTGATTCCACTTTCAACAATCCGTATTCTTCATTCCGTATTTCAGATTCCACTTTGAGAATTCCGGATTCCAGATTCCACTTTTCACATTCCGTATTCCACTTTTTAAAATTCGGTATTTCAGATTCCATATTCCGGATTCCACTTTCAAAATTCTGTATTTCGGATTTCACATTCCACTTTTCACATTTCGGAATTCACATTCCATATTCCACTTTTCACATTCCTGATTCCACTTCCAAAATTCCGCATTCCACATTGAACATTCTGAAAGTAAAATCCGGAATATGGAATCCGGAATGTAGAAAGTGGAATATACAGAATATGAAATAAAGGATCCGGAATACGTAATTTTGTAAGTAGAATCCGAAATACGGAATGTGAAAAGTGGAATCCGGATTATAGATTATGGAATCCGGAAAAAGTTACGTAATTGACCGCATGGAAATAATTCCGGACTGTTCTTGGGGGTCAATTACGTAACTTTTTCCGGATTCAAATTTTCATATTCCGGATTCCAAATTCAGGATTCCACTTTTCACATTCCATATTCCACATTTTGGATTCCACGTTTAAAATGTTATATTCCGAATCCTATATTCCACATTCCGGATTCCATTTTCCACATTCCGTATTCCACTGTCAGAATGTGGGATGTGAGATCCGGCATTTTGAAAGTGGAATCCGGAATGTAAAAAGTGTAATCCAGAATATGGCATTCAGAATGTAGAATCCGGAAAGAGAAAAGTGGAATCCAGAATACGGAATGTGGAATTTGAATATGGAATTTTGAAAGTGGGATCCGGAATGTGAAATGTGCAATGCGGAATGTGGGATCCAGAATACGGAATTTTGAAAGTGGAATTTGGAATGTGGGATCTGGAAAAAGTTACGTAATTGACCCCCTAGAATAATTTGGAATTAGTCCGAAACATTCCGGTTTGTCAGGTTTTTGTCATCCGGAATTAATCCAGGTAAATCTGAAATTTGATGGATTTATGTAATTAGTAAATCTGTAATTAATCAGGTTTAATCTGAAGTCAATTTCGATCAAACGAAACTACTCGGGGGTTTTTAGAGTCGCTGATTACGAATCTGATGTCAGTTTTTCAAAATTCAAAATGGCGAATCCAATATGGCGGATGACAAAATTAAAAATTAGTTGGATTTACCTAAAACTTGTTACTCGGGGGTTTTTAGGGTCGCTGATTACGAATCTGTTGTCAGTTTTTCAAAATTCAAGATGGTGAATCCAATATGGCGGACGAAAAAATTTAAATTTAATTGTAAAGGTGTCATATTGAATTTACTATTTACTTCCATCTTGAGTTTTGAAAAACTGACAACAGATTCGTAATCAGCGACCCTAAAAACCCCCGAGTAACAAGTTTCAGGTAAATCCAACTAATTTTTAATTTTGTCATCCGCCATATTGGATCCGCCATTTTGAATTTTGAAAAACTGACATCAGATTCATAATCAGCGAACAGTGTCAAAATTTTTTTAAATAAATAAATTAATATTTCAATTAAACTTTCTTTAATAGTCATATATATGTATATTTTGCCACTCAAAATATGACTTTCCAACCCCTATTTTCAATCCTTAAAATATCTTCATTGCCGATATAAAAAAAGACGTGTCAAATATTTTTAAATCCTCTAAAAAATGCGCATAGACTCAAGTCAATCGGCGATTGTCACTTGGGCAGTGTTTTACTTGTAAGATTTACATTTTTTTTCCGCCATCATTTTTCAGAAAGTTGGATGCGATTGGAAAGTTGACTCTAATGCAACGGAAGATCGCTGTGGAATTTGTCATGGCGATGGTACTCAATGCGAAACAATAAGTGGCTTTTATGATAATATTGAAGGACAAGGATATAAGGAGGTAATTGTAATTCCTGCCAGATCGAGAAATGTGAAAATTGAAGAAGTGGGAGATAACAAAAATTTTATTAGCATTGGAATACCAAATTCAGATGAATATTTTCTCAATGGTAAAAGGTAAGAATATATGTTATAAAAATTTAATTTTAATAAATCCAACATTTTGTCGATGTTTCGAAAAAATAAACCCATGATTTTTTTTTTGCTTTACCTTCTTAAAAAGGCAAATCACCCTGCCAGGTGAATATTTAATTAGCGGAACTCTTGCACTCTATGAACGTGATAATGATATGGAAAAAGTGGAAATTCCAGGGCCAATTAAACAAGATATTGCTATTTATGTAAGTTGAAATTTATTATAATATTTGTAACTTAAATGTTTTTCACAGTTATTTTATAATTTTTGCAAAACGAACACTTGTAGATTATAGAAAAGTTAAAAAAAAATTCTCCGTGGTAATAATAATTTTAAAGTAGTACAATATAGTAAAATAGTAATAGTAAAATATTTATGACTGTCAACAGTTGATGTGCTTTTTATGAAATCTGTAAAGTACCGACTAATTTCTGTAGTACAGAATAAGGTAAACCTTCTAATTTACCTGTTCCTTGAAATTTTTGAAAATGTTGACTAATAAATTGAATGCATGTTTTTTTCAATCCTTGCCTGCTTAATTTATCTGCTAATGTTACAACATCAGTGACATTATCAGAATCTAAATTTTTGGACAATACTTCTTCGCAAACAATCATCAAATCTTCAATTTGATAAAAGTGAGCAGCATTTAAAATTTCCAGAGCCAATTCATCTGACTTTTCTATCTTGCCGGTGTACATAAAACGCAAAACTTCGACAAATACCTCATAGTTAATATCAGTAACGTTCACATCATTTGTAACTGACTCTTTCATGTCAATGGCAAACATTTTATTAAAAACTGTACTTTTTGAAGTAAGAATGCTCTTATGGGCATGTATTGTTTTATTTCCTACGTGAAGATTGACGTCTTTGATTTTATCTTCACTAATGAAACATTCATCTTCTTGTAACTGGTTGTGTTGAATGTTTGCTTTCAAAAACATTTCTACTTTACAGAACAATATTAATTCATTTTCTTGTAAATTTAAATCATCTTTTAAATTATAAATAGATAAAGTTCCAAGGTATACGTCCAGATTCTTCTTATTCTTTTCAAAGTAAATCATTCTACTTAGAGTAAACAGTTTTTCATTCCTCGGGTTTAGTACTGAGATACATATAAAAAAATTAATAATAGAATCCGTACTTGAGTGTTCACGATCATAAATGCATAAGTAAACATGCGTAATATCAAAACTTTTTAATTTTTTTAATAATAAATTACAAATAAATTGTGGATACTTCGTCATTGAGCAAGGTTGACTTTCCTCGTCAGAATGTATTTTATTATTTAAAAAATTATATTCATTTGGAAATATCCATTTGAAAATCATTGTGTCATCAGCAACCATTGTCAATCTGTAACAAACATCCAAAAAAATGAAAAATTCTGTGATTATCCCACAAATAATTAGGAGACTATTTTTAAAAACTCGAAAAATAATCACAATTCTTTTTCAGTTATATTGTGAGAATTATTTAACAATGTTTACTCTAATAGAACCATAAATACGACTTTACTTATGACCCTTAAGGTCAGGTCCAAGTGAGGCAGCGCCATCTACATTGAAACTAAAATTTTGGAAAATTTTCAACAGCCTTTTCTTGAAAACAAGAAGGTAAAATGCTTTTTCCTTTATGGATAATTGATTATTGGCAAGATATACACCAGCTAAAACTTTTTTTGAGTTAAAATAATAAAAAAAATTTCATGTCAATAAATTAAATATGAGCACTTTTTTCACAAAAACTGTAACAGTACTTTCTCAGAAATTACAATCAAAAATGCAATTTCCATTTGGAAAATTAATAAACGCTAAAAAATACACGACCTAAGATTTACCAATCACGAAAATTAGAAAAAAAAATTTTATTAAATATTTAACATATTGATACTGCTTTACTGATTGTGACAACCCTTTGGTAGATTATGTATTTCAGGTGGTTAGCAACAGCGCCAATCTCCTCCTTTCGGCAAAACTGCGAAACGTCTGGTGACATATATAACCTGCCAAACGGCTGTCATAATGAGTAAAATATGTTATGTTAAAATACTTTTTTTTTGTTATTTTCGTGATTGGTAAATCTTAGGTCGTGTATTTTTTAGCGTTTATTAATTTTCCAAATGGAAATTGCATTTTTGATTGTAATTTCTGAGAAAGTACTGTTACAGTTTTTGTGAAAAAAGTGCTCATATTTAATTTATTGACATGAATTTTTTTTTATTATTTTAACTCAAAAAAAGTTTTAGCTGGTGTATATCTTGCCAATAATCAATTATCCATAAAGGAAAAAGCATTTTACCATCTTGTTTTCAAGAAAAGGCTGCTGAAAATTTTCCAAAATTTTAGTTTCAATGTAGATGGCGCTGCCTCACTTGGACCTGGCCTTAATACACGGTCGGGAATTTGAAACAATAATTACGTCCGTATTCATGATTATTTATGTATTTTAGACCTCATTTACGGTCATTTTACTTAAAAACAATATTTAATTTTTGTCTAATTAAAAAAAATTTTTATTTTTAAAAATCTATTATTTAATATATTTTTTAAATAATAAATAACTAGATTTTGATTAAAATTACTTTAACATTTAATAAAATATAAACATTTTTTTTTAAATCATATAAAGACTGCAGTATAGTCGTTTTTCTCATTTATTATCAATTTATAAGTTTCCGTCTAATCTTTGAATAAGACTTTTATTACACAGAAAGTTGAATAAGACGGGGCTCATGAATATCCCATAAAAATCATTAGTCAGACTTTTCATTTGTATGAATTTCATTTGACAGAATTTCTTTTTAGACGAACTTTTATTTTTCGAATTATCATTTGTATTACTTTCTTTATAAACAAAATTTTATTTAACATAATTTTTAGGTACCGAATTTTTATTGTAACAAATTTCTTTTTATCCATCTTTTATTTAAAATTATTATAATTTATTCAATTTTAATTTATCAGAATTCTCATTCAACAGAATTTTAGTTATTCAAATTGTTTAATGTCAAAATTTTTAATTTATCGAATCTCCATTTATTCGAATTGTTATTTGATAGAATTCCTGAAATAACAAATTTTCATTTGATAGAAATTACAAATGACCAAACAAACAAAAATCAGGAAAATTTAGGCGCAATTTTTAAAATAGACCAATCAGAAATTGTTAAGAAAATTGTGATTTTTCTATTTTAAAAAAAGCGCTGAAATCTTTTTGACTTTTGTTTGTTCGGCTATTTGTAATTTCTATCAAAGAAAAATTTGTTGTTTTAGGAATTCTATCAAATAATAATTTGTGTAAATAAAAATTCTGACACATGGAGATTCGATAGTTTAAAAATTCTAACATTAAATAATTCGAATCGCTAAAATTCTGTTGAATGAGAATTTTGATAAATTAAAATTGGTTTAAATTATAATAAATAAAATAAAATAAATAAAAATAAAAAATTTGCCAATGGAAATATTAAAAATGTTTCAATAACGTCGAGGGAAAAAATTTGATCTCAAATAATTAAATTAATAATTATTTAAATGTGCATCTTTATTAGTAATTTTATCAAAAGAATTTTAAAATCATTTTTTAAAATCATTTTGCAACAATTATATTAAATAATAATAATAATTAAATAATAATAATAGTTATTTTTTATTAACGCGCCGTAATTGGCGCACTCACCGTAATTGATGAACTTACCCAATCTAAAAATTAGGGGCGGTACGAATTCAACACAAGTAAACTCTACACAAAAAAATACTGCACCGCTAACTGTACACGAGTCAATTCTCAACAAAATTAAATAAAAATATATTCTTCACAATTAAATACTACATCGAAAAACCCTGCACAATAAACTATTTACTAGAAAATTATCTCCATAAACTCTACACAAATAAACTCAACACATTAAGATATAGAATTAGAAAAATGAAAAAAAAATTTTTTATAATTCTACACAAATAAATACTACATCAGTAAATTTTACAAAGCTATAAAAAATAAAAAATTAAATTCGACACAATTAAATTTTACACATGAAAATAATATTTTCTTTATTTCCGATTATTTATAAAATTCTACACAATTAAACTCAACATTTATAAATTCTACACATCAAATAAAAATATTTTAATCCTACACAAATAAACTGTACACATTCAAAATTCAACATATTAAATGAAAATAATTAAATTCAAAACGAGAAAACCGTACACAAGAAAATACTTCACCGCTAACTGTACACGAGTAAATTCTCAATAAAATAAAATAAAAATATATTCTACACAATTAAATACTACATCGAAAAACCCTACACAATAATCTATTAACTAGAAAATTATCTCCATAAACACTACACAAATAAACTCAACACATTAAGATTTAGACTTAGAAAAATAAAAATATTTTTTTTATAATTCTACACAAATAAATATTACATTAGTGAATTCTACACAGCTATAAAAAATAATAAATTAAATTCGACACAAAAGGAAAGATTATTTTCGTGTGTTGAATTTAATTTATTATTTTTTATAGCTGTGTAGAATTTACTAATGTAATATTTATTTGTGTAGAATTATAAAAAAAATATTTTTATTTTTCTAAGTCTAAATCTTAATGTGTTGAGTTTATTTGTGTAGAGTTTATGAAGATAATTTTCTAGTAAATAGTTTATTGTGTAGGGTTTTTCGATGTAGTATTTAATTGTGTAGAATATATTTTTATTTTATTTTATTGACAATTTACTCGTGTACAGTTAGCTGTGGAGTATTTTCTTGTGTAAAGTTTTCTCGTTTTGAATTTAATTATTTTCATTTAATATGTTGAATTTTGAATGTGTTCAGTTTATTTGTGTAGGATTAAAATATTTTTATTTGATGTGTAGAATTTATAAATGTTGAGTTTAATTGTGTAGAATTTTATAAATAATCGGAAATAAAGAAAATATTATTTTCATGTGTAAAATTTAATTGTGTCGAATTTAATTTTTTATTTTTTATAGCTTTGTAAAATTTACTGATGTAGTATTTATTTGTGTAGAACTATAAAAAAAATTTTTTTTTATTTTTCTAATTCTAAATCTTAATGTGTTGAGTTTATTTGTGTAGAGTTTATGAAGATAATTTTCTAGTAAATAGTTTATTGTGTAGGGTTTTTCGATGTAGTATTTAATTGTGTAGAATATATTTTTATTTTATTTTATTGACAATTTACTCGTGTACAGTTAGCTGTGGAGTATTTTCTTGTGTAAAGTTTTCTCGTTTTGAATTTAATTATTTTCATTTAATATGTTGAATTTTGAATGTGTTCAGTTTATTTGTGTAGGATTAAAATATTATTATTTGATGTGTAGAATTTATAAATGTTGAGTTTAATTGTGTAGAATTTTATAAATAATCGGAAATAAAGAAAATATTATTTTCATGTGTAAAATTTAATTGTGTCGAATTTAATTTTTTATTTTTTATAGCTTTGTAAAATTTACTGATGTAGTATTTATTTGTGTAGAATTATAAAAAAAATTTTTTTCATTTTTCTAATTCTAAATCTTAATGTGTTGAGTTTATTTGTGTAGAGTTTATGAAGATAATTTTCTAGTAAATAGTTTATTGTGTAGGGTTTTTCGATGTAGTATGTATTTAATTGTGAAGAATATATTTTTATTTAATTTTGTTGAGAATTGACTCGTGTACAGTTAGCGGTGCAGTATTTTTTTGTGTAGAGTTTATTTGTGTTGAATTCGTACCGCCCCTAAAAATTATGTTAAATAAAATTTCGTTTACAAAGAAAGTAATTCAAATGCTAATTTCGAAAAATGAAAATTTGTCTAAAAAGAAATTCTGTCAAATGAAATTCATACAAATGAAAATTCTAGCGTCAGTATCAATACTGTCCCAAAATTATCTACATTCATCCAATTTCAAGATTAAAAATAGAAAATTTTGAAAAATAAAAATTTCTAAAATTTTTTTTATTTAAATATAATATCTATAAATACGACCAATTTACCAATTTTTTTTCTAAATCCACCCCGAAATATGACAATAAACACGACTGTAGAAACAGTTATAAAACTACAAAATATCAATAATATAAGTTAACAAAAATGTCTTGATAAATCTTTTATTAACTTCGAAAAAATATTTGAGAAAAATGACTTACTTTATTTTATTCTCTCTTACTAAATGAATAAAAGCTCAAACGGCACAAAGAAATAAATCAAAGAAAACCCGAAGCCCAATATCAGTTTCAGGGATGGGAAAGTAGATTATAATTTTTTTGTTGGAATTGATCCTACAGGTGCCTTTTCATGGAAAGAATGCCATTGCCCCTACTCCCTAAAGGTACTGCCACAGTTCAGCTATCTAAGTAGGGTTGTCATGGTAATAACGCATATAAAAGTGAGAGAAGTAAAAAATATTCTTATTTCTCTCACTCTTATATGTTACCATGACGACCTTAAGGTGCTTTTATACCTCACCGATCCCGAGTATACTTCTGTCGTGTACCATTGGAATAAAAGAGACACAATTATCTTTTGTCTCTTTTACTCCAATGCTGTACGACGATAGAATATACTCGGGATTGGTGAGGTATACCGCCTTTACTTAGATAGCTGGGTTATGACCGTACCATTAGGTTTCCACTCACTATTTGTCATAATTCTAGGTCAACTACTGCACCCTGCTGTAGTGAAAATTTAGTGACTTAAGGCTGCAGTCCCATGGCAGCGTTTTGCGTTGCGTTTTGTCACTAGACCATGAGTGTAAAAGAGATGCAGATATATGTTTGCTATGTTTACACTCAGGATCTCAGGATCTCAAACGCAACGCAAAACGCTGCCATGGGACTGAAGCCTTATTATTAAAATTAAAAGTTACTATAAAGTCACATAATTTTAACTAGAGCAGGGTGCAGTAGTTGAAGAGAATTATGACAAATGGCGAATGGGGACAATGGAAACTAACCAAAAGCTTCGCGAACAAGATGCATGAACAGGGTTGCGCATGTAATATACCTCAGGTAAATTACATAGGTTTTCTATGTATATTACATACGTAATATATCTCTTTGATTTTCTACAAAATGTATAAGGGTACGGTCACACTATCTCATGCATGCAGAAACATTTGGCCGGTCACACTTCAACGAAATCTAGTAAATGTTTAGTAACTTTCTAGTAATTTTCCAAAAATTTCGGTTGTAACTAGAAAGTTACTAAACATTTACTAGATTTTGTTGAAGTGTGACCGGCTAAATGTTTCTGCATGCATGAGATAGTGTGACTGTACCCTAATACATATAATCAAGTGATTGCGCGGACAAATTTAAAATTATTATATAAAGAAACTTACTTATTTTGCACATAAAAACGAGACGAAATAAGTGTTTTAAATAATTCTTTAAAATTATATAATGCATTTTAATTATCTGCCTTCCTCCTGCAACCTGCCCATTCTTAACAATTCGGGCACGAGCTACATAACCTTAAAAAGTCACATGTTTGTATGCTTGCAGGTGGATTATTGTTGTTGCGATTTATCAGTGTTGAATTTAACAAAACAAATTTATTATTAAAGAATTTTCAATTTTAAAAACAATTTGCGGACTAACCTAATATAGAATTATAATTTTTTGTTTCTATTTAGAAAAAATGTCAAAAAGATAAAAACCTTTTAAATCACCAAATTATAATAGACTTTGATTACAAAAAAATGCCTTAATTTTTAAAGATAAATAATAGATTAAATATAAATAATTTATTAAAAGTTATTAAATTAAATTAAAGGTATTAAATTTTTTAAAGTCATGTAGCTCTGTTTTTGTTTATCCGCTATACATTTTATTTAACAGATCCTTAAAGTTGTGTGCATTTCCATTTGAATGGAAGAGAGGAATAATTGTACCGGTTTACAAAGATGGAGATAAAAAAAATGTTACTAACTACCGTCCAATTACCTTACTAAGTGCTGTATCTAAGGTCTTTGAGAGTATAATTTTTGATATGATCTATGAGCAAGTTGAACATTTGATAATTGATGAACAGCATGGATTCATGCGGCGTAGATCAGTATTAACAAACTTAGTTTTATTTACTAATTTTATATCATCGAATCTTGAAAAGGGAATACAAGTTGATACTGTTTACACTGACTTTTCTAAAGCCTTCGATAAGGTTGATCATGCTATTCTAGTGGGAAAGCTTGTATCTTTGGGTTTTTCTTGTAATTTAATTAGTTGGATAAAAAGCTATCTTACTGACAGATATTCGTCAGTGCGTATTGAACATGAATTTTCAAATGTTTTCCTAGCAACTTCTGGTGTTCCCCAGGGATCGAATCTTGGACCTTTATTTTTTCTACTTTTTATAAACGACACAAACACTATATTTAAACATAGTTTATTCCTCTTGTTTGCTGATGACCTTAAATTATACAAAGCAATAACATGTGATCAAGATGCTCTTGATCTCCAATCAGATCTGAATGAATTAACAAAATGGTCAATAAATAACAAACTTCTTCTTAACATTAAAAAATGCAGTGTAATTACCTTCAGTAAACTTCAGCTAATTAAAGAGTATCAATACAATATTGGTATTGATGTTCTCTCTAGAGTATCAGTGGTGCGTGACCTGGGAGTTACACTAGACTCAGAATTGGATTTTGGAAAACATATTTTAAATATTGTCAATAACGCGACTAGAGTGTTGGGCTTTGTCACTAGAAATGCATCGCGGTTTAAGAATATAATAGCGTTAAAGGTTTTATATTTTTCATTAGTTCGACCAATACTTGAATTTGCTTCATTGATTTGGTCACCTTATCAAGAATACTTATTGATGGCACTGGAACGGGTGCAAAATAAATTTATGCGTTTTGTTGCTAGGCAGACGGGGATACCATTTGATAGATTTAGTCATGACTATACTGAACTGAGAAGGATTCTGGGTATTCCTCTATTAAGAAACAGATTCTTATTTACTGATTTACTATTTATGTTTAAAACTATTAACGGCATTATTAACTGCCCTCCACTCTTATCTTTGCTAAATTTTGCTGTTCCTTTTAGACCAACCAGAAATCCAACTCTGTTCAGACAGTCTTTTCAAAGAACAAACTATGTAATAAATTCTGTTATAAATAGGATAACAAGAGAAGCTAATGAGTACCATAACAACCTTGATTTTTATGGTATTTCTTTAAGTAAATTTGTATGTAAGCTACGCTCTAAAATTTTTGATAATGCTTGAGAAATAACAAAACATTGTTTCGCACTGTCATTTTTCTTATGTTCTTTTTTTTTTATATACTTTAGTACTCTTGTACGAAAGGGCATTGCCCGTATATATATGTAAATAAATAAATAAAATTTGTCTGCATTAAATTTATGGTTATGTGAGAAATGGCATTTGTTTAAATTACTCGAAATGACAAATTTTTGATTTATTAAGTTTCGAAAACTTACTCATATCAATTAATAAATATATAAAACAAATTAATAAAGAAAGAAACATTTTGCAGTATTTATGATTTAGTTCCTTTTGATTCATCTGTTATTGACAAACGTTCAAATTGCAATTGATGGTACGAAAAATATGGTATTATAGAATTCAAATTTTTTATTTTAAAAATAGTATTTACTTTTTAATAAACATTTAAAATGCATAAAATGTCAATTTTAACTTTTGCAACGATCGTAATTTGAAAAAGTGAGGTTATGTATGGAAGGAAAATATCGGTATGTAATTTACCTAGTTTTCTACGTATTATACAGTTTATTACGTCGAGAATGAATTATACGTCGAAAACCGCCAGTGACGCGTCACTTCTCAACCCTGTGTATGAGATAGAAAAGGACACGAATATTTCTTTGTCCTTCTCTAACTCATACTTCACGTTTAGGAACGTCTTTCGCGAAGCTTTTCAGTTAAATAGAAATTCTATTAAATCAAAATGTAGTTAAATAGAAATTTTCTGATATGAAAATTCGTCTCATTGTAAAATTTACATTATTAAATTCTACTAATAATAAAAATTCGTTAATTTTTAATTCCACTATCTTTTTTTACGTAATTTGTAATTTATTTCAAATCTGTGCCTTTATTTTTGAGATAACTTTTTATCTTTGTTTTAAATAATCTCGAAAAGTTGACTCTCATGATTAAACCTCAAATTTCATTTAACATAAATATCATTTGACATAAATCCCGTTCGACATAATATTCATATGGCACAAATTTTATTTGATAATAAAAAATGTACCTGATAGTTTCTTGATTTTTTTTTACTGGGAACAAAATCACAAGTGTGCGCTTTTCAAAAGTTTAAAGTATTTCTTTTGAACCTACTCTTAAAAGTCACTGTTTAAAATTTTATAATATATCTTTTACAATAATTTTGATAATTATTTTTTTTTTCATTTAGTTGATTTACAGAGGAACCTATCTCAATTTCGGCTTAAAATATGAATATACTGTATCTAAAAATGAAATCAATTACATTCCACATTATTCTTGGGTTTTTTCTGACTGGTCCCTATGTACAGTTACTTGTGGAGGTGGTGTTCAAACTGCATATGCATTTTGTCAAGAAATTAAAAGTGGAATTGTCGGTGATCGATTTTGTAATGAAACATCCAAACCTGAGTCAATTGACCGAGAATGCAACTCCAAATTATGCCCTGCAAGGTATAAATTCAAAATTATATTTCATTAGTAGTTATTTTCGCCCTTTCCATAATTGAAAACAAAATTGTTCTTAAATAGAAAAATAATTTTTTAAATATTGAATTAGTTGGTGGGTTGGTCCTTGGCAAATATGTCCAGTAACATGTGGAGAGAGTGCTTTACGAAAAAGAACCGTTATGTGTGTTTTATTTAATAATTTCAAAGACAGCAACAGCATAAAACTAGCACTACCTGATGGAGATTGTGATGAAAACACAAAACCCGCTGAACACGAGGCATGTCCAAATTTAACACCATGTGGAACAAACTCTGAAATTCCTTTTATTATACACACAGAAGATAAGAAAACTATTTCCTACAATATCACGTCCAGCGATCAAGATGATATAACAATAATTGACAGCGTCACTTCGGAAAAGCCGGATATTCTCGAATTTTCCAAAATGCTTCAAAAAAATATTTACCAAAAACATTTAAAACCCAAGTGGATTATTTCCAAGTGGAGTTCTTGTACACATGGAAAGAAAAATAGAATTCCATTCTGTTCAATTTCAGATGGTTGCAAATCTGATAATAAGCCACAAATAATTTTCAAAGATTGTCATCACGAAAAACTTATACATAAAAATCGTCATCACAAAAAACGAATACATTATATTTAGGCTAGAGTAAAAAATAGGTACTGTTAAAAATTCTTAGACAAATGATTTATTATAGAATATAAATTTTATTTTCAACTTTGAGATTGTAAATACATTATGTCGCAATATTATTCTCAACGATTATATAACTTCAATAAGACGGAAACTGCTTACATTTGTAGATTTTAATTAAAGTAAAAAATAGATTCTCCACACTGAAAAAAAAATTTATTTGGATCAAATAAAAAGTATTTGATCCAAATACATCATTTACTTGTCTATTATCCAATAAATATGTATTTAAACCAAATACACATTTACTAAACCTAAGTATTTTATTTTATCGTAACAAATAAATAGTTATTTGAATCAAATACAAAGTATTCAAATAAAATAAATAGAATATTCAAAACTAATAAATAATTATTTCAATCAATTATGAAAATTATTCCATTCAAAGAAATATTTACTAGACATAAGTATTTTATTTTATCGTATCAAATAAATAGTTATTTGAATCAAATACAAAGTATTCAAATCAAATAAATGGAATATTCAAAGCTAATAAATAATTATTTCAATCAATTATGAAAATTATTTCATTCAAAACTGCATGTTTTTTGATTCAAATAAATATTTATTTGCATTAATAAAATATTTTTCTTGAAACAACTAAACATTTTCTTGAATCAAATATTCGATTATTATTTATCATAAGTAATTGTTTTAATTAAAACTAAAACCTCTTTAATTGCGGCTATTATTATTTTAGAATGAGCCGAAAGTTCTGAACGTTCATATGAACGAAATATTTTTTTCAATCTATAAATTATTAAAAATTATGATGACCATGTAAAATAAAACAGTAAATCAAACAATTATTAAGTTAATATCTCCTTTTTAGATACTTTAAACAATATTTTGTAATAAAATTCGTACTTAAAGAAGTTGCAAAAAAAAAATTTCGTTCATATGAACGTTCAAAACTTTTGGCTCATTTTATTTGATCCAAATACATAATTTATTTTCATAAAATGTAAGAATTTTTTGATTCAAATAAATCAAAATTTGAATTGAATAAATAACATATTTATTTACTAATTCTTCAATTTCTAAATTAAATTCTTACTCAAATAAATAAATTAAAAAATATGTAATTTCTGCATACTATGATCGCATATTTTCATTTTTCAACTAATTCATACATAGAATTAATGATTAAACGCAAACCTGAGAAATAAATAAATCTAACGCATGGGGGGAATCGAACTCATTATTCTAATTACACTTAAATATTTAATTGATCAAAATATTTTATTTTCTTTTAATAAAATAGTGTATTAACATTAAATAACGCATTATTTATATTAAATAATTTAGTTAATTAGAATCAATAAATTAAATTTATTGTATCAAATATTTTTTATTTGTATAAAAAAAAATGAAATATTTGAGTGAAATAAATAAGTTAATAGTTGCAAGTAACTCATTATTTTCGTTTCAAAAAAACATTTAATTGATTAAAATATTTTTTTATTTGTCTTGATAAAATAGTGTATTATTATTAAATAATTTAGTTGACTTAAATCAATTAAATAAAGTTATTGTATCAAATACTTTTTATTTGTTTGAATAAAACGAAATATTTGAGTGAAATAAATAAATAAATTGTTTCAAGTAAATCATTATTATCGTTTGAAATAAATATTTAATTGATTGAAATATTTTTTTATTTGTTTTGATAAAATAGTGTATTTGCATTAAATAACGAATTATTTGTATTAAATAATTCAGTTTATTTGAATCAATTACATAAATTTATTGTGTCAAATACTTTTTATTTGTATCAAATAAACGCAATTTTTGAGTGAAATAAATGAATAAATAGTTTCAAGTAACTCATTATTTGTATAAAATAAATTCATTTATTCAATTCAATTAATTATTTAATTGAACCAAATACTATTTATTTGGTTCAAATAAATGCGATTCAAATAATTCAAGTTTTTTGAATCAAATACATATTTTTTTGATCCAAATAAAAAGTATTTGAAACAATTAAATATTTTTCAAATAATTTGAAGTATTTGAATCAAATAAATTTTTTTTTCAGTGCACTAGAATAATAATAAAAATAAGAAAATTATAAAACAAAATGTTCAATCAAAAAAAATTAATCACAATCAGTTAATTTAAAATTAACGATGAATTCCTGTAACACGGAATAAGGTAAATCTTTTAGTTTTTTAGATCCTTGAAGTTTTTTAAAATGTTGAATAATAAATAGAAGACAGGTATTTGTCAATAATTGTACGCTACATTTATCTGCTATTATTAAAACATCAATAACATTATCATAATTTAAATTTATTGACAAAATTTCTTCGCAAATAGTTATTAAATCAGTGATTTGATAAAAGTGAGCAGCTTTCAAAATTTTCATAGACAAATTATCTGACTTTCCTATTTTTCCAGTGTAAATAAAACGCAAAACTTCGACGAAAACATCATAGTCAATATCAATAACGTTAACATCATTTGTAACTGATTCTTCCATATCAATGGAAAACATTTTATTAAAAACTAAACTTTTTGCTTTAAGCATTTCTTTATTAGCATTTATTGTTTTATTTCCTATGTGGAGAGTTACTGTGTTGAATTTATTTACAGTAATGAAAAATTCATCCTTTTGTAATTGTAAATGTTGAATGTTTGATTTGTAAGACATGTCTATTTTATAGAACAATATTAATTCATTTTTTACGAAATAATTCTTTATAATAGAAAATTGCAAATCCCCAAAGGACACTTCAATCTCATTAATATTATTTTTATTAAAGGAAACCATTCTGCTTAGAGTAAATACTGGATGATTTGATGAGTCGAGAATTGAGAGGGATGTACAAAAATTAACAATATCAGTACCCAACGAGGTTGTATTATCAAGATGTAAGCAAAATTGTATTTTTGGTGATGAATTATTACCAACATATCTTAATGCTGTGTACCAAGTAATTTGTGGATTTTGCTTCATTTTGAAACACTGACTTTTCATTACTTTAGTGCGTGCATAGCAATAGTCTGGAATAATCCATTTAAAAAACGTTTTCTCATCAACCGGCATTGTCAATCTGTAATAATCACCCAATAAAATATAAATTATGTACAATTACTTCAAAAACGATTTAGGGTAAGTGTACCAATTACGGCGCTTTCATAAAAAATAGCTATTATTACTATTATATTTAATATACCTATTGCAAAATGATTAAAACAAATTATTTTAATATTTTTTTGATACAATTACTTATAAAGATGCACATTTAAACAATTATTAATTTAATTATTTGAGATCAAATTTTTTCTCTCGCCGTAGTTGAAACATTTTTAATATTTCCATTGGCTCCAATTTCGGCGGGCAAAGTATCTTCAAAATACACGTAATTTTGATCGCCGAAATCGATACACCGAAACTGATAAAAACGCGCCGTAATAGAAAATTACGGTATGTATTAGTTTTAATTTCTCATATTTATTTAAATAATCGATTTTTATAAAGTTAAACATTTTTTAACAACTAAATAACATAACCTTTTAGTTTAATAAGTCTAAAATTGAGTTTATATAATAGAAATGTCGAATGTTCTATTTCAAAGGTGTTTTGACTTGAATCGCTCCGCAATTAGTGCATTTACCCTATTAAAAAATCGAAAACTATTTATTTATTTAATCAGTAAAAGTTAAAAATTTTTTAAGATATATTATGAGAATTATTTAAGAATAGAATAGAGTGGGATGTACCCGGTAAAAAGGCTTGAATTGAAAAGAATAAAAAATACCTGATATTCGAAAAAACTGTGAATTTATTAATTCCATTTAATTCGGGAAACTTCCTCTTTTTTCAATACTCTCAAAATGGATACAATTTAAAAAAATTTAATTCATTTATATTCTAAATGCAAGTTGTATTCTACTAATCGAATATATTTCATAAATTTTTAATTCCAAAAATATTTGTATATTTTGAATTCGGTTAAAGAGAAAACATTCATGATATTTTTTAATCACAAATAATTCCTTCCGAAATGGGCGACGTTGAAAAGTTTCAATTCCAGAAGTGGAATTGATTTAATATCTCTTTAATTCTTTTCAATGTCATAAGGTAAAAAACTTTGCTTTCCTGCATTATTGACATATATGATAATCAAAGTTTAATTCTAATTACCCAAGTAGCACGGAATATTGCTTAAATGTCAAGGTAATATCAAGTGGGAATATTCCTGTGACATTCAGACGATATCATAATGTCCGCTTCATGGGGACATTCCACGGTGATATTCCTGTGACATTCGCGTGATATTCGTATGATACTAAGGGAATATTCCCGTGAAATTCATGAAATATTGAGGGGATATCCCTGTGATATTGAGTGGAATATTTCTGTGATATTGAGGGAATATTTCTCTGATATTGAGGGAATATTCCAGTGATATTGATGAAATAATTTTAAAAATTCTAAAAAAAAATTTTCTATTTTTTTTCCATTTATTTAAATATTCAAAACAATAAAAACAAACAACATTTTAGAATTTTATAAATAACAGGGATATTCCCTCAATATCAGAGGAATATTCCCTCAATATCACAGGAATATTCCGCTCAATATCACAGGGAGATCCCCTCAATATTACATGAATTTCACGGAAATATTCCCTTAGTATCATACGAATATCACGCGAATGTCACAGGAATATCACCGTGGAATGTCCCCATGAAGCGGACATTATGATATCGCCTGAATGTCACAGGAATATTCCCACTTGATATCACCGTGACATTCAACCAATATTCCGTGCTACTTAGGTGGTTTATAAGAAATCCTCTAATCCAAAATAGTTCATATAGGGCTCGTTGGATACGGAATTACGCCAGCTTTCAATTGGTAGCTTCAGAATTGCAATAACTTTATTTATTTGTAAAATATTTCATTTTTTATTAACATACCTACTTTTTGTGTATTTTCTCTATAAAACTCATAAATATAATGTATAATTTTTTTTATATTTTATGTCCTTTTATTAAAAGCGAGTCATAGATAAAATAAAAATTTGAAAGAATATATACGATAACTTTAATTCAAACCCATTTATCGAGTTACATAATGGAAAGTACTTTTTTCGTAGTGTAAAATTATTATATCTAAATTTTTCTGATTTATTTTTATAACTTACCTGCTTTGATAAATCTGGATTTGTTAATTCTTGAAAAAAGTATAATTTACTTTCTTTGTAATTTTTTGTTTAATAAAACTGATTCTTTACTAAATATATTTAATAATTATATTCAATTACAGAATTATCTCTTCTCATTATAGGAATAAAATAAAGTCAACGCAAAATGGGCATCTGACTTCTGACCACTGAACTCTATATATCTGGAATGATGTCTGACATTGATGGTCGCGAACCGAGAGAGGTCTGATCCTTGTATCCCTCTCCTTCTCTTGCTAAACTGCGCAGGTTTAGTTTTGGATAAGGAAAGTTAAGGCCAACGCACAATTGGTTCGCAAAAGTCGTTCGCGAAGGAGATGCATGAGATAGAAAAGGATACGAATATATCTCTGTCTTTTTCTAACTCATGTTTTACGTTCGCGAACGTCTTTCGCGAAGCTATATTCTGCTTAGGCCTTTACATGTTGATGTAAATGCAGAATGCAAAACCGAAAGTTACTAGATTTTAAAGTTTCATCAAAAGAATATTTGCGTTCTCATCCCTGTTCGCCAAACAAAAATTTCCACCTACGGTTTCAATTTTAATTTAAAAAATGTAAATTAAATATATAAATTACGCAAATAAATTATAGGATAAAGTACCGAATAAGGCCCCCCTTGGATTTTAAAGAAATTTAGTATACTTACTTATTTTTGTGCGCTGATTACGAAAATCATAATGAAAATTTGCGCAAACTTGATTATCATAGTGAAAACCATAAAGAACATAAAAAATCACAGTTTTTCATGATTATCTTGTAAAAATAAAAAAATTTCGAAAAAAGTTTTAGACAAAAGTTGTAGATCTCTAAAAAAACACACATTTTATGTTTTATGCATTTTTTACCAAAAGTCATTATTTTTTGAGAAAAATGGTCTCAAAGTAATTTGCGGAAATTGTGGGGTGGAGTCTACAGCAGCGGTAAACGCAAAATACTAAACACGGCCTTCGCCCGTGTAAGGTACTGCTCGCTTTTCTTTTAAAAAAATCTTGGCGAGAGGGGGTGGATATGGCCGAAAGTATTTTGCGGAATTCGTTGGATCCTGAGTTTAATGGTGAATATGATACTATATACGAGTCAAATAATATGTCTTTTCTCCAAAAATAATTACTTTTGGTAAAAAATGCATAAAACATAAAATGTGTGTTTTTTAGAGATCTACAACTTTTTTCGAAATTTTTTGATTTTTACAAGATAATCGTGAAAAACTGTGATTTTTTATGGTTTTCACCATGATAATCAAGTTTGCGCCAATTTTCAGTATGATTTTCGTAATCAGCGCACAAAAATACGTAAGTATACTAAGTTTCATTAAAATCCAAGGAGGGCCTTATTCGGAACTGCACCCAAATTATAAAATCAAAATAAAGTACTATGTATATATTAATAAAAAAATCTAGCTCGAAAAAATCTACGTCATCTATGGCATGGGGGTACTATTTGCCTCACGACAAATACGTAACATCGGTGAATTACCGCCAATCAACGAGATCTGAGGTTGGTTCCACAATAGGCAAAATCGTATCGTCTTGAAGACGATTTTCATGCCAAAACGATGCGCGCGCATGCTTTTTCTATTGTCGCCAAATGGGATCCGAAATCTTGTGTAACTACTCAACCTTGAACCCACTTGTGGCAACCATCTTGCTGTTTTGTCTCTTTCTTTATACATATGTTCGACAGAGACAAAATAAAAAATGGCTACCGCAAGTGGGTCGACACCAGATGGCGTATCGCAGTATTTCAGATCCCAGTTTCGTTATGAAAATCGTCTTCAGGACGGTACGATTTTGTCTATTGTGGAACCAACCTGAGATAATAACTCTGACAATCAATATTACTGTTTATAATATCATAAAAAAATTAAAGGTCCAATTTCAGAAATCTACTAAAAACAGTTGGAATTTTTGTAATCGAACGCAGTTCTGCATAATCGTGACTAAAATAATTAAATGATATATCTAGTTGTCTTGCGACAAATCTTACGGAGCATTTACACCTTTGGTAAAAAAATTTTTTATTTTTGAATTTTCCGAAATACACAAACCTGATTGGTTGTTCACAATCTGATTGATAATGGACAACCAATCAGATCTTTGCATTTCCGAAAATCAAAATAAAAAAATTTTTTTACCAAAGGTGTAAATGCTCCATTAGGAATGAATTTTGTATTTTTTCTAAACTATCATTGATTTTCTACAGCGGCTCAACCCTTACTACCTCTGGTTCAACCCTGACTACTTTTTTTTTTTTAATTGACTATAACTCCGAATCTTTTGGTCAAATAGTTTTACAATGTTCAGCAAAAACATTACATTTTAGTAGATCTTTCGAACCATATGCGAGAAATCTCAAAGTTCGGCCTACAGGGGAAGTTATACACAGGTGTCTGGAAAGTAAAAAAAAGTTTGCCTACGATGCCAAGAAAAATCATTGTTACCTTGTGGTTCCTTAGCACCCCCTGAAACGAAAAAACTTAACCTAAAAATCATAGCTGTTCATTTAGAGAAGTTTCACTCCTTTCTAGGGGTGATTTTGAAATTTTTCCAAAAAAAATTGTCTTTTAAGGGTCAGAAATAAGTTTTAAATTATGTTAATGATTTTTATTTATGTCAATGTGTTTGTAGAACCTCATTTTCTAGATACAAGCCATTAAAAAATTTTTTATTAAAAAAACTAGAATTCTTTTATATTCTTTTAATTCTTTTCTTCTTTTACTTTTATTTTATATAGGTGACGATTTTTAATAATTTAATTAACAGTGAATTTTGCGATTTTTTGGAAAGTTAAAAATGTGTATTTTCAATACAAAAAATATTGAGATGTCCTTTTTTTGTTATTTTCGAGATATTAATTAAATAAAAAATTAAATTAAAGAAATAATCAGTGTAAAGTGAAAATGAAATTATATAATAGATCCCCAATTTACGATAAAATTTTAGCTATTATTATTATTATTATTATTTTAATTCAACACAATTATGTTTTGCATAAATTAAAAATTTTAAAAACCAAAATTTCAATGACAACAACAATAACAGAAAATGAAAATCCTACAAAACTTATACAAAAGAGTAACAAACGAATTTTCTTTTTTTCAATTGGAGCAATTTCCTCTGATGCATAATCCATGCTTCGATTTCTAAATTCACGAACAATGTTCTTCATCCATTTTTCTACCAATCCAGCTTGTGTTGCTCGTTGAAAAATATATTTAAATCTACGTGAATATGGTGAATTAGTTTCGAACATCATACTCTCTAATCCTGGAGATAAAGGTTCAATTACTATTTTAAGTTGAGGTTTGCCATTTTCATTTCTTGTATTTTCAATCAACATTTCCGCCTCATTAACTAGCATTGTGCAACTAACATTTTTATATTTAATTATATACTGTAAGCAAACATCGATATGATCTTTATATAAAATATGTTTTTCAGCAAAATTCTTTATTCTTCTATCCTCATTCATTGCACTGTTAATTGTAACAATTAAAAATTGCTGACCAATCGGTTGAAAAGGATATTTATCCACATCATTAATTGTATCAAATTTTAATTCTTTTTCGCTGATCAGCTCTAGACTTGTTAATGCTCCAAAAAGATTTGTGGAAAGTCCAATGCTTATAATAAGCAAATAGGAGAAAATTAATCTCTCTCTTGTCTTTATTGGCTCCATTGGTGCGCAAAGTTGAAGTGTAACTTGAATAATGTACATCAATTTCCAATGGCGAAGATCAAATTTCAAAATTCTAATGAGAATCCAAATTAATATCAAAGCGCTAATATTCATTGTAATTGTCAGATAAAGTAATGTTTTTCCCTGAATTTCATTATCATTTTCCATTACAATAGGAACAAGAACAATTATATTATGTTTATCCAGAATCAAATAACTGTAAAGACAATTTGGAATCAATAGTACGCTAAATCCAAAAAAATCAATCTCATTGTTTAGTAATTTATAAGCATAGCCAGTTGTAAGACTTTTATTGTAACAATGAAATCTTCCAAAACCTACATCAGATGGAACAAATGAAAGTTGAAAATTCATAACTTGCGATAAAAGTTTAGCAAATGATAAAACTTTTCCTTTCATTTCTATCGGATATCCTGTTGAATTCATTTTTACAAAAGCTGCCGGTGGATGATGGCTAACGCCAAATTTTATTTTATATCCATTTAAATCACGTAACTTGTCTGGAAACAATGGAACACGACTGGAACAATTTTTTTTTGTATTTTTTTTTAAATAAGGATTAAAATAATTGACTGTTAAAATTTGTTCATTATTTAAAAATACATTTTCTTCTTTATTAATTATTGTAATGTGCAAAATTGTTACGTCGAGGAATCTCTTATTCCACATATAATGCAGGAATTTTTCGAATTTTAAATTCTTTTGTTCTGAATAAAAAAGAAAGAGACATTTTGGATGACCTTTAGAATAAGATGAGTTGCTTATCAAATTAATTGAATTTGTCAGTTTTTTTAAAATTGTAGAATCTTCTACATAGATGACAATTACGAACAATGTCGTTGTTTCAGGATTTTTAATGATTTGAATAAATTTTGAATTTTTCAGTTTCTCTTGGTTGGCATTTTGAAAATTTATTTGCAAAACAGGTGTATTTTCAATCAAGATCGATAATATTCTTTCGTTATTGATTTTTGTGTTATTTTCCGTTATGATCATTACTTGGTGTACCTTTAATTCTGTTTTGCAATAGATTTTTAAATGTTCCAAACATTGTGATAGATTTGATATTTTTTTACCTCTGACATAATTAAACCAGTAAGCTATGCTTATTAGGATTATTAAATTTAATTTCATTTTCTGAATTAATTTAATTCTCGAGAAAATACAAAAAATACTGTCCCAAATTACTGAAAAATTAAAATTATTATATTTTAGTGCAATACATTGTAATGAAATAAAAATTTTTAATAAATTGAAATATTTAGTTAATTTTACTGAACGATAAAATAATAATTACTGAAAACAAAACTTACGTGAATATTTCGTTCTATTTAATAAATTCGCAAATATTTAAAAAAATGTTGATGGGATCTTTTTCAGCTTTCTAATTTAACAATGGAAATTATATTTTTAGTTAATTGTTAATGTACTTTTTATATTTAATTGGTTAATATTCGATGAACTGATGCAGAAAACATTGTAAAAACATGAATAATTTTATTGCAAGTAAAAAAGTTTCCTTAACCTTGCTTTCTATATATTTGTTTATATTTTATTTATTTATTTGAGTAAACAGATCTATAAAAAGAAAAATTATTTTTTTTTGCTACGCATTTAGGGAAATTCAATTTAAACGAATAATTGTCAGAAAAATCGAGTAAATAATTATTCTCGTCAAATTTAAATAAAAAAAAATCTGTAAAATAAAAATTCATTTAACAATTCTGCAATATAGAAATTCAGTTAAATGGGAAGCGAAAATATTTTTATGCAAATAATATTGATTGTTTTCTTCAGTCAAGGTTTATCGATTTTACTAAAATATACATACAAAATTTCTTTCTTTTCCAATAGTTAACTTTTTAGAAAGGTGGAAAAAAAATTCAAAAATATTAAAAATTAAAAATGCGGATGTGCTACAAATTTTTTTCAAGTTTTTTTTTTTTTTATTTTTTAAACGTTTTCCTACATTATTTTTTTTTTGGAAAAAATTATTTTAAACTTTTAATTATAAGCCGCATCTTTGGCTAATTCTCTGGCCATTTGTATTCCTTTACTCTCGTCGGAAAAAACATAATTCTGAAAATAACATTTAGTTTAAAAATAAATATCCTTATATTTGATTTAAATTATTAAATTTAATTAAATTAAATATTAAATTATAGGTAGGGTCAGTTGGGATAAATGGGGACAAAATCGCTATTGTTCACAAATTACATAAGTTTCTTCCTTTAAAAGGTAATATTTGAGGGTTTATTTTTTTTAAGTTGTTATTTACGTTCCCAGGATTTGATTTTTGTTAATTTGGTTAATAATGGCAAGCTGTCTCCATTTACCCCAAAAATTTGAAAACTCAGGGTAAATGAGGACAGATTGTTATTATTAACCAAATTAATAAAAATCAAAAATTCAAGTGAATTTCTGTTATAGGAGTCCCTATTTACCCCCTGTCCTCATTTACCCCAACTGACCGTACTTTCTTTTTTTTAAATATTTATTTTGTTTATAAATTATTTCCCTTTGTAGTGAATTTTGTATAAAATGTGTCAACAATAAATTTAAAAAAAAAAACAGTAAAGTTTTAATAAAAAATAATATTTTTCTTACCCATGAAACTTTATCGAATTCACTCAAGGCATCTTCCATTTCCAAGAGTTCTTGTTTTACATTTAGCGTTTCACCATTTCTATTTCTCCATCCATTTTCTTTCCACTTTCTTCTTAAATCAGTATTGTACCGTTTTACAAAATTAGATCTTGTGTGAAATCTTATTTTTCTCACGTTTGCCAATAATGCCTGTCTACAGGCAATAGTGATGGCTTTAATCTCTGCTCTATTGCTTGTTTGGTTACCTCTTATACGAGATGAAACGTTTCTATAAAAAAAAAATATCACGAACAGTTCAAAAGTAAAATTTGTTACATTTATTTGTAATTTCCATTTTAAAAAAACAGAGTCAAATACTTATTAGAAATAAATAAATATTAAATAATAATTTAAAATATGAATATGCATCGAAATTTAAAAATTACAAAATAATAAAATTTTTTGGTACGCATGAATAATTTATAAACCAAATTTTTTATCATTATATAATTTGATAGAATCTTATTATTAATTTTTCAGAATATTTATTTGTTCGAATATTAATGTTTTAGAAAATGCAAATGATCGAAAATTAATTTGACAGAATTTTTTATTTAGACGATCATTAATTTGACAGAAATTTAATTTTATCGAATCTCAATTTTATCGAAACTTTCTTGTAGAATCCCTGTGGGCAAAAAACCATGTTCGTTCTTAAAACGTTTTAAGGACGTTCTTAGAACGTTTCATGTCCGCCAAATAATGTTCTAAGAACGTCCTTAAAATGTTTTAAGAACGAACATGGTTTTTTGCCCACAGGGATATTAATTTTGCAGAATTTTAATTTAAAAGAATTTTAATTTTGAAAAAAGAGGATTAGAAAGAATATTAATTTTGTAGAATATTCATTTGCTCGAGGATTAATGTCCAGAAAATTAAAACGGTCATATATCAATTTGCCAGAAATAATTCGACGAAAACTTCAAATTTGACCAATCAGAAATTATCAACAAAAAAAATTGTGATTGGTCAAATTTGAAGTTTCCGTCGAATTATTTCTGGCAAATTGATATATGATCGTTTTAATTTTCTGGACATTTAATATATTCGAGCAAATGAATATTCTGCAAAATTAATATTCTTTCTAATCCTCTTTCTGCAAAATTAAGATTACAATAGAAAATTTGAAAATAGATTAATTCAGGTGTTTTAAAATTATTTATAAATGCGCATATTTTTTTTGCTTGAGTAAATTTCCTATTTTTCTAAATACATACAATTGATTATCATCATCGAACCAAACACCAATTGCTGCAGTTGCATCGTCAGTTCCATTGTAAAGACACATACCATGGGCATAAATGTCCACAAATCCATCATTATCTCTTTTAACCTCATAGTCCTCAATTATATTTTCACTTGATTCATCATATTCATCCTATTTATCATTAAAAAATCAAAATAATAAATTTAAGTTTTAAATCATGAAATGTTGATTTTTTACAAAATTTGTTTATATTTAATTTTTATTCAATTATACACTGCAAAAATTTGAGAATATTTTTTTTTTATCTAAAAGAGGTTTTTAATTAATAATACACATTAAAGGGTTTTAAATTGGAAAAAGAGATAAGAATTTTATACATATTATAAAGTATTAAGTTTGTTTAATATAATTTGAATTCTAAGATTTTTAGTGAATAAAAAAATACCTCATTTGATGATGAAGAATATTCGTCATAATTGTTGTACGACATTTTGATTTCAATTCTGAAAAAGAAAATATGCCATTTAGATAATTCAATTATCTAAAATAGTTATAAATAATTAAATAGTTAACTGTTTATTTAGTAAACAAATTTTTTTTTTAATTTCAAGTTTTTAATTTCTATAGGGTCAGCCGGGGTAAATCCGAACGGTGGGTAAATCCGAACGCTAATTATTTCATCTTAATTAAAATTTTTAAAAATAAGTTCGATATGAGAATTTTTACCTCAGATCCTCTTCAAGAGATTCTAAGTATTATCCCATTTTTCGTTTGTTAATTGTCAACAGCATAAACAAAGATAACGAGTATTGCAAAAAAGATTGAAAATCAAAGATGACACTCTTTCAGTATTTTGTCTCGTATTTGAAGAAAAAGAAGCTAAAAATTTATTTTATTATTTATAATTGTTTGTTATGAATACTAGAACAGAAACTATTTTTGATTTTTGCCTTCTGTAAAATTTTATTAATAATATCAGACCGTTCGTATTTACCCAGGAAAATTGGAAAATCGGGGTAAATCCGAACGGTATTTTCAATAATTTTTTTTTACATCAGAGCCACACAAAATTGTTTTTATTTCATTACACTATTATTTTAACATTATAAAAGTACATAGAAAAAAGTTTTTCTTTCTATACATATCCTCGTTAGTAATTAATAAGCAGAAACTTAATCTCTGTTCTCTCGAAGGAGTGTTTCAATTTTTTTGCCAAATGGTTTGTTGAAAAAATTTTTTCAGGATCTTAATAAAATTTGGTATTCTACGGTTTTTGGGGTCGCTAATTACCAATTTGAAGTCAGTTTTTCAAAATTCAAAATGGCGGACGAGAATTAAAAAATTCATTGGATTCGCTCGAAAATTGTTACTCGGGGGGTTTCAGGGTTAGCAAATTTGATCAGTTTTAAAAATAAGTTTTAGGAAAGTCCGCCATTTTGAATTTAAAAAATTTGACTTTTATTTTTGTATTTACATTCAATCACTCCAAAATACTTTCTGTACCAAGTTTTGCAAAAATCCGTTATGATTTGATAAAGTTATTGAAGGTTTTAATTGTGTAATGCATTTTAATTTTTAACCTGTTTGATTTTTGTATTTATATATGATGCATTATTACATAATAGGTTTATTATCGTATTTTTTTGAGTTTTTATATAAGTTTAACAATTGCAATACTTTAAATTTATTTTCCCCAAGATTTTTCTGAAATACAGTGGCGTTCGTATTTACCCCGGTATTTTAGGAAAGTTGCAAAGTATCGAGGTAAATACGAACGCTAAGTTTCCTGCGATTGTAATTTATCAAAAATTTTTGCTACCCCATAAAATTGTTCTATGGAAGTAACAATAATTTTTTTTTAAAGAAAAAACTTATGTTATTGTTGAAACTTACTAAAAGCGTTCGGATTTACCCCGGTTGATCCTACATTAATATTTAATATTATTACAATTTAGGAAAATCATGTAAATTTGTGAGTTATCAATTTTAAGGAAGAGTTTAAGAAATGTATAAAAATTAATGAATACATGAAATTTTTTGTTTCATTATCCTTAAAAATCCATAAAATTCTATTTACGAATTTACTTTCTATATACTTTCTAGGGATTAGTAATTTTACAAATGCTAAACGAGTTCCAAGATTTATTACCCTTAAGACCCTTATATTTCTATTTAAATCGACAAAAAAAAAAAAAAACATATGTAGTACACTTTAAATACAATTTATGATCAGCAAAGTAGAAGAAAAAAATTTTTAAAATCCTAAATTTAAGAAAAGGTTTTACTTTACAATTTATTTTCCTCAGTACTTTATTTTTGAGACTAAATTCTGAGCTCGTGCTGTGAAAGAAAAAATAACAGAACATTAAAAGGACTTATACATACTACGGACAATATACAAATACTAGACTAAAATTTGTGACACATCTGTCTATATAAATAACAGAAATGAAAGATTTACGAAAACAAAATTTCCTTTGTTGAAAAGAAATCTTAAAAATTCCTTTGAAATATAAAAACCCTAATAGTGTAAATGTTTAATTTTAAAATAGGCTAAAGGAAACAAATGTCGAGTTACAAAGGTCATTTATGTGATTCGAATTTGTAAATGTAAATTTGTAAATTCACCGAATTTTAATTTGCCAAAATTTTTTGTGTACGAATTTTTAAGACACCGAAATGTTCATTTTTCCAAAATTACAAATATAGCCAAACAATCGACAGAAAGATTTCGGTGCAATTTTTGAAAATTGATCAATTAGAAATTATCAAGAAAAACGTGATTGGTCAATTTTCAAAAATTGCACCGAAATCTTTCTGTCGATTGTTTGTTCGGCCATTTGTAATTTACGGAAAAATGAAAATTCGGTGTCTTAAAAATTATGTGAATTAAAAATTTGGAAAAATTAAAATTCGGTGAATTGAAATTTCTGTCATTTAAAAATTCGAATCACATAAAATTCGACTAAATGAAAATTCTGTTAAATTAAAATTCTTTTAAATAAAAAAATCATATGTAAAGAAAATGACTGTAAAATTAAAAATTCTGCCAAACAAAAATTCGGTAGCTAAAAAATAATTTTGTTATGTAAAAATTCTTATAAAAAGAAAATCAAATTTTAATTTGAAAATTAAAAATTCGTCTAAATAATAATTATTTCTGATAAAATAATTTAAAATAAAAATTCTAATTAATGATTTTTATGGGAAATTCATGAGCCGCATTTGTTTATTCAAAAAAAGGAAGATTTTTTCATGAAACTTTTTTTTTATTTAAAATGCATTTATATATATATCAATACTTGTACTTTGAAGTTAAGAATAAGGAAAAGAGAAGGGAACTCTACAACCATTTTGAGAGGCGGGACATGGGTGTAACCACGCTGCAACTAATTGTAAGAAAGGTCAAACCCTCTTCGTTGAGTTTTAAAATGGTCGACTTAAAATGCATTAATTTTCTGAATTGATTTACTTAATTATGAAAATAATCAGTTTTACCCTCCAGGAAGGTGAAATAGAAACTTTTATTGGCTTTATTAAAATTTTGTGAAAAGAAATGTTTAAGGAGACTTTTTGGTTTAGAATTGACAAAAAAGGCAAATTTTAAAACTTTTATTGTACGAAAAGTATTAAAGAAATTGCAAAATTTTTTTTTGAACATTGTTGCACATTACGTAGAGAAAATTTTTCAAAAAATATTTGAGTGTATTTAGTTCAATTTCGTAGCTATAGGTGGCGTCTTCCAAAAGGTACCTTTTTTTTGGTGCATCAAAAAGAAGTTTTTGGAGCAATTTACTTCAAAAAAAAAAAAAAAAAAAAAAAAAAAAAAAAAAAAAAAAAAAAAAAAAAAAAAAAAAAAAAAAAAAAAAAACAGGGGGTAAAAAATAAAGTTTCAAAGGTTTATTCTCTAGTTTTTTAACTAAGGAATCGAATGGTTTTTAGTTTTTTAAAATCGGTTCAGTAGATTTCAAGAAAAGCCGTGCACCAGTATGAAAAATGTTTTCGAGAAAAACGCGTTTAAAGTTTTAATAAATAATACATTGAGCCAGGACTATCAAACAATTTTTTATTACAACTTTTTTTTTTATTTTTTAAAAAACGTTTTGGGACAGTAATTTTATGATACTAAGGAACATTTCCAAGCAAAAAAAAATAGATTTTTTTGGATTTCTAAACTAGAACATTTTTCATTTATTCATAATTCGTAAAACGTAAATTTTTGCGAAGAGAAAAATAATTAAACTATTTAAAAATATTTAATTTGAGTTGTGTTATACTAAATCTTAATAATTTTACGAATTTTTTTTCAAAGAGTTATAAAATCATTCGGTGAACTGACCTTGAAAAAATTCAACAAATTTAAAAATAAAATTAGTAAAAAATTATTTTAATCCAATAATAGAACTTATTTGAACTTATCAAAAAGATAAAAATAATTAAAATAAAAAATATTGTATTAAAATTTATTTATCGATACACATTTTTCTGTTGTACTTGCAAATTACATAATTAACTACAGAAATAATTAGTTTAAATTTTCTGGAGTGTAAAACGAATAATGAAAAAAATGTACTATTCACAAAAGAAAAAATATAGTAGATTGTAAATATTATTATTAAGATTAGATTGACTAAATAAATTTTTAACATTGGAAATTTAACACTCCAGTTTTCTCCGTGTAGTCAGAATTATATGCAATCATCCATTTTTTTTATTTCTCTGAAAAAAAGTCACTCCAAAAAAAAGTTCTGGGATTGAATTTTGATACTTTGGTAAATTGTTGTCCTATATAAAAGTAACCGATATAAAAATTATATTACTTATTTTAAAAAAAAATTATGAAGAATAGAAGTTGAAGTTCTGAGTTTTGAGGTAACACTGTTATTTTCAAATCCATATAACTTCTACAAAACTTTATCGATTTTAATTTGTTAATAGGATTTTTTTGTTGGGGTTTTCAAATATAGTTTTCAATGCCAAAAAATTAAAAAAAACATGTTAAACCCTATTTTTTCAAAATTAACCCTCATTTTTCATTTTTAGTCTCTTACGCCACCCTAAATTCTTTTTTGTGATTTTTATTTGAAAGTTGAGATTTTTTCCAACAAAACTGTATAAATATAAAATTGGGACATTAGGTTTTTAAAAAAAAATGTTTTCATTCAAGGAATTTAATTTTTTAATTTTATTATTGAAAAAATTCTTATTTTTTGAAAAATCAGGCGACATATGCTTTTTAGATGAAAATGAATTGATATTTAACCTATTTTTGGAAAATTGAAAATTGTCACGACTATAAAGTTTCCTCTTATAAGCAAAAAATAGATGTTCATTTCATATGACCATTTAGCTTCCTCATCATGATATACTTATACATATTCAAGATTAAAAGAAGGATTATAACTAAAATAGCGATCAATTTTATAATTATTGGTAAAATAAAATTGATTAAATTTAAATTTATTTAAATAATAATAATAATTTTAATAATTAATAATAATAATAATTTTAATTTTAATAATTTTTATTTATTTAATTTATTTATTTTATTTTTTATTTATTTTAATTTAAATTAATTCGTTTTCATGCCAGGAATACAATTTTGACAAGAAATAATTAAAATTTCTATATAAGAAAAAGTAATTTCAAAAAATACAAAAAACGATTTTTTTCAAAAATTCAAAAAAAAATGATTTAATCTTCAGATTTTAGTAAATATGAACTTTATATAGGTTAATCGATTCGTTTTAATGCAAGAAATAAGTTTTTTTTACAAAACAAAATTAAATTTACAAACAAAAGAGATTTTGAAAATAAAAATTTTCAAATTTTGAAAAAATTGTAAAAAAAAAATTGTGAATATATTCGAAAATCCTTGTGTCAGATTTTAGGTATTAATGATTACAATAAGCATACAAAATTTTAGGACAATCCGTTAAAACGTTTCTGAGATAATTTGTACACAATATTTTGTGACATACACATACACACATACATCTGGACATTTGCTCAGGACTTCATATAATTATATGAAAATGAGTCCATATAACCCAATTTTAAAAAATCGAAAATCGTCACGAATGCAAAGCTTCCTCATGAGGAAGCAAAAGAATGCAAAATGTTAAATTATTATTTGACAACAAATTTTGGCTCAAAATTATTATATAACTATAAAAAAAAATCTTTTTAAAACAAGTGAATTACAATAAGTGATTCCAATTATCGAGTTGCAATGGTAATTCATTAGTGATAAATAACCTTTAAACTCGACAATTGGTTACATTTACACAATTTCCAGTCAACAAAAAACGTTCTATGTGTTTCAATAACGTTCTGAAAATTTTTCATGTTCAACAAACGTTGTCGTAACATAAAACGTCCTTAGAATGTTATTTTAAAAGACATGTACTTTCTAAAAACGATTTAGGAACGTTATTGGAACATTAGGCGGTTTATTGCTCACTGAATTATACCCAGAATTACCTGTCGTTAAATCTCTTGTAGCAATTGTCCCTTTTAATTATACAATTATATCAAAGCGGGAGTGCTCAGCTTTTCAATTGGATTATTGCCAGGTTCTTTAATCTGAGGTATATAGAAATAAGAAAAGGATAAAAAATATTTCTGCCTTTTTCTCTTTTTTTCTTAAAGCTGACTCTACATGACCATATATATTAGGTAATTCAAGTTGGGAGTGGGAAATTCAAGATGGCGGAAGGCCAGTGCCTAAACAAACATTAGAAATATATAGGATAAAGTCGAATTTTTTTAATATCTCGCTTAAATAAAATTTTGGAACGTAAGTTTATTAGGATTTTAGTTTCTATTTTTAATGGGCTATGTAATACAATAGTAAAATTAAGGGGGAAAAAAAAAATCGTTTTTAAATTATTTTATTAAATAGGCCATTAAAAATAGAAACTAAAATCCTAATATACTTAGATTCCAAACTTTCATTTAACAAGATATTTAAAAAAAATCGACTTTTGGGATTAAGGCCAACGCAGAATAGATTCGGGAACGTCGTTCGCGAACGAGATGCATGTACGTAAAAGTCACTAGACCTTCAATCCCATGATCCCCTACACTCATGGACAGATATGAGTACACTTTTTGTACTTTTCTAACTCACTACGTGTTATCATGGTAACACGTGCGTTAGAAAAGGACAAAAATGTGTAGGCATATCTGGCCACGAGTGTATTCAATTGAGTGTATTACATTTTTAATTTTTGTTTATGCTGATTCTACACTATTACCTAAAATTGCGCGTGCGATCCGCTTTTCCGTTACGCTTCCTATATTGAGGGTGGACTTATACATGTTGATGTAAATGCAGAATGCAATACCGAAAATAATGAGAGTGAAAAGGATTTATCCCTGTTCTTTTAAGGTTGGATTTACATATTGATGTAATTGCAGAATGCAAAACCGAAAATAATGAGAGGGAAACTTTAATCGCATTTAACCGAAGTTGGTTAAACTGGCCCTAAACTATAAAAAATGTTACGGCCTAAGCATAAGTGAGTCGAGTACGTAAGACGGATACGGGATAAGGCACGCGCCATGACAACGTTTTGCGTTGTGTTTTGTCACTAGACAATAAGTTTAAAAGAGATGCAGATATATGTTTGCTATGTTTACACTCAGGGTCTAGTGACAAAACGCAACGCAAAACGCTGCCATGGGACTGCAGCCTCATGGTGTAGTTACAAAACGTTGACATGAAACGTAAAGGTACGGTCACACGACTTTTGGAAAAACCATTCATGTCTTTCTCTCTCCTAAGACAGAGGCATAAGATTGTCTCACTCTGCATTTTCTTACATTTCCCAAAGACGGAAAATGCAGAGTGAGACAAACTTATGCGTCTGTAATAGGAGAGAGAAAGACAAGAATGGTTTTTCCAAAAGTCGTGTGACCGTACCCTAAAAGGCCTGAGCAGAATAGAAACGCTAACCGTAATCGCAATCGCAATCGTAAACGGAAGAATGAGTTAGAGAAGGATAGTCATATATTGTTGTTCTTCTCTTACTAATTCTTCCGTTTACGATTGCGATAACGATTTCGGTTACGTTTCTATTGTGCTTAGGCCTAAAGCGTCAAATTTTGTAACTAGACTGTAAGTGCGAGAAAGAAAATCGCATACATTTATCTCTTTCATACTCATGGTCTAGTAACAAATTATTAATACAAGAGACATACAATAGTGTACAGATAGCACTATCCTTTTCGCATACAATACATGGTTTTCTATTTTGCATTCTCTCATGGAACCATTAAATTCGGATAATTATTTTTTTTTCTTTCTTTACAGAAAAAATATACTTATAAAAAATACATATATACCCTTTTTTCTGTAAAAATAAAAAAAAATTATATAGATAATATTCCCCCTCGATAAAGTGTCACATTTCAGAGTGTCACAATTTTAACACACGAACGTGTTTTTTTTTCACTGATCCAACGTTGTAAAAATCTGCGTACGATTTTATACCTACCAAGCACTGAATATTTCTTTTTTATATTAAAAAAAAGAAGCTTGGAGCTTGGACTGCATATTTTATTTCAATTAATTTATTCAATTGGAAAAAGTACAGGTATTTTTTTCTCTCTCTTATTTAATTACACTATTAGTCAGAATTGTGCGACCATTCATTTTTTGATGAATGAAAAACAAATTTAAAAATATATGATCAAAAATTTTAGAATCATTACATTTTAACCAAAGTTAACGAATTTTTTTTTAAATCAGAAATACGTTACACAAATGATTTTTAAGAGAGCAAAATTACGAAATAAAGAGAATTTTATTAAAAATTTTGTTGTAAAATATGAATTTTAAGTGTATTAGATTTTGAAAATTTCAGTTAGTAGAAAATATTTAGAATTTATTACGAAAAAATACATTTATTTTGATTTGATAAGTATTCGCAGTGATATGAAATTATGGATTATTATTATTTTGAATTATTTTCGACATAACCTAATTTTGCAAATTTTTATCAATTATAATTTTTAAAGAGTGGAATAATTGAATTAAATATTTCTTTAGTGTCATTTTAACATATTTTCCACGACTTGAAAATACTTTTATAAAATTTGATATTATTTAGTTTCCTTCCGCAAAAGGGAACATTTATTCAAAGAAACCATTAATTACATGTCAAAATTTTACTTCTTTAAATAATTGCAGGCAACTAATCAAACGTTATCTACATGGTATAATGAACGTATTTTCTATTTAAATACGAAATTTTAATTTAAAAGAATCTTAATTTTACAGAAAAAAAAATTGTACAGAATTTCCATTTAACCGATTATCAAGGTTGCTGTATTTTTATTCAGGCGAAAATAAAATTGGCTATAAATTCAATTTCATCGAATTTCAATTTTTACGAAACGTTGTTCACTCTAGAATATTAATTTTGCAAAATAATAATTTAAAAGAATGTTAACTATTCTGCAAATTAATATTCTATGAAATAATATTTCGCAAAAATTGAGATTCGATCAAATTGAATTTATGGCTGATTTACTTTCGTCTAAATAAAAATTCTGCAACCTTGATAATCGGTTAAATGGAAATTATGTACAATTTTTTTTTTCTGTAAAATTGAGACGCATGAATATGTTCTAAAAAATCATTAGTTAGAATTTTCATTTTATGGGATTTCATTTGTCATAATTACTTTTGAGTCGAATTTTTATTTTTTCGAATTAGTATTTTGCAGAGTTTTCATCAAAACGATTTTCTAAATTACAGAATTTTTATATAATTCTGATTCATGATCATATAATATATGATCTAAAAATCTATAAAGTTATTACGTGTAATGATGATTGTTCTAATGTACAAAATGATCTTAATAATCTCGTGAGATGGTCTGCCGATATAAGGCTAACTCTTAACGTTAAGAAATGTAGTGTAATATCTTTCTTTAGACATGAAAATCCAATTTTGTATAACTATGTTGTGGGCGGTGAACAATTGAGTAGGGTTTCCAACCTGAGTGACTTGGGGGTCACTTTTTCATCTAATCTAAGGTTTGATACTCATATTGCTAATACTGTTAACGCGGCACTTAAAGTGTTTGGCTCAATCCAAAGAAATGCGTGTCATTTTAAGAACATAGTGGTCTTAAAGTCATTATTTTTTGCTTTAGCCAGATCAAAATTAGAATTTGCAATAGCAATATGGGTCCCATACCAAGAGTACCAATTATTAAAACTAGAGCGTGTTCAAAATAAATTTCTCCGTTTTGCAGCAAGACAAGTTGGTGTATATTACAACATACTCAGTCACGATTATACAGATTTAAGAAATAAACTAATGGTTCCAAAATTCTACGACAGAATTATTTTTTTGGACCTACTATTATTGTTCAAAATTATTAACGGATTAATCGATTGTCCATCAATATTGTCAAAAATAAATTTTATTATTCCTTCAAAAGGTTTAAGAAATCAAAAACTGTTCAGAGTTAAATTTAATAAATCTAACTATTTAGACAACAGTGTTATTAACAGAATTTGTACTAGAGGTAACGAGTACTGTCACGCGTTAGACTTTTTTGGTATATCTTTAGGAAAATTCACAAACGACTTACGAAAATTAATTTTGTATTAGTCGATAAGTCACCTACATGATTTCGTCATTCTGTGATTATATTCATTATATATTTTTATAATATTAAGTGCTTTTGCACTAAAGGGCATTTTTAACTTTTTACTTGTAAGCCCGTACATTGTAATTAAATAAATAAATAAATAAATATTTTATTTGCTCGAATTTTTATTTAACATAATAGGCATTGTAAAGAATTTTCATTGGGTAGAATTTCATTGCATAGAATTTTCATTTTATTCTTTCAGATGAATTTTTATTGGTTTGAATTATTATTTGATATAATTTCCATATAACCGATTTTTCTGCAGAATTTTTACTTAAACGAAAAATCATTTAACAGAATTTCTAATTGATAGAATTTTCATTTGTCCGAAATTGCAAATGTCCGAACAAACAATCGATTTTGGCGCGATTTTTAAAATCAACCAATAACAATTTTATGAATAATTTTTGATTGGTTGATTTTAAAAATCGCGCCAAAATCGATTGTTTGTTCGGACATTTGAAATTTCGGACAAATGAAAATTCTATCAATTAGAAATTCTGTTAAATGATTTTTCGTTTAAGTAAAAATTCTGCAGAAAAATCGCTTTTATGGAAATTATATCAAAGAATAATTCAAATCAATAAAAATTCATCTGAAAGAATAAAATGCAAATTGTATGCAATGAAATTCTATCCAATAAAAATTCTTTAAAATGCCTATTATGTTAAATGAAAATTCGAACAAATAAAAATTCTGTAAATTAAATTTTCTATTATAAAAAAAATTCCGTAATATAGAAAATAGATTTGATGAAAATTCTGCAAAATACTAATTTATTGAAACTTCGTAAAATTTTGTATATTTTGGTATTTGAATTAAAAAAATTTTTTTTTTTTAAATATTCTAAAATTTCAATAAATTTAACAGAAATTACATTTTTTTGGAAAATTTAAATAATGTAAAAAATTATTTTTTAGAATCTATAAATGTCAAACTACGATTCAATAGAAGTGGAAGAAATACAACGTCCTGATCCTTTAACTGAAGCACCTTTGTTGTCATTGAATTTTGTCATGTGCCCTCATCATCATTGCCAATGTGCCAGTTCATACAACTGCTGTTCAAGATCTCTTACTACATCAAATTGTCAAATTTTCTATCCTCCTCTTCCTTCGTCTTACTCATATTCTTCAAGTTCAGTTCCTGCTCCTACAATTGTAATTAATAGTCCAATAATTGTGGTTAATTCTCCACCACCTTCGTATTCTGCTCCTTATCACTATGAAAATAGAAGACGCCCATGGTGTAAGTTCATATTATTTATTTATGAGGCAAAATTTCTGAAGTGATCCAATTAAAAAAAAAAAAAAAAATTCTTAAATCGGACTGCAATTTGCATAACATTTAGTACTATGGATAAATACATCACCCATGAATTATTATTAATTTTTATCAAAAACTGTAGATGAGGGAGAGGATTAAAATTTTGGTGAAATATGAACAGTGGATTTTTTTTGAAAAATCATAACTATTGTATAAAAGGTTGAAAAAGATTTTGACCTAGGTACGTGATTTCGAAAGGTTTTTTCCTTCTCTTTCGAATGGTACATTTTTTTTTTAAATTCAAAATTTACCCCTTTTTTCAAAAATCAAAAATATTTTTGACTTTTTTTTAAATAAAGGACAATTTTTGTTTATTTTTTTACCCCTTTAAAATGAAGCTTAAAAATGTATGCTTTTAATAAACAAATTAAACAAAATTTAGTTTTTTTTTGTTTTCGAGATATTAGTTAATTAATTAATGTTAATAAAAAATGAAATATTTTACAAACAAATAAAGTTACCGTAATTCTGAACTTGACAATTGAAATTTAACGTAATTCCGTAATACTTCATATACGCCTCACACTTTGGCTATTGGATCACTTCAGGAATTTCGCCTCTTATATAAGATATTATTATTTATTTGCCCTTTAATAAAATATACAATTTGTACAATGTATTCACATTATGAAAAAAAGAAAGAGAAGAAAATATTCTAATTATAACAAATTGCGCCACATTATTATTATTATTATTATTATTATTATTATTATTTCTGAAATACCTACATTACCGGAAATTGTGCGATCTCTACTTTTTCGATGACTATAAAACAGTTTAAATCTAGAAAAATTAAGATAATTATAAAAATTAATTATTAAAACTAAAAATTTAGTTTTAATTTTTTCCTTTTTATTTTCTAAAAGCTAATGAAATTCTGAAAGAAATGACACCTTGACAAAGAGAATATGTTAATTTTTCAATTAGATATCTAAGAAAAACCCAATTTTCAGTGTTTTTATTCAGGGTGTCTAACGGTCAGGGAAAAGTCAGGGAATTTCTTTAATTTTCTGGAATTTTTTATAAATAAATTAAAGTAACTATTAGTTTCAAAAAATTTTGTACTTTTTTCCCAAAGTAAATGCAAATTTAAAAGTTGGCCTTCACACTCAATTATTAAGCATGTTATATCTTATATTCATTAAGTAAATAATTATTTACTACTATTTATTGAATCTAATAAATGATTTTTTAAACTTGGATAACAATTAATTAATTTCTTTCAGTGAAATATTTGGTTTTTTAATATAAATAAAAATTATATGATACAATTTTATTTTATCGGTTCAACTTTAAATAAAGTAAATTATTCATTAATACGAATAATTTATTATTTAATGCTAATACCCACATTTTACTTATAAAAATTTTTACAACGTCGAATATTAAATTATCGAATTTCTATTTAGCAAAATTGTATAAAGTAGATTTTATATTATGCAAAATTTTTAATTTACATTTAACTAAAATTCGATTTAAAAGAATTTCTATTTAGCAGAACTCTTATAAAGCATTTTTTCTAATACTTTTTAAAAATTTTAAATTAATATAATTTCAATTTAACGAAATTTATGTCTGGAGAAATTAATAAAAAAAAGAACTAAGTAGAATTTTTCTTAAATGAGAATTCTATTAAATAAAAATTAGTTCGAATTAAAATTTTTTTTAATAAAAACTTTCTTAAAATTTGAAGATCGTTCAAGTCATCTTCAAATTTTAATTAAAGCTACCGAATGATAAATTCAATTATTTATTTATTTAAAAACTTTCTTAATTAAGAATTTTGTTAAATAAAAATTATGTTAATTATGGATTTATTCAATGACAATTCTGTTAAGTAAATATTTTGATAAATCAAAATTTACTAAAAATAACAATTCTGTTAAAAAAAATATTTCTTTATGCAATTTTTCTTGACATAAATTCCTTTATATTGAAATTGTATTAATTTGAAATTCAATGTACTAGAAAATCTGCTTTATCTAATTTTACTAAATAAAAATTTGATAATTTAAGATTTGACGCCGTAAAAATTCTTTTAAATTAAATAATGAGAATATTTATACGTCCCTAATTAATTAATTTATTTCACTTAAATATTTTATTTTCTACGAAATATTATTTATTTGATTCAAATACATATGAAATTAGTGGATAATAGACAGGTAAATGATTTAATTGTATCAAAATAAATTTTATTTGATCAAAATAAAAATTTTTTAGTGTAATTTAGGTCATGGAAAAGTCAGGGAATTTTTTTTCTAGCAGTTGTTAGACACCCTGTTATTTTTTTTTACTTCTCTGGCAAAAATTAATATTTTTCAACGTTCTTGGGCTCATTGGAATGGTATTTTATTATAAAATTCAAATTATTAAAAACAATTCATGTCCATATTCTTCCTTAGCGTATGAAAACCGTGAAATATTAAAATTTAAATATTAATCATAATTTTTTGACTTTTTTTTAGCCAAATTTCACGGTTTGCATACGCTATAAGAAAGAATGTGGACATGAATTGTTTTAAATAATTTGAATTGTATAATAAAATACCATTCCAATGAGTTCAAGAACGTTGAAAAATATTAATTTTTGCCAGAGAAATAAAAAAAAAAATTAGTAAAATCACTGAAAATTGGGTATTTTTAAGATATCTAATTAAAGAATTAACACACTGAAAAAAAAAATTTATTTGGATCAATTAAAAAGTATTTGATCCAAATACATCATTTACTTGTCTATTATCCAATAAATATGTATTTGAACCAAATACACATTTACTAAACCTAAGTATTTTATTTTATCGTATCAAATAAATAGTTATTTGAATCAAGTACAAAGTATTCAAATCAAATAAATAGAATATTCAAAACTAATAAATAATTATTTGAATCAATTATGAAAAATATTTCATTCAATACTGCATGTTTTTTGATTCAAATAAATATTTATTTGCATTAATAAAATATTTTTCTGGAAACAACTAAAAATTTTCTTGAATCAAATATTCTATTATTTGTCATAAGAAATTGTTTTAATTGAAACTAAAATCTCTTTAATTGTGGCAATTATTATTTTATTTGATCCAAATACATAATTTATTTGCATAAAATGTAAGAATTTTTTTGATTCAAATAAATCAAAATTTGAATTGAATAAATAACATATTTATTTACTAATTCTTCCATTTCTAAATTAAATTCTTTCTCAAATAAATAAATTAAAAAATATGTAATTTCTGCATACCATGATCGCATATTTTTATTTTTCAACTAATTCATACATAGAATTAATGATTAAACGCAAATCTGAGAAATAAATAAATCTAACGCTACGTGAAAACGAATGCTAACTTCTTGATGTCATTTAAACTTGCAAAATACCTAACTCAGAAAAGTGCTTAACATCATTTAGTTACAGTTAAGATATTAAATTATATTTTTATTAAAAACGCATTTTTCGTTGTTCTGAATCATTGTAAATATTAATTTTTTGTAGTTGAAAAAATATTTGACTTTAGGTCTTAGAATATTAAATAATATATATAAATAACTGAATAGTATCAAATAACTCATTATTCTCATTACACTTAAATATTTAATTGATCAAAATATTTTATTTTCCTTTAATAAAATAGTTTATTAACATTAAATAATGCATTATTTATATTAAATAATTTAATTAATTAGAATTAATAAATTTATTGTATCAAATACTTTTTATTTTTATCAAAAAAATGAAATATTTGAGTGAAATAAATAAATTAATAGTTGCAAGTATCTCATTATTTTCGTTTCAAATAAACATTTAATTGATTAAAATATTTTTTTATTTGTCTTGATAAAAATAGTGTATTAGTATTAAATAATTTAGTTGACTTATATCAGTTAAATAAAGTTATTGTATCAAATACTTTTTATTTGTTTCAATAAAACGAAATATTTGAGTGAAATAAATAAATTAATTGTTTCAAGTAAATCATTATTATCGTTTCAAATAAATATTTAATTGATTGAAATATTTTTTTATTTGTCTTGATAAAATAGTGTATTAGGATTAAATAACGAATTATTTGTATTAAATAATTTAGTTTATTTGAATCAATTACATAAATTTATTGTCTCAAATACTTTTTATTTGTATCAAATAAACGAAATATTTGAGTGAAATAAATGAATGAATAGTTTCAAGTAACTCATTATTTGTATTAAATAAATTCATTTATTCAATTCAATTAATTATTTAATTAAACCAAATACGATTTATTTGGTTCAAATAAATGCGATTCAAGTAATTCAAGTTATTTGAATCAAAAATACATATTTTTTTGATCCAAATAAAAAGTATTTGAACCAATTAAATATTTTTCAATTAATTTGAAGTACATTGAATCAAATAAATTTTTTTTTCAGTGCATATTCTCTTTATCAAGGTGTCATTTCTTTCAGAATTTTATTAGCTTTTAGAAAATAAAAAGGAAAAATAATTTTATTATAATATTTTTGAAGATTTAAACTGTCTTATAAGCTTGTTTATATTGTAAAAAAAATAAAAATTTAACTCAAAATTAACTATTTTTGTTTTGCATAATTAAAATCGATTTTTTTTTAAACAACTCTAGAGTTATTTGTTTCAAAGAAGGTTTTTTTTTGTTTATTTTACAATGAGAAAAACTCCGTAACTGCAAATGAATGTTGGTATTCTTGAGTTTAATCTTTGTTGTGTCAATATTGGATCACTTAATCCTCTTGTAGCCACACAGGTATAGACGGCACAGAGTATTAGATTAGTCATAGGTTCTTCCGTAGGCATTATAATATGTATTATGATGATGTCTCTTCCACCTTTATTTAAAGGTGAATAAAGCAGAAAATCTGTTTATTGATCCTCACTAAAGATTAAGGAAAACCGCTGAGAATATTGACACAACAATTTAATGTTGACAATATTTATATATCTATTGCACGAAGAAAAATAGACTTTCAAAATTTTCTTAGAAAAATGGATTTGATATTCAGGCTAGACTACCTTAAGATTTTCTTAAAATAAAAGTTTCGTTAAAACTAAAATAGTTAATTTCGTTAAATTAAATTTATTCATAAATTAAGAAATTCATTCGTTTAAGGAGGCATTAAGGATTAAATTTTACAATTTTTTTCTAAAAAATTGAAATTTATAAATTTTTTTTCTTCTCTCTCTCTCTTTCTGTCAATTGGAATATTTTTTTTCTAAACAAATTAATTTTTTTTTAAATAAAAAAATCGATTTTTTTCGCCTTTTTTTGAAATGTGAAACGACTTTTTTTTACTCAACTGAATGCTAATAATTTTGTAGTAATTTAGTATGATTGATAGTTTTTTTTCTTTCCTATATCTACAGATGTACAAGAACAAATACGTAGAAACAGACAAAGAAGGGAAAATAGAAGAAGACAAGCACTTATAAGAGATATTTCGAGAGAAGTAGAAGAAATGCTTGATAGTTTCTTTGAGGTTAGTTCCATTTAAATTTTATCATTTTACACCATAAAAATTATAAAACTATTTTATTTTTCTGTTTAGAGGGAAAATGTTAGATGGAGAGGAAGATGGTAAACAATATTCAAGACGACTACAAACTTTCCTAGCTCACTCGTCTTATTTTTTTTTCTTTTTAATGATTTTTTTTAAATTATCTTTTTCATTAGTTGCTTTATATTATTTTACATTTTAACTGCTAAGAGTTTCTTAAATTTTAATTTACTTTAATTTCCTTTTATTTCAATTAAAGTAATTAAAATAATTTAATATAAATTAATTTACATATATTTAAAAAAAAGACTTATTTTTTCTTTTTTTTATAGTTACGAAAATACTATTATAATTATAATATGTATAAAAATGAAAAAAGACCTTAAAACAAAATTTACAATATAAAATAGTAAAAAAAAAAATTTATATTTATTAGCAATTAACTAAAAAAGCTCTTGTAATGTTGGGAGAAAAATTTAACGGTCTAATAGACCGGGAAGAGCAACAAATGGTATTTTTTAGTATTTAGCAGTTTATATGGTAAAATTGTCTTGATTATAACTAAAATCGATGTATTAGGCAGTAGACTTTAAAATTTATATAAAAATCTATAATTGTCTAACAATCAAAATTCTGTAAAACAGAAATATAATAATAGTAAGTATATTATTTTTTTCCTTTTACTAATTAAAAAATTTTAATATTTCTCAGTTGAATCCTGTTAAAAATAGAAATTTTATTCTATTAATTACTTTAGTTATTATTCTTTTAAACTAGAAAAGCTATCATTTTTTCCTAAAAGAAACTAATAGTAATAAAAAAAAAGGCTAGAACTTTTCTTTAAAAAAAAAACAACTACAAAATTTCAAACAATTTGACAATAGAATAACTTTATTTTTCAATGCGACAACGAAACATTTTTCTTGGCTCAACAATACGTGATGAAAAAAATTATTTTGTCAACGTGAATTTTTTTTAAATCCTTTTAGAAAATCCAAATAAAGTAATAAAAGAAACAGATGTTTGCAAATGTAAAAAATTGAACGGGCTCCATAAAAATGACAGAAATATCTAAACCCCAAAATTTTGAGAGATATAATAAATTTAAAACTTAATCCTCTTTTTGAAAAATCGGTTATACTTGACTATTCTGTTTAACGAATTTAAATTTTTATTTTATAATTCCAGATCTCGCAGTTTTAATGGACCATAATTGGGTATACAAAAATGAAAAAAATAAATTTTAAATTAAGGTAATTATTTAATTATTTAGTTCAAATTACCAGTGGAACAAATCTTATAATTGAATTCATTTATTTATTTATTTATTGATACAAACGGGCAATAACAACTTTGCCTAATCGTACAAAGTACTAATTAACATAAAAGGAAGTATTGTCGTCGCTAAATACTAGATTGCGTAATTCTTTAGAAAATACATTGAACGAAACTCCGAAAAAATTTAAATCATTTTTATATTGATTTGCCTCATGAATAAGTCTATGAATTACCGAGTTACCCAGATAATTAGTTCTGGCAAATGGCAATTTAAATAAAGGAACATTTCTTAAAAATCGTTTAGGTACAAAAAGTCCAAAAAGACTCAAAAGATTTGTACAATTAAATAAACCGTTTATAATTTTAAAAACAAAAAGAAGGTTTTAATTTTTATTCAGCAAAATTTTATAAACTGCAATTTATAAAAATATTTAACAATTTCAATTTATGAAAATTTTGATTAAAAATCTCCTGAAATTCAATTGTTTTCAGCAATTGTAACTGCAACTATTTTGAAATTTAATAATTTTTCAAATTTTTAACTTAAATTCTTTGTTGAATTATATATTTCTAATAACTTTAATCAGTCTTTAAAAATTCCATTAATAAACACATTTCTCAATTAAATTTTTTTTTAAATTCCATTATCTTCTAAACTTTGTAAAAAATCTTCCTCAATTCAAATTTACCAAAATTCTTTTTGTATATCTTTAAATTTTTATTATTTCTGAAAAAATTTAAATATATCTCTTTGAAATTCGATAACTTTCAAAATTTTTATCTAAAATTCTTGGCTAAATTAATTATTATAATTATTTTAATTCAATTTTTCAAAAATTCAAATTTTTTTTAATCAAAATTCTTTAAAATTCAATTATTGTTTAAAATTTTGTCAATAATTTTAAGCAATTCTAATTTATAACAATTTCAATTAATAAATTAATTTTTTTTTCAATAATATTTTAATTAATTTCATTGAAAATTTAATTACTTAAAACATTTGCCAAAATTGTGAATTCGAATAATTTGTACAATGACTTGGAATTTTTTCTTCTTTTAAAGTAACTTTAAATTATTATTTTTCAAAATTTGTCCTACTGAATTGAAATCATGAAAATTTGTCGTTGTTGAATTCTAAAGTTTAAAAAAAAAAGTTGATGAAAATGTTTCTGTGAAACATTCTTATTATAGAATTAGAAAGAATTTATTTAATTTCTAATAATTAATGTTATTAATAATGAAATATTTATTAAAAAATAAAATTTATTAAAAATAATCAAGAAATTGGGAGGTCTCAAAATTTTTCACCGTGTAATTTATAAATTTATTTAGTGTAATTTAAAACAACTTTAAAGCATTTTGGTTAAGGAAAATATACATTTAGATTTTATTCTATTTTTCTCCTTTTTTCAAAATAAAATTTCCCCTATAATAAAGATTTTTATTTTATTTATCACAAATACTTGGTTTATGTTATTGCGTTTTTATATGATAAAGTAGTACATAAAACGAATTTAGTTTTGAATAATTTTTTGAAAATATATTTATTTAAAATTTTTTTTTCATTATTTAACTCAATTTATGAAGAATTGATATTAGATAAATTTTTTAAAAGATATTTTTTATGCCTTACAGTAGATTCGAAGCCTGATTTAATTGATTTTTCATTTCATAAAGTTTTTATGTAAGCAAATTTGATCTATTAATTGAAAATTTGTTGAAATAAAAATTTGGCTAAATAAAAATTCTGCTAAATAAGAATTAAGATAAGTGAAAATTCGATAAAATAAAAATTCAGATAAGTAAAATTAAATCAATAGAAGAATTCAATTAAATAAAAATTCCTTTAATTATAAATTCTTTGAAATAAATATCCGTGAAAATTCCGTTACATTTAAATTTTGTTAATCAAAAATTCTGTTGAATTAAAATTTGCTAAATTAAATATAAATGAAAAAACAGATAAATAGAAATTTCATTAAATGAAAAATCAATTTAACAAAAATTCTTCGGTAAGAAAATTCCATTCATTAATAAATTTTACTTTATAAAATCTGATTAAATTGAAATTCGATCTTGTTGACATCGAAACATGGAAAAAAATCATTATTTTTAATTTGAATTATTTAATTTTGCCGATTTTTTGCAAAAAAATTAATTTACAAAATATTTTATTAATTTAATTGAAATATTTTGTACATTTTGGCGTCATTGGCTAAAAATTCATCAAAATAGATTTATTATTTGGATCAGGAATTTTTTTTTAAAATCATGTGCAAATAAAGGTAAATTTGAAATAAAAAAAAACAGAAATACTTAATAAAATACATTATATATTTTAGAAAATGATTACAAATTAATAAAAAGAAGATAAGTTTTTAAAGATACATTTAGAATATATCTTGGAAAAATAAAATGTTCAATATTTCGCTGCTCCTTGGTTAGCCAATCTATCTGCTTGCACATTTCCATAAATACCGCTATGCGCTGGAACTGTAATCTAAAAATAAATTTCAAAATTAGAAAAAAAAATTTTTATTTGCACAAATTGTTATTTGATAGAATTTTCATTTGTCGGAAACTGAAAATGTCCGAGCAAACATTCAACAGAAAGATTTAGGCGCAAATTTTAAAATTAATCAATCACTATTTTCTTGATAATTTCTAATTGGTAAATTTTAAAATTCGCGCAGAAATCTTTCTATCGATTGTTTGTCGGACATTTTCAATTTCCGACAAATGTTTAGAAATTGAAAATAATTTCTGTAAATTAAATTCTATTAAAATTAAAAATAGAAAAGTAAATTTATACTTTAAAGAAAATTAAATGTTTTATTTATTTACCCATTTAACCCGAAGTTGATCAACCAATGACAGCATCTCCTGTATATCGCTTTTATTAGACACAGGGTTTCCCCTTGCATTTATCCAGCCATTGTTGAGCCAATCATTTACCCATTTTGTTGCACAATTCATGGTATAATGAGAATCAGTGTTTATCTGTAATTTTCGGATACCAGCACCCAGTGCCTGTTTACATGCCGCGATAACAGCGTGTAATTCTGCCCGCTGATTGGTTGCCCTTCCAATTAATGGTTCAGATACATTACTGCAAAAGAAATTATTCCTTTGTAAAAATTGCCATTACAAAATTTTTTACGTTTTTCAGTTATTCTAATGAATTTTCATAGAATTTTCATAGAATTTTAATTTCATTCTATTAGATAAATTTTCAAATGTTCGAATTATTATTTGATACAATTTCCACATAAACAATTTTTCATACTACAGAATTTAATACTTAATCGAAAAATCGTTTAACAAAATTTCTAAATTGATAGAATTTTCATTTGTCCGAAATTGCAAATATCCGAACCAAACAAACGACAAAATGATTTAGGCGCGATTTTTAAAACCAACCAATCACAATTTTATGGGTTGATTTTTGATTTTAAAAACCGCGCTAAAATCATTTTGTCGTTTGTTTGTTCGGACAAATGAAAATTCATCTAAAAGAATGAATGAAAATTTTCTCAAATGAAATTCTAAAAATTCAACTAGATTCTGTAGAATTAGATATTTAAATAAATATGCAATAGACTTATGTAAAATTTAAAATAAATTTTAATACCTAACAAAACAAAAAATTTACAAAATTTATATTAATAAATATATTGAAAAGTAATTTTACATACAGATGATTTCCGTCAGAAAAAAATACGCCAATACCAGCTCGAGCGCCTGAATAACCATTATTGGTGCAACAACCATCCGTATAAACAATGACATAACCTTCATTGTCTGTTTGTAATCCGTAATGCGACATCTTGTTTTTTTATATTTTTTTTTAAATTAAATTTCTGCAAACAAAATTTAATCGATTATATCGAGTAGAGATAATTTACAAAAATTAAATTGATCGTCTATTGAAATATTATATAGTCAAAATCGTAGAAAATCGAAACTTTTATTTTTTGTTAAATCCATAATTGTTATAATTGAAATTATTAAATTTTAAAAAAATTTTGGATGGAAAATTTTATAAATAATTAAATTTTAAAAGTTTTTAAATTGAAATTTTTGAAAATAATTGAATTTCAAAAAGATTGTGTTAAATTTAAGACAATAATTAATTATAATAAAAGAAATTTTTAGTAATTTCCGTGATTTCTGTTGATGATGAATTTATTAGAAATCAGATACAAAAATTGAATTCTAAAAATTTTTCATTGAAAAATATACTTTCAGATAATTGAATTTTTGAAGAATTATATATAAAAATTATTAAAAATAATTGAAATTTTTGCTAATAATTAAATTTCAAGTGATTTTGAATTAAAATTTTTTAGTAATTTTATTTTGCTAATTTTTTTTCAAAATTATAAACAATTATTAAATTTCATAAAAATTTTAATTAAAAAATAGTTTAAGATAATTGAATTTCTGAAGAATTTCATTAAATTTATTTAAACTAATTAAGTGAAGAATTTTAATTAAAAATTTTGTTAAATAATTGAAATAAAGAAAATCTGCATTGTATACTAAAAAAAGCGTTTAAATTTTTTTTTTTTAATGTAAAAAAATAGTCGAAAAAGTCCCATTTTATTAAAATAAATCGAAAAAAGTCGTGTATAATCCAAGGCCTGTAATTATTTAAAAATTAAATTTTTATTTCATCGCTATATTAAATAAACTTTTTTGAACTAATTCAATTTTTGTCACAAAATTTTTCGTATATGAATTTAAAATATAATGCGAAATATAATACAAAATAGTATTATTCTTTCCTGCAAAAAATATAAAATATGAAAAGATTTTCACTCTCAATCTCTTCTTTAAAAATGGAAACAAATAGAGCCTAATGTAAACAAATCTCTGTTATGGTTTCACTTCCAGACAATCTGTTATAGATATACATCAGTATGTCTCCGTTTGTCTGAATACAGTATAATGATTTTATAATGTATTTCGAAAGGTAAACATATTTTCTCGTTTCGCCAATTTACCTATATTTGTCAAAGTATATATTGTTTTCATAACGCAGGAAAAAAAAAGTCCCGGAAAATTTTGTTCCCAAAATTCTTTACTATTTATTGTTATTGCGTCTTATGCCAAGAAACAAATACATAATGCGTAGGTCAAGAATCAAACAATGGAGAATCGAACAAAAAAAATAAGGCGTCATTGAAATATTACTCTAATAACTAGCAAAATTAAACGCGCGCAAGCGCGCCAAATTGGCTACTTAATTGTTTGTTATAAAGAAATTAAAGATTAATATTATCAATAATAATTTAATTTATTAGAATATTATTACATATTAAATGATAATAATGAAAATTATACAGGCCTCGGATTATACGACTTTTTCCGATTTTTTTCAAAAATACGACTTTCATCGACTTATTTTAATAAAATGCGACATTTTTTTTTTACATTTGAAAAAAAATGTAAATAAAATACATTTTTTTAGTATAAAATGTAAATTTTCTTCAGATCTTCTTCAATTCAATTATTTAACAAATTTTGAACTAAAATGATTCTTCACTAAATTAATTATTTTTAATAATTTTAATTAAATACATCACAAAAATTTCTAATCAAAATTAATTATCCAAATTTTAAATCAAAATTAACTTAAATTAAATTATTATCCAAAATTTCAATTACAATTCAATTATTTCCCAATATTTTCAGTTTAAAATTAACAAAAATTCAATTATTTTCCAAAATGTCAATTGAAAATCAATTATTTACCAAGTTTTCAATTCAAAATAAACTAAAATTCAATTATTTTCAAAAATTTTCAATTTCAATTTAATTAGTTTCATAAATTTCAATTCAAAATAAACTAAAATTCAATTATTACCCGAAATTTTAATTCAAAATCAATTAAAAATCCAATAATTATCCAAAATTTTCAATTTAAAATTTCATTATTTACCAAGTTTTCAATTTAAAATGAAATAAAATTCAATTATTTTCTAAAATTTCTATTCAAAATTAAATTTCCAAATTTTCAATCAAAAATGAACTTAAATTAAATTATTATCCAAAATTTCAAGTAAAATTCAATTATTTCTCAAAATTTTCAATTCAAAATGAACTGAAATTCAATTATTTTCCAAATTTAAAATCAAAAAAATTTCATTATTCTCAAAATTTTGAATTCAAAATTAATTGAATTTTCAATAATTTGAATTTAAAAGCACCTAAAATTTAATTATTTCTAAAATTTTACATCGAAAATTTTTTTTTTTTAAATTTAATAATTTCAATTATAACTCTAAGGAAATTCAATTGTTTTTAACTATTTAATAATATTCAGTGAAAATTCAACTATCTGAAATCATTTTTCAATTAAAAATGATTTTCAAATTATTGTATTTTGTCCGCATTTTCTAATAAATTTTTAGTGAAATCATCTAAAATTTTAATTAAAAATCACTTAAAGTTTCAATTAATTTCAAAAATCTCAATTTTAAATCTTTGAAAATTCAATTAAATTTAAAAAATGTTTTCCAAAAATTGTTTGATAAATTATTTTTAGTCCTGTAAAATTTAATAATTGTTTGAAAATTAACAATATCTTTTGAAATTTAATTATTTCTAAAAATTTCAACTTTAACCCTTCGAAAAGGATTATTATTAAAAATAACATTTTTATTTAAAATTCTGTAAAATATTTTTGTTAAAATAAAAAACAAATCCACTTTTTTTTGGAATATAAATCGACTAAAACGACTTTTTTGTGTCTTTAAGTTGATTCGAGGCCTGTGTTTTTATAATTAATATTTAATAGGTATTCGTTGGCTCCTGGTACCTTAAAAATTAATTTTTAAAAATAAATTTTTTTCAAATTACTATCTTGTACGAAATTTCCTGGCGCATCTTTTTTCTCATCATAAATTTTTTGTATTTGTATACAATTTTTGAATCAATATACAACTTTAAAAAAAATTTCGTTGGTAAACGTTGTGTACTTCAGCTTCGTGAATTGAATTTTCGAATTTGGAATTTTAAAGAAACTTATTCCGAAATTTGGTAACACAATTATACAACTTTGGCAAAAATGAGAAAAAGAATTGTCAAAATTTGACACGTCATAAGATTACTATTCAAAAAAAACACGTGAAATCAGAAAAGGCCAACTTCAAGTTAGGACAGAAGGACAGACCAAGCATTTTATTATTATATAATTATTTAATTGCAATCTCTAATTTATCATTTTTATATACTTAAATAAATTACAAGAACAATATTAGATTTTAGATTAATTTTAGATACTTAAATAAATTAATATCAAGAACAATAGGGATTTTAGGGCTCCGAAATTTTTACGAATTAGAAATATCACATATACTTTTTAAGCGGATTTTAATATGTTCCCGATTTTTTTTTTTTGTAATATTGAAAAAAAAATAGTTTGGATAAGTTTCTTTTACCTGAATTATAGCGAAGCAGCTGGAAAAATAACCAAAGTTGATAATTGAGAAAAAGGGTAAAAAAAAGAACTGGGCAAGAAGAATATAGCTATAATACTTGAAACTAATGCAAATAAACCACTGCGAATCACTGTCAAGTGTGAACTGTGTAAAGAGCTGAGCTGCGAAATAAAATTGAACCAGTAAGCACTTTCAAATACATACCAGCAAGTACCAGTAATAAGGTGCGCGCGCATATATTATACGGATTATAATACGATTAGAAAAAACCTTGGAAAAAACCCCAACTTCTTGGAAAGAAATTAGGTGTGGAAGGGTTCTTAAGGAGGTTCTACAATAAGGCCTAAGCTGAATAGATTCTTGAACGGGAACGCAATCGTAAAACGGAAACGTAAGAATGAGTAAGAGGAAGGATAGACATATTTGTTTGTCCTTCTCTAACTCATTATTTCAATTGCATTTGCGGTTACGATTCCGAAAAAATTTTTTTTTAATCTTTTTATAATCACCTATTATAGTTCGAGAAAATTCTAACATTGATATGGGGCTAAAGAAACAATTTATTTGAATTAAATAAAAAAAAATTTCTTCTAAATAAAGATAGATAATTTTTTATGAATCAAAGATAATTTGTTTGAAACAAATAAATTTTCTTTGTAACAAAGAAAAATTTATATCAATAAAGAAATTGATTTTATTGAATCAAAGAAATTTCTTTTCTGGGCGTAAATAGCAACGTTTTTAAAGGAAATTAGTAATAATTTTCTTTTTTTTTTTTTTAATAAAAGGAAAAATAGTGAATGAAAATTTTATGAAAAATTCAATTGTATAAAGAAGTTGTAAAAAATTAGTTGCCAAAAGTATTTTTATTATATAAAACAAATGTTTTAGTAATAAATGCAAAAAATTGACATCAATAAACATCGAAAAAATATTAAACAATTAAAACAAAAATATGAATATTATATTTTGAAAAGTGATAATAAAAATACGTTAAAATTAACGTATTTCTTAACGGATCATTTAAAATTTTTTTTGATTTTCAATATTTAAATAATTTTTGTTTGACTTTTTTTATTTATTATTATTATTATTATTATTATTATTATTATTATTGTTATTATTATTTTCTTTACTTTTTATTAGAAAAAAATATTTTCTTAAAGTTATTAAACAATTGGAAATTTTAGTAGGAAAAAATAAAAATTTTCCTTACATTTTCATTTGATGAAAATTATTATTTGAGGTAAATTTCAGTCTTGTCTACTGAATCTTTATCAATTAGATTTTAAAAATATAACTGTAACAAAAATATTTTTTTTTTATAAAAAGAAAATAAATACAAACAAAAAAAAATTCTAAGTTCAGAAAAACGAATTTTTTTTCCGAACTATAAATCCATATAGTGTCACATTTTTACCATAAAAATACTTTTATTTTTATATACATTCATTTTATTGGCTCAACAATATAAGTGAAGAAAAATATGATTTTGTTTTTCTCAGTATATACTTTTTTTGGGGTGTATATATGAGAAAATTTGTTTTCTTTACTCTCGAATAATAGAGGTATATATAATTTATATTTTGTTATTTTAGACGTTCGAGACCTGACCATCCAGAGTGCACAAATCCTTTATAGATAAAATTCAAAAAGATAGTAAAGTAATAAAAGAAACAAATGTTTTCAAGATGTAGAAAAATTGACAGAAAAACCCAAAATCTCTAAGGGATAATAAATACAAAACTTAATCCTTTTTCTGAAAATTTAAAGAGATTTATTTTCATCATTATATAAGGCGAAGCGTCCGTTTCGGAACGCGAAAAATAAGCACATCTTTACTGTGTTTTTTTTCTAACTTATTTTTATTCTAAATTAAAAAAAAAAACTTTTTACATTTAAAAATACAATACCTAATGGTTTCAATTAAAAAGAACAGTATAATTTTTGTTTTATTTTAAAATTATTATTTATTGCTTCCAGAAGGAGCCAAAAAATCGCAGTTATAGTAAAAGGAGACACATTTTTCAAAATTTCTACTTTTGTTAAACATTACATTAAAATAAAAATTATTATTCCGTGTTTTTTTGAATAGTAATCTTATGACGTGTCAAATTTTGACAATTCTTTTTCTCATTTTTTCCAAAGTTGTATAATTGTGATTCCAAATTTCGGAATAAGTTTCTTTAAAATTCCAAATTCGAAAATTCAATTCACGAAGCTGAAATACAAAACGTTTACCAACGAAATTTTTTTTAAACTTGTATATTCATTCAAAAATTGTATACAAATACAAAAAATTTATGATGAGAAAAAAGATGCGCCAGGAAATTTCGTACAAGATAGTAATTTGAAAAAAATTTATTTTTCAAAATTAATTTTTAAGGTACCAGGGGCCAACGATTACCTATTAAATATTAATTATAAAAACACAGGCCTCGAATCAACTTAAAGACACAAAAAGTCGTTTTAGTCGATTTATATTAAAAAAAAAATGGATTTGTTTTTTATTTTAACAAAAATAATTTACAGATTTTTAAATAAAATTTTTTTTTTTTAATAATAATCCTTTTCGAAGGGTTAAAGTTGAAATTTTTAGAAATAATTAAATTTCAAAAGATATTGTTAATTTTCAAACAATTATTAAATTTTACAGAACTAAAAATAATTTATCAAACAATTTTTGGAAAACATTTTTCAAATTTAATTGAATTTTCAAAGATTTAAAATTGAGTTTTTTGAAATTAATTGAAACTTTAAGTTATTTTTTAATAAAATTTTAGATGATTTCACTAAAAATTTATTAGAAAATGCGGCTAAAATACAATAATTTGAAAATAATTTTTAATTGAAAAATGGTTTCAGATAGTTGAATTTTCAAAGAATATTATTAAAATAGTTAAAAATAATTGAATTTCCTTAGAGTTATAATTGAAATTATTAAATTTCGAAAAAAAAATTTTCGATAGAAAATTTTAGAAATAATTAAATTTACATGCTTTTAAATTCAAATTATTGAAAATTCAATTATTTTTGAATTCCAATTTTTGAGAATAATTAAATTTTATTTGATTTTAAATTTGGAAAATAATTGAATTTCAGTTCATTTTGAATTGAAAATTTTGGGAAATAATTGAATTTTAATTGAAATTTTGGATAATAATTTAATTTAAGTTCATTTTTGATTGAAAATTTGGATAATTAATTTTGAATAGAAATTTTAGAAAATAATTGAATTTTATTTCATTTTAAATTGAAAATTTGGTAAATAATTAAATTTTAAATTGAAAATATTGGATAATTATTGGATTTTTAATTGATTTTGAATTAAAATTTCGGGTAATAATTGAATTTTAGTTTATTTTGAATTGAAATTTTTAAAAATTAATTCAATTTTATTGTGATATTTTTTTTTAAATTATAAACAATTGTTAAATTTCATAAAAATTTTAATTGAAAAATAATTTTGATATAATTGAATTTGTGATGTATTTCATTAAAATTATTAAAAATAATTAATTTAGTGAAGAAACATTTTAGTTCTTAATTTGTTAAATAATTGAATTGAAGAAGATCTGAAGAAGATCTACATTTTATACTAAAAAATGTATTTTATTTATATTTTTTTTCAAATGTAAAAAAAAAATTTTGCTAGTTTTATAATAAAAGGTTCAATAATAAGTCAATTGATTCGATTTTAATAATTCTCCAAGTTCTTAATAATAATTTTAGTTAAATAAATATTTTTTAATAAAGCAAAAAATTCAGATTTTTCAAAATTTTTCAATTTCAAAATTTTAATAATTTTACAAAACTAGAGATAAACATACATATATTGGTGTTAATACATTTTTTTAAAGTTAAGGGTCAAAAAATGTTTTTTTCTAATTTTTAAAAATTTCAATAACTTTGAATAGAATAGCAGTAGAATGTTCGCTAATAAATTTTTTTGGTAAAGTAAACAATTTTTTTTATATATTTATTTAACGTTTTAAATATTTTTTTTAATATTATTTTATTAATTCAAATAAAATGTTATTAAATTTAATTAATTTAGATCGTTTACTATTATTGTTATTAAAAAATTTAAGTTTGATTTGAGAAAAAAATTTAAGATACAAAAAATGTTTTTAAACATAATTACGTATTGCGTTTATTTAGAAGAATCTCGTTAAAAGTAGGCAAACTAAATTCTATTTTTGAAATGTTAAAAAAATTTTAAAGAAAAATTTACAGTAAGTAAAAAAGTAAAAAGTGGAAAAAAAGTAAAAGTAAGTAAAAATTATCTATATTAAAAAAAATTTATAATACTTAAATATAGCTGGTTCCTACTAATCTCATTAATATATATTAGTAAATTAAGAATTTCCAATCGTAGTGAATGAAGAGGTAAATTTGAATTAAAAAATCTTTGAATACATAATGAAAAAATAGAATATATTTTTTTTTCTTTGAAAATAATTACAAATTTATAAGAATATAAAAATATTTTATAAGAATATAGATTTTAGTGATAAATGTATAGAATATATTTTGAAAAATTAAATTTTCAATATCTTGCAGCTCCTTTTTTAGCTAATTTATCGGCTTGAATATTTCCATGAATGCCACTGTGCGCTGAGACTCTGACCTGAAAAAAAAATTGTAACCTTTAGAAAAACATATATTCTCAAAAAATCATAATCAATTGTCATATAAACAATTAATTTTTATTTCCTCTTCTAAACGAAAATTAAATCTAACCACTTAAAAATTTAATTTCAGGGCTAAAATTAATTTAAATAAAAAAAATAAAATTTATTTTACATTCAAATAATAAAATAACAATATAGTAAATATTTTTTGGGCAAAAATTGATAAATTCTTCTAAAATTGAAGCTATATAATTTATTTCTGTAAATTAAAAAATATTATTTTAAAATTAAAATTTTAAAAAATAAAATTTTAAAAATTAAAACTTAAAAAAAAAATGTTTTATTTACCATTTTTATATGAAGATAAGTGTCAATTAAATACATCATTCTTTTAATATCTTGTTTATTAGAAACTGGATTTCCTCTTGCGTTAGTCCAATCATTCCTGCGCCAAATATGAATCCATTTAGTTACACAATTGACAACATATTTAGAATCTGTATTAATTTGTAATAATTGAACTCCTTCATTGATTGCACGTTCACATGCTGCGATAACCGCCTGTATTTCGGCACGTTGATTGGTTGCCCTTCCAGTTAATGGTTCCGAAACATTACTGCAAAAAAAAAATTGCCATTTTTCAAAATTTTACGATTTTTAATTTTTTTTTTTTTTTTTTTTTAATTTTTAAATAGATTAATTTTCTATTTCACCGAAGTTTCCTTTTTTTCGAAATTGCAAATATTAAAACCGTTAAAACAAACAACCGCGAATGAAAATAATTTAAGCGCAAAATTTTAAATTTGACCAATATTTATTTTTTTGAAAATAAGAAGCCTTGAAGAAAAATTCTTCGATATAAAAATTTAATTCAATATAAAATAAATTTTGATAAAATTCTGCTAAATAGAAATTAGATAATATGGAATTCAATGTATGATAAAGAAAATCGAGTCGGTATATCAAAACTACACAAGAATTTTCATAAAAAAGTTATATTGTACAAAACATAAAAATTGTTATTTTTTACATTATATTTTTATAATGTAGTTTTTATTTTTTGTTAATTTTAACTTTCACTTTGTAAATGAAAAAAAATAATTTTTATTTGTTATTTTGTACAATGAACATTTTTTTGTTTTTTCTTAACGTTATTTTTTTACATAATTTTTTTTTTGTTATTTTTTACACACAGAAAAAAATTTTTTCGTTATTTTTTTGGGGAGCGGTTCGAGGTGCCCACAAACGAAATGCATACATTAAAACTGTATATAAGCTGCATTTACAAGTACAAATGAATTTTATCATTTTTTTTTTTTTTTAAAGAAAACAGACTTAAAAATCATACAAAATTTTTTCTTATTCCTTATTACACCCATAACAGAAATTTTTAATTGAATTTTTGATTTTTGTCAATTTGGTTAATAATAACAAGCTGTCGTCCCCATGTACCCTAAAAATTTGAAAACTCGGGGTAAATGGGGACAACTTGTTATTATTAACCAAATCGACAAAAATAAAAAATTCAATAAAATTTTTGTTATGGAAATCATAAGGAATAAGAAAAATAATGTTTGAATGATTTTTAAGTCTGTTTTTTTTTTCAAATGTGAGACAAAATACTGAAATAAAAAAATAATAAAAGATATAAATTAATCAAATTTAATTAAATATTTTCATCCCTTAATACAGTAATATACTTAAGGAAACTTTTTTCTTAAAACTTTCTTAGAAAAACTATGCTGTCCGCATTTAACCCAAATTTTAGAAAAATACGATTAATGATAAAATTCATTTGTACTTGTAAATGCAGCTTATATACAGTTTTAATGTATGCATTTCGTTTGTGAGCATCTCAAACCGTCCCAAAAAAAATTACGAAAAATTTTTTTTCTGTATTTAAAAAATAAAAAAAAAAATTATGTAAAAAAATAACGCAAAAAAATTATGTAAAAAATAATGTTAAGAAAAAACAAAAAAAAATTTCAATGTACAAAATAAAACAAATAAAAAATTCTTTTTTCATTTACAAAAAAAGTTAAAATTAATAAAAAATAAAAACAACATTAAAAAAAAAAAATGTAAAAAATAAAAATTTTTATGTTTTATACAATATAACTTTTTTTATGAAAATTCTTGTGTAGTTTTGATATACCGACTCAGAAAATCTCATAAATTGAGTATACCTAACGAATCAAAAAATCTCCAAAATTTACATTAAATAAATTTTTTTGAAAATTATAGTGGTACTTACAGACGATGTCCATCATTAAAAAATACGCCAATTCCAGCTTTAGCACCTGAACGACCATTATTGAAACAACAACCATCTGTATATACAATGACATAACCATTGTCTTCTTCTAATCCTTCTATTCCGTGTAACATCTTAATTTTTTTTTTTTGAAACAAAATTTCTGTATTAAAAAAAAAAAAAAAATTAACTAAATTAGTCAGTACACGCACTTTTATCTAAAAACTATAATTTTTATTAACATTTTTTTTTTCTTCAAAAACTATGAACTATTTTGTTTCAAGAAAATATATTTTTGAAAATTTTTTATTAAGTTGTACCTATTTATATTATTATATTTTAGATCAGTAGAATTTCAAATTAATGAAATTTTTCAAATCAGAATTCATTCAAAATGCAATTGTTAATAATTCAAAATAAAATAGCTAACATTTTTTTTTTTTTTTTATTTAAAAATATACGAAAATATGAAGTTGGACCAAATTTCCTTTAATTTTAATTTAACTTTACAATTGGAATTTTTAAAAATAATATTTTTCAAAAAATAGAAAGAAAACAATTTACTTTCATTTGGGAAAAGTTTTTTTTACCTGAATTATAGAAGTGAAAATAATACAGTTGAACAAATAATCGAAGTGTGTTTATGTTGACTGAGAGGGAAGCAAAAAAAGAACTGCGCAGTTAGACGAGCTATACTTGGAACTAATTGAACTGATCCTCTGTGTAAACAGTAAAGAAGTGAGAAAACTAATAAAAAACCAGGAAGAACCAGTCAAGTACCAGCAAGTACCAGTGAGATGTGCGCGCGCACTGTCCAATGAACACACCCACTTTGTAAAGAATTTGGAGGGGTTATTTGAAAGTTCTCTTTAAAAAAATAAATTTTAGTTTTTTACTAATCGAAAATCTTGTGTTTTTCTAGTTGAAAAAATAATTAAACATTTTCTTAAATTTTCCTAACATTTTTTAGGGTTCCGTACTCAGTTCGGAACCCTATTAATATCGGTTTTTTTTTGAAATCGTGTACCCCCCCCCCCCCTTAGCGGTCATACGAATTTATCAGGAGGGCTAAAATTTGGTACACATATATGTATTTTCGCGTGTAGATTACAGGAAAAATATAGCGAACCTGATAGGAATTGATTATCATAGAGTTGTCAAGGAAAAACCATGAATTTTTACGAAAAATACCTAAAAATGACTATGTACCCCCCCCCCTTCCACACAGCACATAAAATTTCCTGAATTTGTCCTGAATATTTCATTGAAAGATTCGAAATATTTCAATGAAAGGTCCATGAAATTTTGATGCAACAATGAAATGTCCGACTATAAGAAATATTGCCATTCCGATTGTACGAAAAATTTCAGCGAAATGTTGAGGAAATGTGAGGATGAAAAATTACTGACATATTATTTTTTAATATTTGCATAATAAAAAAATGAAATATGTTACAAATTTTTAAGTGCGAAATATTTTGAAAAGATTATTCATTAAAATCCTAGAAATTCTAGAAAGACGGCATACGTCGATTTAAGACATTTTGAGATATGTTAAATTTAAGATTCACTTGTAAGTTATAATTTAAGGTATTATTATCGAAAATTTTTTTCTTTTACAAAAGGTTTACTATCGGTCAACTAATTTTGTCACATATTTTCACAGTCACTACCGCAATTTATTTCTGAAATTCATTTTTTTTATTTTTCACAAATATATCCGGATGATATTGCCTAAATATATGTATTTTTAACAATTTAGAAATATTTCATTTCAATATTTCTAGAATTTTAATGAATAATCTTTTCAAAATATTTCGCACTTAAAAATTTGTAACATATTTCATTTTTTTATTTTGCAAATATTAAAAAATAATATGTCAGTAATTTTTCATCCTCACATTTCCTCAACATTTCGCTGAAATTTTTCGTACAATCGGAACTGCAATATTTCTTATAGGCGGACATTTCATTGCTTGCATCAAAATTTCATGGACCTTTCATTGAAATATTTCGAATCTTTCAATGAAATATTCAGGACAAATTCAGGAAATTTTATGTACTGTGTGGGGCCTAGCAGCCACATCTTTTGACATAAAGAGCTCAAATTTGGCGCACTTACGTATTTTAATGTGAAAATTACAGGAAAAATATAGCGAACTTGATTCGGATCAATTTACGTAGCGTTGTCCGTTTATTTTAATTTATAATTTAATTAAATCTTTTGAAAATTAGTATTTTGCCAATTTCATTGAAATAATTAATGTCTAGCTTTAAAATATTAGTGCATTAAAATTCTTGTTAAAAGAAAGAAACTTTGTTTATTTAAAGGAAACAACTTTCAATGATATTGTTTCCAAGACGCACCACGTGGAGGTAACTATATAAGCAAAAAGTCTACTGTTTCCACTTCTTATCATGTTTATTGAATTATTTCTATAATCTACACAAAAAAATACGTAAAAATAGTAAATTTGAAACCCTTTAGATAAATTTTTTTTCGTTATTGGGAGAAAATTCATGATAATTAGTCTAGTGGTCTTGAATATACGTATAGAATCAATTTTGATATTTAAATTTTGATTTATCAATTAATTCAGATTTTTTATTTCCATCTTCCTTATTTAATTTTTCTTTTTATTGTGTCCCAAGAAAGGACTGGCGCCCAAAACAATATTTATTCGAGTCTTCTTATGTAACCTTGATTAATTTTTAATCAATCAATTTATTTAAAATATATAATAAAATAATTTTTTTTTTAATTTACCTATAATTTGGTATTATTTAAGGTTTTTTGCTAAAATTTTAATATTTTTTTTAAAAATTACAACATTGATTTACTAATTTATATTAATGAGGTTCGTAAAAGTGTAAAAGTATTCTTTACGAATTCATTTAACTGCCCCACAGCACCGGATATTTAAGGATATCCCTAGGATATCGCTAGGATATCCTGGGGATATCCATTGCCTTGCGGCGGTTTGGATATCCCAGGGATGTCCCAGGATATCCTCAGGATGTCCGAGGGATATCCAAACCGCCACAAGCAAATGGATATCCCCAGGATGTCCCAGGGATATCCTTAAATATCCGGTGCTGTGGGGATATTATATGAAGGAACAGCGAAATGTTTCACTAGAATAATAAAAGATTTAACTGGAACAATTAAAACTTTTGCTATTCTAGTGAAACCTTTCGCTACTTCCGGTACTTCTCTACAAATTTGAATTATAGTAAAAATGTTTACTAATTTGTAATAGTGACTCACATTTTGCTTCTGAATTAGTAAAATTTTACCAATTATTAGTAATTTTTATTAACTATTAGTAAAATTTAACTAATTCTAAAGCAAAAAGTGTGTCACTAATTTAAATTAGTAAACATTTTTATTCAGATTTAAAGATAGTATATCTTCTTTTCCGTGTATAAAAATTAAAAAAAAAAAGTTAGGATAATTTAAAAAATATTTCTTAATGTTTTAATATTATGTTAAACGACCTTGAATTTTTTCATTGCACATTCATGTATAAAAATTCGTGAATGTGCAACATGACCTTATAAGTAGAAAAAAATATTTTATTATAAAGTTAATTCTCACTAAACTTTCTGACTAAATTAGAATTGTATTCAGTCTGTTATAATGTGGCCATTTTATACTTATTTCCCCAATAGATTTTCGACCAGTAAAAAACTGAAATTTATATTTGTAAAGAGATAACTTCCAAATAACCCCTCCAAATACTTCACAAAGTGGGCGTGTTTATTGGACAGTGCGCGCGCACATCTCACTGGTACTTGCTGGTACTTGACTGGTTCTTCCTGACTCTTTATTAGTTCTCAGTTCTTTACTGTTTACATAGAGGATCACTTCAATTAGTTTCAAGTAGCTGGTCTAACTGCGCAGTTCTTTTTTTTTGTTTCCCCCTCAGTCAAAATAAACACACTTCGAGTATTTGTTCAACTGTATTATTTTCTCTTCTATAATTCAGGTAAAAAACTTTCCCAAATGAAAGTAAATTGTTTTCTTCCTATTTTTTGAAAATATTATTTAAAAAAAAGAACTTAAAACTATTATAAATAAATATTTATTTTTATTAAATAATTTTTATTTGTGTTAATTAAATCGTATTTGTTTTAAATATATAGAAATTATTCAAATACAATTTATTTAATTTAAATAGAAAATTATTTGGTACAAGTAAATATTTGATAATAGACAAAAGTAACCGATTATTTGAATAAATTTCAGTGTATTGAAAAATTATATTTTAATAGAAAATTTTTTAATAATAAAATATTTCAACTCATTCAAATTTTTAGTTACCCCTATATAACACGGAATATTCCATTCAAATTCTAAGAATATTCCATCCATATTCCAGGAATATTAAATTGTCCGACCTTCGGAATATTCCATTGGAATATTGGTGGAATGTTTCATTGAAATAATGAAGGAATATTTTGTTGGAATATGAGAGGAATATTCCATCAGAATATTGAGGGAATATTTAATTGAAATATTGTACGAATATTTTTTTCTAAATACGCATTTGAAATTTATCAAATGTTAATCAATTATTTGTAAATTATAATTTAAAAACCATTTTTGTATTATTTAAAAATTTATTTTTCAGAAATAAATATTTATATAAATACATAATTGAACGTATTTTATTTCAATAAAGACAAAATTAAAAAATTTAATAAGTAAAAGGTAGAAACATATTATAAAATCAGTAATAATATTTTGATTTTTCATTATTAAAAAATATTAGTACAATATTTCCATTAAATATTCCTTCAATATTTTGGAATATTTCTCCAAAATTCTAACGAAATGTTCCGCAAATATTCGAATGGAACATTCCATCAATATTCCGATGGAACATTCCATCAATATTCCGATGGAATATTTCCTCAATATTCGAGTGGAATATTCCGAAGGTCGGACATTTTAATATTCCTGGAATATAGATCAAATATTCCAATGGAATATTCCCAGAATGTGAATGAAATATTTCGTGTTATTGGGGTAAAAATTTGTATTTAACTAAATTCTGATTTAAATTTCTCAATTTAAAAAAAAAATTCCTTTTTATATTTTTAAAACACTAAATTCTAATTTGAAAAATTTTAAATTCTACTCGTCTAAATAAAAAATTCGTGATCTTGAAATTCTTTCTACTATTTTATCGAATAATTTAAAAAAAATTGTTCTTTTTTTTTGTACAGAAATTTTGTTCCAAACAATAAATTAAGATGTATTGCGAATTAGAAGAAGACAATGGTTATATCGTTGTATATACAGATGGTTGTTGTTTCAATAATGGTCGTTTCGGTGCTAAAGCTGGAATTGGCGTATTTTTTGCCGACGGAAGTGATCTGTGAGTACCATTATTTTTAAAAAATTTTTTAATAAAAATTTCGTACATTTTTTGTTTTGTTAGGTATTCAAATTTATTTTAAATTTTATACAGGCTGATTTTTATATTCCCGACCCCCTAAAAATTTTTTTTTTAATTTTACATTTTTTGTTTAAAAAACGAAAAAAAATTAGATTAAAAAAAAAAATTTTTAGGGGGTCCTGAACATAAAAATAACTCTGTATAAATTTATTGTATACTAGCAATATTAAACGCGCGCAAGCGCGCCAAATTGAGTATTTAATTGTTTGTTATAAAGAAATTAAAGATTAATATTATCAATAATAATTTAAATTTATTAGAATATTATTTCATATTAAATGATAATACTGAAAATTATTATTATATGTTATTAAATTATATATAAAATTGAATTATTTTCAAAATTTTCAATTTAAAATTCAATTATTTACCAAGTTTTCAATTTAAAATTAAATAAAATTCAAATATTACCCGAAATTTTAATTCAACATCAACTTAAATTAAATTATTATCCAAAATTTCAATTAAAATTCAATTATTTTCCAAAATTTCGAGTCAAAATTAATTATTATCAAAATTTTCAATCAACAATCAACTAAAATTAATTATTATCAAAATTTTCAATCAACTAAAATTAATTATTATCAAAATTTTCAATCAACTAAGATTAAATTATTTTCGAAATTTTCAATTTAAAATTCAATTATTTACCAAGTTTTCAATTTAAAAATGAAATAAAATTCAATTATTTTTTAAAATTTTTATTCACAATTAATTATCGAAATTTTCAATTAAAAATGAACTTAAATTAAATTATTATCGAAAATTTCAATTAAAATTCAATTATTACCCGAAATTTTAATCCAAAATGAACTTAAATTAAATTATTATCCAAAATTTCAATTAAAATTTTATTATTTTCCAAAATTTCGAGTCAAAATTAATTATTATCAAAATTCTCAATCAGCAATCAACTAAAATTAATTATTTTCAAATTTTCAATCAACAATCAACTAAAATTAAATTATTTTCAAATTTTCAATTTAAAATTCAATTATTTACCAAGTTTTCAATTTAAAATAAAATAAAATTCAATTATTTTTTAAAATTTCCATTCAAAATTAAGTATCGAAATTTTCAATTAAAAATGAACTTAAATTAAATTATTATCCAAAATTTCAATTAAAATTTTATTATTTTCCAAAATTTCGAGTCAAAATTAATTATTATCAAAATTTTCAATCAGCAATCAACTAAAATTAATTATGATCAAAATTTTCAATCAACTAAGATTAAATTATTTTCAAATTTTCAATTTAAAATTCAATTATTTACCAAGTTTTCAATTTAAAATAAAATAAAATTCAATTATTTTTTAAAATTTCGATTCAAAATTAATTATCGAAACAATGCCAAAAAAACATTGAAAAATTTTAACCAACACAAAATAATGTCAAACAATACATTTAAAAAAACAAAAGACCTATAACAAATACTAACTTCAGGTGTGGACAGAATGAACGAAAGATATTCACGATTATTATATGTAATTTAATTGAATATTTAATTTTGAAATTTTGAAAATTAATTTCTTTCGAAAAAATATGAGACGAAATTTATATACTGAATTTATGAGAATTTCTGTGTCTGTACAGATTTGAATACCATATATTATTGATTTTCTAATTAGCAAAATTTTATAAAATATATTTTATATCGAAAAAATTAGAGCGCATTATTATCTCATAAAAATCATTAATTAGAATTTTTATTTTTACGAATTTTATTAGAAATAATTTTTTAGGCAAATTTTCATTATTCGAATTAGCATATATATTCAACAGAATTTCTTTTTATACGAATTTTTACTTAAAAAAAATTTTAGCCACCTGATTTTTGTTTAGCAGAATTTTTATTTTAGTTTTTTTTTTCTTTACATGAATTTTTTATATAAAAATAAGAATTTTAATTTAATCGATTTTTAATTTAACAGAATTCTCATTTCAATCGAATTTTATGTGTTAGAAATTTTAAAATTGACAGAAATTCCAATTTATCGAATTTTAATTTGTCCGAAATTAAAAATGACCGAATAAAAAATCAACAGAAAAATTGCGGGGCAATTTTTTCAACATTGATCAAATCTTGATAATTTCTAATTGATAAATTTTTCAAAATTTCGCCGAAATCTTTCTGTCGATTTTTTGTTCGGTCATTTGAAATTTCGGACAAATGAAAATTCGGCGTCTTAAAAATAATTCGTACAAATGAAAATTTGGTGAATTTGAATTTCTGTCCATTTAAAAATACGATTAAATGGAAAATTTTCAATAGCCTTTTCTTGAAAACAAGATGGTAAAATGCTTTCTCCTTTATGGATAATTGATTATTGGCAAGATATACACCAGCTAAAACTTTTTTTGAGTTAAAATAATAAAAAAAATTTCATGTCAATAAATTAAATATGAGCACTTTTTTCACAAAAACTGTAACAGTACTTTCTCAGAAATTACAATCAAAAATGCAATTTCCATTTGGAAAATTAATAAACGCTAAAAAATACACGACCTAAGATTTACCAATCACGAAAATAACAAAAAAAAAGTATTTTAACATAACATATTTTACTCATTATGACAGCCGTTTGGCAGGTTATATATGTCACCAGACGTTTCGCAGTTTTGCCGAAAGGAGGAGATTGGCGCTGTTGCTAACCACCTGAAATACATAATCTACCAAAGGGCTGTCACAATCAGTAAAGCAGTATCAATATGTTAAATATTTAATAAAATTTTTTTTTGTTATTTTCGTGATTGGTAAATCTTAGGTCGTGTATTTTTTAGCGTTTATTAATTTTCCAAATGGAAATTGCATTTTTGATTGTAATTTCTGAGAAAGTACTGTTACAGTTTTTGTGAAAAAAGTGCTCATATTTAATTTATTGACATGAAATTTTTTTATTATTTTAACTCAAAAAAAGTTTTAGCTGGTGTATATCTTGCCAATAATCAATTATCCATAAAGGAAAAAGCATTTTACCTTCTTGTTTTTAAGAAAAGGCTGTTGAAAATTTTCCAAAATTTTAGTTTCAATGTAGATGGCGCTGCCTCACTTGGACCTGGCCTTAAATAAAAAATTGTTTTAATATTTTTGCAATTTCAAAGAAATGAAACTTCGGTCAAATGAAAATGATAACTTATTTAAAAAAATTAGAAAAAAAAATAAAAAAAAATTGTATTACTTTTTGAAATGGCAATTTTGTTACAATAATAAATAATTTATTTTGTAGTAATGTTTCGGAACCATTAACTGGAAAAGCAACCAATCAGCGTGCCGAATTACAAGCGGTTATTGCGGCATGTAGAAGTGCAATTGAAGAAGGAATTGATAACTTACAAATAAATACAGATTCCCATTATGTGGTGAATTGTGTAACAAACTGGGTTCATCTTTGGCGCAGAAAGAACTGGACTAATGCAAAAGGAAATCCAGTTTGTAATAAAGAAGATATTAAGGAAATGATGTACTTAATCGATAATTATTTTGATGATGTCGAAATGGTAAAAAAAACATTTATGTCCTTTTAAAAATTAGTTTTCTTTTGTATTTTTAATTTTAAAATAATATTTCAATTAACAAAAATATATTATAGCAATTAATCATTTTTTTTTTACATAAATATTTATTATTATTATCTTTTTTTTTAATTTTTATTATTTAAATATAAAATAAATTTTCTTTATTTCATCGCTTTTGAATTTAACAATGGTAATTTCAATTTTTTTTTTTTGCAAAAAATAGTTTATGTTTAATGGAATATTTATTGTTATTATTTTTTTTTCAGATTTATGTTCCTGCGCACAGTGGTAATTATGGCAATGAACAAGCCGATAAACTGGCTAAAAGAGGAGCTGCAAGATATTAAAATTTCTAATTTTTAAGATATATTCTATATTTATCTTTAAAAACTTATCTATATTCTTATAAATCTGTAATTATTTTCTTAAAAGAGAAATATATTATATTTTTTTATTATGTATTTAAAGTTTTTTTTTTATTTCAAATTTACCTGTTCGTTCAATATACGATTGGAAATTATTGATTTACTAATTTATATTAATGAGGTTCGTAGAAGTATTCTTTACGAATTTAATTATTTCAAACTATTTTTTTCGAATAAAAATTTTGTGAAATTCAATAATTATTGTCAGAATTAAAAAAAAAATCGACAAATAAAATTAATACTAAAAATTCCAATTCAAAATCACTTAAAATTCAACTATTATCAAAAATTTCAATTTAAAACCTTCTAAAATTTAATTATTTCTATAATTTTTCATCTAAAACTTTCTAAAAAATAATTTCAACTATAACTCTTCTGAAATTAAATTACTTTTAATGATATTTATATTATTCTTTAAAATTTCAATTCAGTAAAATTTAATTATTGCGTCTGTAATTATTTAAATTTTTTTTTTTTTAATTTAATTATTTTTAATAATTTTAATATTTCTTTAAAAAATTCAAAAAAATTTCAAATAAAAACTCTAAAATTGAATTGTCAGAAATTAAAATCAAACTACAGCAGTTTAAATTTGCAGAAATATTTCAAATTTAAAAGATTAAATTTTTTGAAATATATTAATCTTTGAATTTAATTAATTAAAATATTATTATTTAATATTAAAAAAGAACTAGTTGAAGTTAGTAAAATTTTTGTTTCATTTTATTAATAAAAACATTGAAGAATAAAGAAAACGCATTAAAAAAATCTTTGAATGTAATTAATTAAAACTTTATTTATTATTAAAAAGAAAATTAGTATAATTTGGTAAGATTTCTTTTTCTTCATTTTATTAATGAAATCATAGAAAATTAAATAAAAAGTAAAAAAAAAAAAAATGTCAACATTACGCGGTATTCCCAAGCGGTCACCCATCCAAGTACTAACCGCGCCCAACGTTGCTTAACTTAAGTGATCGGACGAGAACTTGTTTTTTCAACGTGGAATGAACGTTGACATGTACATTTTTTTTCATTTCATCTTATCAATATTGTATGTAAAAGTGAATTAAAATAGTATTAATAAAAAAAAATTTTCACGTTTTTTTTATTAACATTTTGTAAATAAATAATTTAAAAAATTATTAAAAATATAAATTTTATAAAACAAACATTATTTTTTAATACTACTTTAAAGACAAAATATCCTTTTTGTTTTTAAATTATAGTCGATAGTTATATTAATTTTTTTTATTTATGATTACTGAAAATTAAAAATTTTAATAATTCAAAAAAAAAAATTGTTTAACATTTTCGCAGACTCTATTATTTTATATACGTTGCGATTGACAATGTTGACAAATAAATTTATTATTTATTTTAATTGTCAAATTAGTCTATAGAGTAAACAAGACCACCGCAGACTATAATTATACTCGGCGAGTGTCAAATTTGAGAATTATAAAAACTCAAGACAAAAGGGAAATAATTCAAAAATAATTAATTAGGGTCATAAATTTTTATAATTAATTTTTTTTTATTAATTGAAAAATAATATTATTATAGTGTTTTTACAATTATTCTAATTTTATTTGTTTGTAAAATATTTCATTTTTTACTAATTTTTATTATTTAATTAATTAATTAATATCTCAAAAAGATGAGGTATTCGCTAAATTTGGCACATGTCTTTGGCTTATATTAAGGAAAGTTCATGAATTTTTTCAGTTTAAAAGGAGCCCGATAACAAGCTTAAAAATTAAAAATAAATTTTATTTTTCAAATAAATAAATAAAAAAATTTTAATTTTTCAAAATTATTTTTTTTTTAAACTTCAATATTTTTTGAGTAAAAAACTTAATCTCACATGGAATTGCTGAAATAATAAAAATGCAAGGAATTTTTTTTTATTTTTCTTTATTTATATTTTTGCAAACTGGGCGAAACCAATTTGCAATCTTTGGTGTTTTTTTTAAATTCCCACACACTTGGTGATACACACAGTTTACATTTTTTGTGCAGCTTTTGACTGCTTGCATTATATCTATGTTACAATTTTTGCACTTCCATAAATTTTCTTTTCTCTTAACATTATTAATAATTTTTCTACTGACAGCCAAGCATCTTTGGTAAAATATTCTTGTATTAATTTAATATTAAAATCTTCGTCAATTATAGCGCAACTTACATTTTCAGGTATTACCTCTATAAATTCTTCTTCAATTTTATATCCCAAAAGGGATTTTTCTATCATATTTTCAGGGACAAAATATTTTAACATAAATGTTATTTTTTCTTCCAACAATTTTTTTTTAAACGGAAGAATATCATTTTTTTGGGGGAATTTTATTTTTTTTGGGAAGACCTATGGGTGTAGTTGTTGCAGAATGCCTCGGTCTTCCTCTCATTTTTTGTACTTGTGGCATCTTAATACTCCTTAATGCCTCTTCATCAATCATTTTTTCATTACTATTTTTTTCACTGTGTAAAACGTTATAATTTTTATCAATGGAGGACAAATTTATTACGTCGCATGCAATTTCGTAACCAAAATCATCCTTTGTTAGGAAAGCTGCTTCGTTCTCTAAAAATGCAGCTTCTTCTAAAGTCAAAAATACTTCCTTCTCCGGGAGCAAAGCTTCATCTTCCTGCTGCATCGCATAATTCTCCAGGAGTAATGCTTCTTTTTCTTGATAAATTTTATCGTCAGCAGGAAGTGAAGGTTCATTTTCCTGTTCAATTTCATTGTTCTCCGGTATTTAAGCTTCATTTTCTTAATCAATTTTATCGTCCTCTGGAAGTGAAGCTTCATTTTCTTGTCCGATTTCATCGTTCTCCGGTATTGAAGCTTCATTTTCTTGATCAATTTCATTGTCTTCTGGGAGTATAATATTGTTAACCAACTCAACAGGTTCATTCATTAGAATGCGCCTTTTAACCTATTAAAAAGTATTTACATTGTAACATATAATTTAATAACACAAGACATATTAATAATTCCATGTTAATTATAATAACGCTTACCTCTTCAAAGAAGTTAATAAATTGATAAAATTTATTAGTTGATAGTTCAGATATTAAAGAATTAATTTCCATTAACTCCGTTTTTCCTATCTTCAGCTTTTGGCCTTGGGACAAAGGTTTCCTTTTTTCCTTTTTTTTTTCTTTATCAGAAATATTGACATTTGGATTGATTTGATTTGCATTTTCTTCGCAATTTGCAGAAACTCTTTGATTTTTCAAGTAATACTCTTGCGTCCATCTTACAAGACATAATTCATTGTCCGCTAATGGAATGTCTAAATGCTCCCTGGCCACAAAAATGTGTCTAGAAATTAAATTGTTTTTTGTAATTAGCCAATAATAAAGTAATTTATTTTTGATAAAACTTATTGTATGGTGATATACAATATAATTTTGTTCTATTTTATATTTTATGCAATTACCAAATTAAAAAAATGAATATAATATACCTGCAAGGCAGACCCATTGATAAATGGTCATTGCAGTCACATGATCAATATTAAATTTTACCAAAGAATTCCAAAATTAATAGAATAAAAATGACCGTTGGTAACGAATTTCCAATAGAGATTTCCAAACAATTTCTATTGTTTTTATTAAATAAATTTCCTTATTTCCTTCTTTATTAATTATATTAAATTTCCTTTTTAAACGATTTATTATTTATTTTCTCCAATTATTATATTCAGATTCCAAATAGCAAATTAATCAGAAAATAAGAAAAAGGCGTCTTCTTTATACGAGATTACATTAAAGAATGAATGAAAAAATGTTTTTCTTTTCTCCTAGGTTGTCAACCAAAAAAAATGAATATCTAAAAAGAATAAAAAGATTGGAATAAAAAAGATAAGTTCGACCGTCGGTAAAAAGGTTTTCATCTATATCTCGACGCATACATACATTTGATATATGTATATGGGCTTTGACTATCCCGCAGCTAGGTTGATAATTATAAGAAAATGGCATTATTCTTTTTGTCTCTAAAGCATCTATAAATAATAATACGCCTTCATTTATTAAATTTTCTTCAAAAAATCGTATTTAAAATTTTATTTTATTCCATTCATTGTTCAATTGTTTTACAGAAATTTTTGCGAAATATATAATAGAAGATGATGAAACGTTAAAATTTTGTTTATTTCTTTCAGGATATATAATAATAAACTTTTCATTCATTGAAAATGATAATTGACAATTATATTTCATGAAAGAATATTTAACATTCATTTCTTTCAATAAATTATTTATATATTCTTCTTCATAAATAAAATTTAATTTTAAAACAATAATGTATGTAGAGTTTTATTTTTTTTTGTAAAACTGTAATAAATATACTGATAAAATACTATATAAAATAGTTTGTGATAAAATTTCTTAAAAAGAAAAATACGTTATCTTTTTGTCTTCGGTAATTAAAGATATTATTGTTTCATTTAACGTTACTTCTGGTATATTAAAGTCATAATTAAATATAAACATATTTTTTTTATCTCCACACATTTTAATTTAATACTAGCGTCATATCCGCTCTCTCGCTAACGCTCGCTCGGTTGAAATTGTACTCATTATTGTTTATATTATTTCAGTTCATCCATATGTATTTACTCTATTTTTTAAATTAATATTATAATAAATTTATTATTATCTTCAAGTTTAATATTTTTAAGAAATCTTTAATACTTTCCATAAATAAATAATTTATTTTAATGAATATAATGATTTGTGTTTTGTTCTACATTAGCTTTTTTATGACTTTAAAACGGTTAAAATATAACAAATTTTAAAAATGTTATTTCCTAAAACTTATTCAGGATTTTTAGAAACAACTATCATATTCGTAATCCTGAAAACCCTCAAGTAACAACTTTCAAGCAATTCCAATCAGAACTAATTTTATATAGGTAATTAATTATTTATCAATATGGGCTAACTTTCCATAGTTAAATTTACTTTATTTTATTGTTTTAAATATAATATAATTATAATTATTATATTATTATAATATAATTTTATTGTTTGTAAATAAAGTACGTATAATGACTATATTACAAAAGTTTATAATAAAACACTATTATTCAATAACTTATGTTACTAACATAAAAAAATGATTGAATTTTTCTTTATACTACGTCATAAAAAACATGTTTACATTATAGTAATGCAGAACATTATAATAATAAACATATTTTTAAAATAACTTTTAATACTTTTCATAAATAAATAATTTATACAAACAAATATTTTTGGTTGTTTCAAAGAATTTATTTTTTTTAGTTTTCACTAAACTGTCATAGGAAATTATGCTACCTCTGTTTTTTCGATGATTCTAATACGGTTTAAATATCTATAAATTTTAAAACTGTTATTTCCTGAAAGTAAAAAAAATCAGATTCTTGGCCCAGTGACGTAACGAAGACGACAAAACAAACACTTTTAATATAATAGAAGAAATAATATCTGTACAAAAATTGTTGAAAAGAATATGAAAAACGTAAATTCTTGGGCCAGTGACGTCACGAAGACAACAAAACAAACATTTTAATATAATAGAAGATATTTGAAAATTTTTGACACCTGTCCCTTTGAAGGTGGGACAGTTCAAAGCGAGTATAATTTTAGTCAGCGAAAGTTTAAGACCAAATTGTTATTACAACACTAAATGTTACTTTTATTAGAATAGAGTAAAAGAAAATGAGACGTGATTTAGAAAAATAAAAAAAAACTGGGACAGGATGCATAATTCAGGAAGGTACACAAAAATAAAATGATCTAATTAAAAAAGAGAATAAATACATATATTCTGAAACCCCCTTATTTCCCGTTTACATTTTTGTTAGTCATATTAACGGCGTTTATTATGCTGGGACACATACCCATTGAGTCGCTTAACTTGATGGTGGTGATAGCGTCTGGTATGATTTGCGAGTACCGGCCGGGGTACTGGACGGATGTACGGCAACTCGAGTAGAGAGGGAATCGTACGTTCCCAGTTTGCCAGGTCCCCAACTGGGACAGATTCTTTGGCCGAAATGGTACACTGGGACAGCTGGGCCGGCTCCGGTGAAGGTGACCGGGGAATAGGAGATCGGGGAAAGATCTCGAGAACGTCGTCGTCTATGACGATAGGTGTCCCTACTCGGGGAGGTGGAACATGTGGACCAGCTACTGGTGAGTGTGGCAGTACAAGTGGGACAGCCAAAGTCTCGACCCTGATGATCCTTGGGACGCCTGTAGTGGGAGGTGTCCCGGTACTGGTCGGGTTTTGGGACACTTCGGTAACCCCAGGGGTTGGTAGTGAGCTTTTCCCAACTGCTGCCTTCTGTAGGAGCTGGTCGAAACGATGGTGAAATTCCTCTTCGGTGAGCGTGGGTGCGATCAACAGACCTCGCGGGGTGGGGTGATAAATCACCTGAGGACCGGAAGGTGTTGTCCCTTGCGGCAGATACTGAGGTGCAAGGATATGTCCAGGCAAAATGTCAGCCTGCGCCCTTTTCTTGGCCTGAAAAACTCGTCGGCGTTCCTCGCTGCGCCTTTTCCTCTGCTGGATGTCGTAAGCGGACCTGGGTCTAGTCATCTGTTGGAAAATTCCATGGTTAAATTCCTTCCATTAATAAATTAAGGAGGGACGTGGTTAAAAGTTACCTTGGGACAGTTCGTTATTCCATTAAATTTAGTGGGACACCGGGGTCTCGGTTGGAATGATAAAATACACCGTGTTTCACGGTTGGATCATGGAAACCGCGTGATCGCAGTGGAAAACAAAAGTGGGACACTATGCGTCACAAGTAAATAATGTAGGACACCGTGGGTCACGGTTAGGGCGATAAGGAACACCGTGGTTCACGGTTGAAATATAGATACCGCGTGAGCGCAGTGGAAAACAAAAGTGGGACACTATGTGTCACGGTAAAATAATGTGGGACACCGTGGATCACGGTTAGGGCGATAAGGGACACCGTGGTTCACGGTTGAAATCTAGACAACCGCGTGAGCGCAGTAAAAACAGAAGTGGGACACTATGTGTCATGGTTGAAATAATAGGGGACACCGTGGGTCACGGTAAATAATAATGAAAGAAGGGAAAAACAAATTAATAAAAAAAAGAAGGAAGTGTTGCAGCGGTGATTATTTTGAATAAATCAACGCGTTATTTTGGAACGTTATATGAGTAACGTACAGGGTGGTTAGCACTTGGTAGGAACAGGGTAAAGGACGTTATCTTTTTGTCTTCGGTAATTAAAGATATTATTGTTTCATTTAACGTTACTTCTGGTATATTAAAGTCATAATTAAATATAAACATATTTTTTTTACCTCCACACATTTTAATTTAATACTAGCGTCATATCCGCTCTCTCGCTAACGCTCGCTCGGTTGAAATTGTACTCATTATTGTTTATATTATTTCAGTTCATCCATATGTATTTACTCTATTTTTTAAATTAATATTATAATAAATTTATTATTATCTTTAAGTTTAATCTTTTTAAGAAATCTTTAATACTTTTCATAAATAAATAATTTATTTTAATGAATATAATGATTTGTGTTTTGTTCTACATTAGTTTTTTTATGACTTTAAAACGGTTGAAATATAACAAATTTTAAAAATGTTATTTCCTAAAACTTATTCAGGATTTTTAGAAACAACTATCATATTCGTAATCCTGAAAACCCTCAAGTAACAACTTTCAAGCAATTCCAATCAGAACTAATTTTATATAGGTAATTAATTATTTATCAATATGGGCTAACTTTCCATAGTTAAATTTACTTTATTTTATTGTTTTAAATATAATATAATTATAATTATTATATTATTATAATATAATTTTATTGTTTGTAAATAAAGTACGTATAATGACTATATTACAAAAGTTTATAATAATACACTATTATTCAATAAATTATGTTACTAACATAAAAAAAATGATTGAATTTTTCTTTATACTACGTCATAAAAAACATGTTTATATTATAATAATGCAGAACATTATAATAATAAACATATTTTTAAAATAACTTTTAATACTTTTCATAAATAAATAATTTATACAAACAAATATTTTTGGTTGTTTCAAAGAATTTATTATTTTTAGTTTTCACTAAACTGTCATAGGAAATTATGCTACCTCTGTTTTTTCGATGATTCTAATATGGTTTAAATATCTATAAATTTTAAAACTGTTATTTCCTGAAAGTAAAAAAAAAATCAGATTCTTGGCCCAGTGACGTAACGAAGACGACAAAACAAACATTTTAATATAATAGAAGATTTTAATATAATAGAAGATATTTGAAAAATTTTGAAATAACGATAACTTAAAAAAAAAACAATATTTTTTGATGGAATTTGAAATTTGGATGCATTTTACATGTGAATTACTAAAAAATAACAAAAAGTTGCAATATTTGCAAAAAAAAAAAAAAAAATTTTGCAAAAAGTTGCAAAAAAAAAACAGATTTTTTTCCAATTCATATGTTTAATTTATGTTTAAATTTCAATTTTGAATAATATCTGTACAAAAATTGTTGAAAAAGAATATGAAAAACAAAAATTCTTGGGCCAGTGACGTCACGAAGACGACAAAAACAAACATTTTAATATAATAGAAGATTAGTGATTAATAATTATTAATAAAATAAGAAATAGAATAAAAAACAAATAATAAAATAAATGAAACTAAAAAATATTATTAAAAAAGAAAAAAATTAATTTAGCCTTGAATTATTTATTACTAATATTATTTTTTTATTATAATTTTTTTATTTTGTTAATCATTAATTAATCATTACAAAATAATATTTTACAAAATAATATTACAAAATAATATTTTGTAATGATTAATTAATGATTAACAAAATAAAAAAAATTAATAAAAAAATTATAAAAAAAAAATAATATTAGTAATAAATAATTCAAGGCTAAATTAATTTTTTTCTTTTTTAATAATATTTTTTATTTTTATTTATTTTATTATTTGTTTTTTATTCTATTTCTTATTTTATTAATTATTATTAATCACTAATTAATCATTAAAAAGTATGAATTAATATTCTGATCGACTTAAACTTCTTTTTTAATTTACGAAAACTTGAATTCGAATTTAATGCGAGATACTATATGCGAGATTATACGGAAACTGAGTTAGCCTTTTATTATTTTGACAATTGAACTAGCTTCATATTGAACTGAGCTCGAGTTGGCATTTTATTATTCTGACAAATGAACGGGCATCTTATCAACGCAACGGGAGGCGTCGAATTATCTCGAAAACAAAAAATAATGCCATCTCAAAAATTTAACCATCGATTTATTATGACTTAAACAATATTCATGATTTTTTTCGCGTTTCTAAATGAGGGAGAACATGGTTAAAAGTTATAAACAAATTTTATTTTTTAAACAAATTGTTTAAAAATTGTTAGAGAGAGATGAGCTCTGTATATTTTTCCTCACCTCGATCTCAGATCGGGCTCGGGAAAAATATATGTACAGTGTGTTCCAAAAGTATGGAAACTTGCAAATATCTCGAAAAGTACGAATTTTCGTAAAAAATGTTCAAGACAAAAGTTGTTCCAAACAAAAAGGTGTACATTTTCGAAACCAAAAAATTGGGCCCAGAGCCCAATGTTGGGCCCTACAATGAAATAAGGGGTTTTCTTAAATGAGATCACTAATTTTCAGTATCAAATTCGTAATCCCCATGAAATTCTGCGTTCAGACATGTGGTATAAGTGCCCAAAATATTGGGTCCAAAATTTTTCTACAGATAAATAAATTTTAAAAAATCGCATCTTGGAGGGTTTTTGGGGTCACAGGATTAGAAATTAGAAGCTAATTTTCAAATTGGGCATACAGCCCAATGTAAGATTCAGCGGCCAAATGTAAGGGCCCAATATTTTTGGAATTTGTACCACAACTCTAACCCCAGAATTTCATAACAATTACGAAATGGAAGGAAACTAATTTTTTTACTGTAGGCCTCACATTGGGCTGCGGAATCTTACATTGGGCTCTGTGCCCAATTTGAAAAGTAGCTTTGAATTTATAATCCTGTGACCCCAAAAACCCCAAAAGATGCGATATTCTAATTTTTTTTATTTGTCAAAAAATGTTGAGCCCAATTCCAGACATTGGGCCCAATATTTTTGTCATTTTTACTACAAGTCTAAACACAGAAATTCATGGGGATTACGAATTGGATACTGAAAATTAATGGGTTTTATTTAAAACAACTAATTTTTTTTTACTGTGAGCCTCACATTGGGCCGCTGAATCTTACATTGGGCTGTATGCCCAATTTGAAAATTAGCTTCTAATTTCTAATCCTGTGACCCCAAAAACCCTCCAAGATGCGATTTTTTAAAATTTATTTATCTGTAGAAAAATTTTGGACCCAATATTTTGGGCACTTATACCACATGTCTGAACGCAGAATTTCATGGGGATTACGAATTTGATACTGAAAATTAGTGATCTCATTTAAGAAAACCTCTTATTTCATTGTAGGGCCCAACATTGGGCTCTGGGCCCAATTTTTTGGTTTCGAAAATGTACACCTTTTTGTTTGGAACAACTTTTGTCTTGAACATTTTTTACGAAAATTCGTACTTTTCGAGATATTTGCAAGTTTCCATACTTTTGGAACACACTGTACATATATTTTTCCCGAGCCCGATCTGAGATCGAGGTGAGGAAAAATATACAGAGCTCATCTCTCTCTAACGAGAAGAGAGATATCAATAGGCAACCGATTTGAATGTTCGCGCATACTGTTGCGTAGATATATATATTTGAAATAAATCGTTTTTAATGTTAAAATTCTGAAAATTTATATACAGATCGTTTAAAACCTCAGCTTTCGTTTACAATTATTTATTTGAAAAAAAAATCGGACCAATTTTAGTGAAAAGAGCAAATTTATGTTTAATTGTAGAAAATAAAGGTCAAAATTCAAAAAATTTTAAAATCAAAATTCACCATTGGAAAGAGCATGAAAAAACCTTCAAAAAACATACCTGACAAAATTTTTTTATTGCATTTATAGACAGCAGAAATTTTATTTAAGATAACATATATTCATAATAACAAATTAAATAAATCAATGAAAATATATTTTTTTAATTATTGTTATTTTTATTTACCATATGCTTTTAGAAAATCTTACGTACTTATTTTTGTAACATGTTTTTTCAATTTTAACCTGAAAAAGGGTTATTTTGCATTTTCATCCCAAAAAAAGGGTTATTTTCTAAATTTATGCAATTTTTTACGAATTTTTGGATAAATACCTTTAAAATTACTCTATTTTTAAAAAGTTACATATAAACAATTTTTTTCAATTTTTTATGGTTTTTATTATTATTTATTGTTGTTTTTTAAATTTTTAGTTAGGAACCTATAATATTGTGCCTAATTTTAAGTGTCATTGAAATCAATTGTTTTTAACTTAATAATTTTAACATTTCTTATTTTATGTCACGTCACCGTAACTTTTACATTCAAAATTATAAGAATTCTTTTTTTTTTAAATCAATACTAAGTTGAATGTCTCTGCGACTAACACCCGTGTTTTTGTTACGCATCTAAAATACCTTTCACTTAAATGTAAACTCCCGCCCCTTTGTCGCGTGGCCAAAAATCTTTTCTTTTAAATTATTAAGTTAAAAACAATTGATTTCAATGACACTTAAAATTAGGCACAATATTATAGGTTCCTAACTAAAAATTTAAAAAACAACAATAAATAATAATAAAAACCATAAAAAATTGAAAAAAATTGTTTATATGTAACTTTTTAAAAATAGAGTAATTTTAAAGGTATATATCCAAAAATTCGTAAAAAATTGCATAAATTTAGAAAATAACCCTTTTTTTGGGATGAAAATGCAAAATAACCCTTTTTCGGATTAAAATTGAAAAAACATGTTACAAAAAAAAAGTATGTAAGAATTTCTAAAAGCATATGGTAAAGTATTTTGATTTATTTGAAAATAAGTGAAAATAGATTTTCCAAGGATGTGCGGTGTCGAGGTCACAGGGTCGGTGTCGTTTTTGGAAATTTGTTAACTTAATATAATAGAAGATAATTTAAATTTAATTGATTAAATTTATAATAATTTTTAATTTCAATTTTAATTTAAACAAATTAATTTAAAAATGAAAATAATAATCTTATTTTAAACAAAAAAAGTTTTTTTTACCAATTTTACATTAAAAATAAATTATAATTTATATATCACTACAATTTACCGAATTTTGAGAAAAATCCGAGACATGACCCCGTTTTCTCATATGAAATGCCTCATATAGAGACAACGTCTTAAGTCGAACTGATTTTTTATGACGTGATTTTTCATGTTCTTTGTGTAACAATGCGCTTATATGAGTAATAGGGATAAGTTAAATAAAATTTGGAACACGTGCCTTCGCCGATGTTCTTATCTTAAATACTTAAATAGAAATTTGAATCCAATATCAGATTATAAATCATATTATCTTAATTATAAAATTTGAATTTTAGACAATTTAAAACTTGATATTAATTTAATTACATATGAATATAAAAGAAATTTTAATTATAAAAAATTATAAAATATTCCTTATAATAATTAACAATAACAATATCTACTTTTACTTGCAAATATCTCGAAAAGTACGAATTTTCGTAAAAAATGTTCAAGACAAAAGTTGTTCCAAACAAAAAGATGTACATCTTAGAAACCAAAAAATTGGGCCCGGAGGCCAATGTTGGGCCCTAAAATGAAATAAGGGGTTTTCTTAAATGAGACCACTAATTTTCAGTATCAAATTCGTAATCCCCATGAAATTTTGCGATCAGACATGTGGTATAAGTGCCCAAAATATTGGGCCCAATCCAAGATATTGGGTCCAAAATTTTTCTACAGATAAATAAATTTTAAAAAATCGCATCTTGGAGGGATTTTGAGATCACAGGGTTAGAAATTGGAAGCTAATTTTGAAATTGGACACTAAGCCCAATGTAAGATTCCGCGGCCCAATGTGAGGACCACATAAAAAAAATTAGTTGTTTAAATAAAACCCACTAATTTTCAGTATCCATTTCAGAATCGTTATGAAATTCTGGGTTTAGATTTGAATTAGAAATGACAAAAATATTGGGCCCAATGTCTGGGATTAGGCCCAACATTTTTCGTTAAAAAAATAAATTTTAAAACTCGCATCTTTAGGGGTTTTTGGGGTCACAGGATTATAAATTCAAAGGTACTTTTCAAATTGGGCACAGAGCCCAATGTAAGATTCCGCAGCCCAATGTGAGGCCTACAGTAAAAAAATTAGTTTCCTTCCATTTCGTAATTGTTATGAAATTCTGGGGTTAGAGTTGTGGTACAAATTCCAAAAATATTGGGCCCTTACATTGGGCCGCTGAATCTTACATTGGACTGTATGCCCAATTTGAAAATTAGCTTCTAATTTCTAATCCTGTGACCCCAAAAACCCTCCAAGATGCGATTTTTTAAAATTTATTTATCTGTAGAAAAATTTTGGACCCAATATCTTGGATTGGGCCCAATATTTAGGGCACTTATACCACATGTCTGAACGCAGAATTTCATGGGGATTACGAATTTGATACTGAAAATTAGTGATCTCATTTAAGAAAACACCTTATTTCATTGTAGGGCCCAACATTGGGCTCTGGGCCCAATTTTTTGGTTTCGAAAATGTACACCTTTTTGTTTGGAACAACTTTTGTCTTGAACATTTTTTACGAAAATTCGTACTTTTCGAGATATTTGCAAGTTTCCATACTTTTGGAACACACTGTATATCACATCTTATAAAAATATATATACAAAATCAGTGTATATAAGCGCAGGTTTATTATCTTAAGATCAATTCTCAATTCAGAAATTTTATTTCATCTGTAATATATAGTGAGGCAAATTTATTTTGTTGGATCGAATATATTAAGAAATTTTATTTCATACATCATATAGTAAGGTAAATTTATTTTATTAATTTATATTCTCTTAACCCCTTCGCAGTGTAGCACTCTCTAAATTTGAATCAGCGGAAAATCGCTGATTAGGCAGCTGTAAGTATGCAGCTGATTTATACAGCGTATATACATTGATAATTAGCGCATATACACTATTTCATCAGTGTATAAACGCTGTTTGAATCAGCTGCATACTTATAGCTGCAAATTAGCGACGTTTCGCTGATTCAAATTTAGAGAGCAAAAATAAAGCTTTCGTGCCTCCCGTATGTGGTAAAAAATTTTTTTTTTTAAACTTGATATTACCATATTGTATGTTTTTGGGGTTGGTAATTACGAATTTGAAGTCAGTTTTTCAAAATTTTCAAAATTAAAAATGTCAGATCAAATATGGCGGACGAAAATTAAAAACTCATCGGATTTACTTGAAACTCGTTACTCGGGGGTTTTTTGGGTCGCTGATAACGAATACTATGTTAGATTTCCAAAATTCAAAATGGCGGATCCAATATAGCGACCGAAAAAAATTTGAAATTCACTAGATTTGCTTTCAGGGTCACTGATTACGAATCTGATATCAGTTTTTCAAAATTCCAAATGGCGGATATTTTGTTAATTATTTATAAGAAATAAACTCAAAATATAAAGAAAACGTAAATTCTTTATTAAAATACTCTCGCGTCTCGATACAACTACTACACATGTATATAGTCGTTCTCGATAGGAGAAACAGGTTTACACATATAAAAGGTTCGAGCCTCCACTCAATGCAATCACAGTCAAATTCGTAATCAGCGACCCCGAAAACCTAAGAATACCCATTGACAAGTTTATCGTATTGTGTCTACTTATTTTTTTTTTAGATACTACTATAGCGGTCATACACACTTGTGGCATTTTATGCTTCTATAGAGTTCAATAACAGTTAAGGAGTTAAGCAAAACAAATGGCACAGATTTTAGATTCTACTTTGCAATTGAATATAAACCAAAAAATAAAATTGAAAAATCGTCAAAAAATTTTAAGTTTGGTAACAGATGAATATATTAATAAAGAACGTCCAACAATTTCTAAGACACAAACAACTCTTAAGCTATATCTGAAACTTCATTGTCAATCTAAATATAATAAAAATTTATCATCAGATTTATCGTCAGACGATTTATTAATTTGGAAAAATTTAATTGAAACAATGATGGCAAAGAAAATTATCAAAAATAGTGATTCTAATTATTTATCATCAGCAAATTTGTCTATGGATAAAAATAATAATTTAAAAATTATTATCGATTATTCGCGTTTAAATTATTTAACAATGACAAATGATGAATTTTATTCTAACCAAAATAATAATTTCATTAGTAATTTAAGAAATAAAAATTTTTTTACATCTCTTTATATAGAAAATAGTTTTGAATTAGTTAAAATTTCCGAGGAATCATGTAAATATACTGCTTTTAAAACACCTTGTGGAAATTATGAATTTCTTAAAATGCCTGATGGTTTGAAAAAATCAAAATCAACATTTCATCACTTTATTTATTTAGCTCTAGAAAATTTAATTGAAAAAAAGATAATAATATTGTATGGTCAAGAAATTCTCATTGCCACTGAAAGTATATATCAACAATTTAAAATTCTTAAACGTCTATTTCAAATTATAATTAAAAATAAACTTTTATTAAAATTTGAAAAATGTCAATTTTTATATAAAAATTTGGAATTTATTGATTATAGAATTTCTAGAAATAAAATAGAAATTTTAGGCAAACATAAAGATGCAATTCGTGATTATCCACTTCCAAAAACTAAAGATGAATTCAATCAATTCAGAAATATTACAGATTATTTTGAAAACATTATTGAAAATTATTCTAATGAATTGACATTTGAAAAGTTGAAAGAAAAATTAATTCAATTTCCCGTTTTAAGAAATTTTGATCCAACACTTGAAACAGAATTACATTGTGATGGCAGTGATATTGGTTGTGGAGGATTAGTGATTCAAAGATTTGAAGACAATCTTTGGCATCCGATTAGCTATTTTTCTAAAATGTTTACAAAAAAGGAAATGCAAATGACACCGAATCAACGAGAAATGCAGGCCATGAATTATTCATTGGAATTTTATGAAAAAATTCTTAATGGTATACATTTTAAACTTGTGACTGATTGCCAATCGTTGATAAATCGGAAAGTGAAGAAGAATCATGAAAAGTCATTTGAATTTAAATGGTATGAAAATGTTAATATTAAATATTGTTCTATTGAATATCGACAGAGAGGAGAATTAAAACATGTCGATCAGTTGAGTCGTTCATTCCAAAAAGAATAAAATTTTACATTCTAATATTGTCACATACACTTATTGTATTACTAAAAAAAGTTTTTTTTTAAATGTAAAAAATTTTAATATTTATTCTGAAAAATATCTTTTACAAACAAAAAAAAAAAAATAATAATAATAATAATAGTGAGGATTGTAATTTTGTTTTTGAATTTTTAATATTATAGTTAAGATGGTAAATAGGTTGTACGAGTTTCATACATAAAAATTTGACTGTTGGTCAATAAAATTTCTACCTTATCAGATATGATTACGTTAATGAAATACTTGATAGGAGACACCTATTTACCATCTTAACTAAAATAATAATAATATTTCACTTTTAAATATTAAATCAGTAAATCAGATGATGATGATGATGATAATAATGAATTCAATTTATTATCTTCTTCTCAATTACGTATAGAAAATATTTTTTTAAATCAAGAAATTGAAAAAGATAAAGAGAACAATAATATTATACTATTAGATGAAAAACTTCCAAATTATTTTACTTCGACGTTTAAATTAATAAAACTATTTAGAAATTTAAATAACAAAAAATCGACAGGCATTGATGGAATTCCTAATATTGTATTGAAATATCTAACACCGAAAATCGTAAATAATTATTGTATCCTCTTCAATAATTTACTAAACAATAGTCAATTTCCAAAAGATTGGAAAAAGTCAAAAAAAATATACGCATTCGTTGGCATAAAATATTGTACGCGACTTCGAGAGCATTGTATTATCCAGTAAGTCCTATAAAATAATGTATAAATATGTAATTCATTGTTTATTGTGAAAACATGTATTATTATTGATTTTTACAATTAATAAACGACTACAAAAACAAACAAAAAACAAAACAAGTTCTCGTCCGATCACTTAAGTTAAGCAACGTTGGGCGCGGTTAGTACTTGGATGGGTGACCGCTTGGGAATACAAAATGACAAAAAAAAAAAAATTTATTTACAAAAAAAGTTAAAATTAACAAAAAATAAAAACAACATTAAAAAAATATAATGTAAAAAACAAGAATTTT